TTGTGTACGATAACGAAACGTAATGCGTGCGAGACGGTTTGCGGACGCGTTAAAAAAAAAAAAAAAAAAAAAAATCCGTCGGAAATAACGCTCTGCGCAACCGGGACCGCGGCAACAACAATAGCGAATAACGTGCTGTACCTGTGCGCAAATATATTTTACGTATACACGCGTATTATGTCGGGCGTGTACGAAAAACGGTGTTCCGGACACGTTATATTATTGCATACACATAAATATACGCGTATATACGATTATTGTTGTTATTATTATTGTGGAGCACGTCTTCGTATCGTCATAATAATAATCTGTATACGCGCATTTTTTTTTTTTTTTTTTTTTTAATACGGTTTATCGCGACCGTTTTTGTTAATCTCATATTGTGCCTTTGTATTATCGCAGCATTATTCGTGCGTCGCGTCGGCCGGTTGTAGCAAGTAACAGTAACGTACACAAAACACGAATAACGTATCAAACAATACGAGAAATCCGTGTCCGGAAATTATCGGTGAAATATCGCAAATAACTCGAATAACTCACTATTATAATGTTATATTATCACGTCATATTAATATATCCGTGTGCTATAGTCGCACGATTCGTGTGTCCGATATCCCGTCGTGTTTTTCATATTACAGCGATGGACACTATCGCGAATAGTCACCGTCGAACGATTCGATAGAATGGAAACTATTCGAACCAGGGGCGTGCTCGCGTCGGAATGTAGAGGGTGTCATTCCAACCACCCACCCCCGCGACTCCCTGACCCGGTCGCAAGGAGTAGGAGTATCTATATAGTGATATAGCGATATTTGTTTCTGAAAATACGTTTAATGATTTAACGACTGTATAATTGGCGTTACATTCACCCGTAGTCAGAATTTCTAAATGTGAGGCGGAAAGAATAAAAAAAACAACAAACCACATATTGTCTGTTCACGTTTATAACCTTTGTTGCACTAAAAAAATATACTGCTCGTTTAATTGTTAACGTAACACAAACATAGTGTATAGCTGTAGGTATTAACATACATCGCGTGGCCATGTTTTAAAAACATATCTTATTTTAGGCAGCTGTCCAAAAAACGATTGAACTTATCACACATAACGGTTTCGCTCGCACGGTCCGGGACTAAAGTTTGTATACAATAGCGGTATAATAATAGAGGTGGTCTACTGTCGTACTAACATTATAAATACGAAAGGTTATTGAATAAAATCCATCGAATGGCTATGTGGTCGTTAGAAATATAGTGAACAATTTCGGGTAATCGCGGCTGGCGTTTAAAACCATTCGGAAAACCACACCCTGTTAAATTCGTGTCGGTTGGCTTTTTGTCGTGTTACGTCATTTTCGGTCAGTTTAGTTAAAATTTGTGTAGACAATAAATTGCCATTGACCGAGTTAAAACGAATTTACCAACAGCCGCTATCCGAGTAGCTTTTACGACCGTATTATGCCATCGCAGTCTGGGAAGTCTATCAAATGTGACCGGTGTTGATGACACATCGCAACAAAATTGCCGATTTAATTTATCAATATAAACGATGCAAATTAGAAACAATTTAAAGTCTCGTGCACGCATGATATTATGATATACGATTATGTTACGCCGCGGCCAAAAGTCAAACTAAATTTTTTTTTTTTCACTATCAATCAAGCAGCGGCGTTGCTCGGTTCCCACGGCCGCGCCGCTCGGTCGACAGTACCTAAAACACTAACTTCGGAAGTTTTCGCCCCGTAATAACGTCATAACGCATTAGGTTGCGGTACTGTTCGCGCGACGTCGTTTTGCGCGCGTCTCGCAAAGAGGCGGCGGACAAAACAAAACGATACGCGCACCACAATAACGCGTACCCGCCCGCGGAAAATCTATCCGACGAACGCGTCCGTATATATATATATAGTTGTGAATACATATATGTATGTATGTATGCGCGTATGTAATTTTTTTTTTTTGTTGTTGTTGTTGTCGTTGTACGTATGGCGCGGCGCGCACATTTTTTTTTTTTTTTTATTACTATACGCGTACGTATATATTTTTTATCATTATTATTTTGCGTGTTACCCACGGCGACATTATACAGGTAGGTAGGTACTTGCCGCCGCCGCCGCCGCTGTACCGCGGCCCATTAGCTGCTATTACGATAAATACCAAATCGAATGGCGCGCGGTCTTTCCCGCCCCTCCCTTCCACAGCGGTAATTTTCCACCCGTGCCTGTGTGCGAAACGCGGTATATCATCTGCAGTACGATACGCACCCGTCGCCACTGTACCGCGCACGCTGCGCTTCTTCCACCGCCGCCGCCGTACGTACGCTGCTGCGGTGCGGCGGCACGACGTGCACTAGCCAAGGATCGTCCGTCGCGTCGGAACCGCAACGGAACAATAATACCGTACACGGGTGTACGGCGGTAGGAACAATAATAATAATAAAAAAAAAAAAAAAAATGATAACCCCTCCCCCCGCCGTTTCGTATATTATGGAAAATCGATAATTGCGGCGGCCGGCGGTTGGCCATTTCTTCGCCTCGGCCGTAACGCACTGCGGCGGCGTTAATGGGCGAATCCGCAGTTTGACGTTTCTCCCCGTGTATATATATAAGTAGTTACGCGTATCGGGTATCGAGTACGTATTCCGGCGTATAATAGTGAGAAAAAAAAAAAAAAATGATAATAACAATATAATACTAATACGTCTCCGCGTCAATTATATTATATGGTCACCTCGGCCGGATCGGAAATATTGTATGTGCGTGTATGATATTTCCCTCCCCCACCCCACCACGGCAATAAAAAATAAAAAAAAAAAAACTACTACTACTACTACTACTACTACTACTACTACTACTACTGTGTACTATTACGCGTATCGTAATCGTATCGTGTACGTCGTATATATACAAGTATATATAAAATACGCGAGCCGAGCTCGTATTTTATGACTAATGGGCCGTCCGTTCCGATGTACGCGTGTGTGTGTATACGTATATATTATTATCATTACGTCCTATTATAATATCGTACTGCGTTTGGCGTGCGTGTGAGAACCCGCGCGTTTTCGACAGTAATAGCGTAAAAAAAAAAAAAAAAAAAAAAATAGTAATAATAATATAACAGTATAATGCAGTGTATAGAGGAGGTCGGAAAAAAAAAAAAATAAAAAAATAATACAGAGCGACCATATCGTGCCTATATACATATTATATAGATGATAATAATAATAATAATTGTATATTATATACTAAAATATAGACAGGTATAGCGTCGTTTTGTATTACTGTCGTTATTTATTTTTTTTTTTTTATCGCCCGTTTATAATTTTTTTTTTTTTTTTCCTAGACGATTTCGGTATTTTCGCGGACGGCAACGTCCTTATCTATATATATATAAATATGTATCTATTATGTTGCACCTGCATAATATTATAAGCGATGGGAAAATTCCGAATTTTAAGAATCCGAGACGCGGCGGGCGTTTATTTTTTAATCCGGATTCCGAAACTTTCGGGATTATTTTTATGCACGTTATACTTATAAAATGTCTCCGGGAACTTTGAACACGACAAGGATGTACAAGCGCGAACGATTATCGGTTTTTGTTGTGTACACAATTGTAATTGTATCCGCGCGGCGAAATCCAAAACTCGGATTTATATCACGTTCACTAACCTGTATATACGGTCAACCTGACGCTTTCTGCGGTGCAAGCCGATTGAAGATGGTGTATATTTTTACTATTTTACGTGCGAAAAATAACCGGATTTCACATTTTTTTACTGCCCCCGTACTTTTACGGGGCCAGATACATCTCCGTCCTCAACCCTTTTTTAGTACCTATTTTTGTACGACTACCTATTCTTAAATTCAAATTTATTAACTGTTTATTCTGCAAAACGAACAATTTAATGTGTTGGTAAGTATAGAAAAAAAAAAAAAAAAAAACCCGAACGTACATATTTTATCGTTTAAAACGAAACTTATGTTCGAACAACTATAATACGTAGGAGATTAGATTAGCATCTAAACATTCCAAACCGTAAATAAAGTAAATAATTACTTACCTTTGCCTGTAGTCAGGTTTCAATGGTATTTTTAGGTCAGATTGAATTGTAAATTACTTAAAACTAAATAAATTATTTAAAAACTACAGAAGCCGCGGACCGTGCAAAAAAAATTATACTGAACTGAGTAACCAGTTTCCACAGTAATTATATATTTTTATCGTATAGTGCATATTCTCGCGACAACTTGTACAGCGCCCTAAAGCTTATTTAAAATTTTTTTTTTTTTTATTTGTTTCAACCTTTTTTTTCATCCGTATCACTAAGGTTACCCGTAAATTGACAAAAACAAGTAGATTTTTGTAAAACACTCAACGGGCCCCCCTCGTTCAGGTGTGTACATGTAGGGAGGTCTGAGATGGGTGCATCGATTTACTGAAATTAGATTTACAAGCGATTGTCAGACGGAGACAGCACATCCGATTATAACGTCCAGCGTCCTTTTAATTGTCCTCTTAACAGTGATGATAAAATTTAAAATCATATAATTGTCAACATAGTATATGCCGTACTCATGAACATGATGCTGACAACATAATATTCACAATTATACAAGCTGCAACGTAATGATAAAATATATTCATTTATAAAATTAATAGTTTTATGGCCCAGGTACAACCGCACCCTTTGGATCCCTCTTAGTCACGCCACCGATAATTTTTCAGAATCACTTCATGCAAGGCTGGGCATTAACGAGTCAATAAGTTAATTTAACTTTTTAACTTGAAAAATTGATTTTTTTGAACTATAAACTCAATTGTGAACTTTAGGAATACAAAATAATTAACTTTTTATTAACTAGAGTCAATTTTATAATTAAACAAGTTAAGTTGATTTCAATTTTTATTCGTATATTCATATAAATATATAATATACTAGCTGTTCCGCCCGGCGTTGCCCGTGCCAAATAAATGTGTAATAAAAATGATTTCCCCCCCCCCTAGATTTCTTGTTTCAATATCCGTCACTATTACTGCAGTTAACCGTTGTTGCCCTTAAATTTATTTTTATTTTCAAACTTATATAAATTAGGTATACGGTTGCTAAGCAATGAAAAATATCTGATACATTTTTCAGTTTCGTGGCGATCGGATGAACGGTTTAGGAAGGCATAAGAGACATCACACACATATATAGGTTAGGTTAGGTTAGCAAAATTAGCCAAATCGGCCCAGCCGTTCTCAATTGTTATTGGCATGCGGGTGCCACAGAAACCAATAATAAAAAATAACCACATAGAGAGTATATTATCTCTCCATGGCAAAATAATAATTGTTGAATATCGTGCGTGCTAGTATACTTTGACTTAAGAGGCCATAACTCCGGAACCACTTATCGCAGAGCATACAAACTTAGATAGTAGCCGATTCTCAGACCTATTGAATATGCATATAAAATTTCATGAGAATCGATCAAGCCGTCTCGGAGGAGTATGGGAACGAACATAGTGACACGATAATTTTATATATAAGATATATATATACACACCAAATAATTTAGCTAAAAAAACAATAATAAAAAATGGCACAGACAACGCTAGGCGTAGTATGTATGTGTATATTTATAAATCACGAGTTAAAGGGGAAAGGGAGTAACCTCTTTAGTATTCCTGTGGTAACGCAAAGCTGTCGTTGATCGATGCTTAGCTGCACCTGCAGACGGCGACGAAGTTGTTACGGCTTGTGGTCCATGGAGCGAAGATGAACAGAAGACAGCTCGTGGATCGACAGGGTACCGTTAGCGGACGAATCACTCCTTGTTCGCACGGTTCGAGTTGAGCGGGCAAATGGGTTAAGCAACCGAGTAACAAACGTGAATTACAAAGTATTGCGTATTTTAACGTGAGAGCGAACGAATGTAACGATTTCTGTGTTGGAAATTTATTAGAGTATAACACAAATTTAAACTAAGTCACATGAAACCGAATGTCAGAGAACGACGAGAGAGAAAATGAAATGTCGACCGAACGCGAGCGATCTGTCCGGTTAGTGCTTGTCTAGCGATGGAGCGTCTACCGCAGTGGTACCAGTTTTGCGAGCATGATATTGGTTGTCCCGTGCAATTACCTTGGCGGTAATTATAAATTTTAGAAACGCATGAACATAATTTGATTCAAAAACTCGGTACATACTTTGAAAATCCCAAATTGCTCGAATTGGGGGGGAGGAGTACCTCAACTAATTTTTCAGAAATTTAAGCGTACCTTTACTATTTGTTTGAAGTGGAATGTATGGGACACAGTGAAGGTTACAAGGTTCCATGTCTGAAAATAGCTGTATATAAGTAAAAGTATTCAGTAGAATTTTTGATCTCTACGATTATTTTTCATTGAATAAATGAAGCGCTGGAGATACTTCGTGGGAGTAACAAAATACTGGAAAAATATAAAAAGATACAAACATACTTCGCACGATGGGTGGGCCACTGTTGTAAGTAAGAAGTTGGGAAGATAGTATATAATGGGGAATTAATGTATATATGTAAGCAATGATTAATCTTTGCTAAGGAAACACGATTCTAAACGGAATCGGTTATACCAGTTCTGAAAAACCGTAATTTTTATGATTTGAAAATGATAGATTTCGTGCATTTTCTCGTTATTTCCTAGTTTTTCACATTTATTACGAAGACTCCTGTTGATTACAGAAAAAAAAAGCATCATTATAAAATACATTCTTCGCTACGCTAAGAATCTAAAAGTGCATTATTTCCTTCTTCATTGATAGCGTAAAATTCTTATATCAATTATCTTATTTTATGAGACTAATATTTACAAACATGACACACTTTTTAAATGATTGATGGTTTCACATAATACCAGTATTTTACTCGTAGTTATTTAGTATTATATATTTATGGTGCCAATTGTGTACAGACAGTGTTTTCTACCCTGTTGGTTTTCATTGAAATATTGTATTGCAGTTCTTTGTAAATATGTATTTTTCGTTTAACAATAATAAGTATGTTTATTACATACTAATAATTTTGTATTTATTGTTCTAGGATGATTTATTTATGAATTGATATGGATAATAAAATACAGAAAATAATACTTCGAAAGTATGAAAAATCGGCGAGAAAATCTAGATTTTTTTACAAATAAGTTGAAACCCTATTTAAGAAAACAGATCTATAGGACTTTATCTAAGAATTTAAATCTAATTTCGCCTATTAGAAAATGAAAAACTAAAGAAAATTTATCAACACATATTTCTGAATAAAACATTAACTACTAAAATAACTACCTAGTTTATGGTAATTAATACATAAATCAAGTATATAATATGGCTGTTACAACAGAAAATGGTTCAAAAAGTGTTAAAAAATCCTTCGAATCTGTAAACAATATTTTTGGTAATTTGAACTTCAATAAAACATGCAGTGTTGTTTTAGAAAAATACGTTATCCCGGTACAATTGAAAAAAAAACGAGGTAGACCTAAGAAACTCACAAATAAAAATAAAACACGAAATGTTTTAGATATGAGTAAAGTAAATGCAATGTTATCAAATTCAACTGTCTCCCAAAAAAACATCGAATATACTGGAACTCCAGCAATTATTAAAAGACGTCAGGGTAGATCAATTACTTTGAACAAGAGCAAGAAAAATGTAGCGAAGTCAAATTCTTTGAAACGTCCAAATCCCATAAATACTGGAACTTCAACAATTGTAAAAAAACCTCTGCGCAGACCAAGTACTTTAAACACGAGGAAAAAGAATTTAGCCAATTCAAATTCATTAAAAGGCCCAAAACCCGTAAATACTGGTATACCAATAACTTATAAAAAAAGTAAAGGCAGACAAATTACTTTAAAAAAGAACAAGGGAATTACAACTAAATCAAATTCATTAACTAGCATAAAAATTGAAGATTCTGCTACACCTATAATTCTAAAAAGAGGTCGGAGTCGACCAGTTACTTTAGAAATGAGCAAAGAAAGTTCAAGGGAGTTAAAATCATTAACTGGTCTAAAGACCGCAGATACCGGTAAACTAACAGTTGAAAAAAGAAGGCGAGGCAGACCTGTTACTTTAGATAGGAGTAAGAAAACTTCAATTGAATTAAATTCATTAACTGATTTAAAGCCTGAACATACTGGTACACGAAAAAATGAAAAAAGACTTCGGGGCAGAAAAATTACTTTGGATAACGGCAAAGAAAATTCAACGGAGTTAAATTCATTAACTGGCATAGAGCCAGAAAATAATAGTACACCGACAATTGTCAAAAGACGACGGGGCAGACCAAAAACTTTAAATAAGAGTAAGAATAATTTAGCCAAGTCAAATTCACTAACTGACCCAAAAATTGTAAAAAGAGGTCGAGGTAGACCTAAGAAAAGTGAAATCTTATTAAACATAATTAAAAAACCTCAAATAATATCAGATACAGTTACAACAAAAAAAAGGAAAAATGGTACTCATTCTGGTGTTCAAAAATATAAAAAAAAAATTGCAACACTTGAAAATGATAACGTTTCCAAAGAAGGTGTGAAGACTAAATTTCATATTTCCAAAAATAAAAAGTCTAGGGGTACAATGTTAACTAATGCAAGTTTAATATCTAATAATAAGTTTGGAACTATAGATCAATTAAAATGTGTAACATTGGAAAGATTTGATAATCCAGAGTTCATAACTACTACACAAATTAAGATAGAACCAGAAGAAAATATATATAGTGAACTGAGTGATGTAAATTGGAACTTCATTCCTATACGTACAAGGACAAAGAGTATAAGTAATGAGCCTACTAAGAAACGTATTCGACGGAATTCTCTTCCTAGCAATTTTGGATGTAATGACAGTTTATATAAATTAAGATATGAAAGTTTTATGAAACCATGGAGTAGTGTTGGAAACATAGAAGTTGGGCCACAACCTCTTTTTGAAAAATGTTTTTGGCGAGAACTAAAGGTAATATATAGAAATAGAATAAAACGGGTTAGGAGTTTTCCAGATTGTAAGTTATTAGATTCGAATCACTTCAGGTATACAATGGGGCAAAACCTTACAAGTATAATCGCTTCTCTATATTATGAAAATGATGACAATATTGATGATTATGACTTTCATTATGAAGAACGTTTTATTCTTGAACCTCATGATGTACTTCATCAAAAACTTCATAATGGGCATCCACATGAACGTCCTCAAGAACATAATAATGATGAAGCTCAACATGAACACCTTGATGAACATCATCTAGAACATAAAAATGCACGTCAATATGAATGTCATGACGGACCTCATCTTGAACGTGACATTAGACGTCATAATGAACATCACAATACACTTCAACATGAACATCATGAAAGTCGTCTTGAACGTGATGATGAACGTAATTATTATGATGAATATCGTGATGACCGTCAATATGAACATCAAGTTGAATGTCAGCAAGAACGTCACGATGATCGTCTTCATGAACACGATTATGAACGTCAAGAACTTTATCAAGAACATCAAAATGATCGTCAATATGAATATCAAAATGAAGGTAATTTAAGACATTGTAATGAAATTAATCGAGAACATCACGATGAATGTCATCAAGATAATTTTGTTGAACATCTTGAACTTCACGATGAACGTTATCAAGAACATCATCTTAAACATCATAACGAACGTCATCAACATGATATTTATGACCGTAGATATCGATATCGGTCAAAAAGTATGCCAATACTATGCGAGGAAAAAATAGACAAAATAAATAAAAAGTATAGCAGTCTATCAAATTTGAATATTTACAGCTGTACAAATAATATATCATCTGCTGATAAATGTGATTTTAATATTATTTGTGAAAAAGAAAAGAAACAAGAAGCTGAAGCAGAAGAATGTGAGAGCAAGTTTATCAGACGCTCCAAAAGACTACACACTAAGTTAAAACGTTCAGATATGTTAGAAGAAGAACATTTTTTGATATCTGATGAACCAACAATTGATTATTTATCGGTAGCTGAACAGATTCGGCAAGAAAATGAAAAACAGCTCTCTGAGGCTAGAAAAAATGATCCAGATTTAGACAACAAATTAAAAAAATTGAATTTTACATTAATTTCCAACAATATGTTCAGGCCTGTTAGGTAAGTTATTATAACAGTGAACACATTATTAAAAGTTTTAATTTACTACAAAGCCTACTTAAAATATGTTGATATTATTATGATATTTTAGAATAAATACGAGTGAATATTCAACAGCAGAAGCACAAGAATTACGCAAATTAAAACACAGGTATAATATCATTTTTAAATTGCATATTATCTTAACAACTCAGCAAAAACTCCGAACTTGTTTTTTCTTTTTTTCTGTAACCAATTCTACTTTAAATCTAATTCTAATCAAAAACTTTTTAGGAAAATATAGTATTCTGGATCTAATTAGTGCATTGCAAGGTCATTTTCTGAATTTTCTTACATTTATTCCCCACAGTTTTTGCTGACATATGATAAATTAATTAGCAGACTATAATATAAACAATTATTAAGCTTACAAAATAATCATTTTTTTTTGTTCAGCTTTTTAAAAATGTCTTCTATGAATATGGTAGATTAAAGATTTAATATTTTTGTTATAGGACAATTCTCAATTCTGAAACATCATATATGTGTCATTGTACATATACAAGAAAAGACTATTTAGAAAGAAAGCCTGGATGCACTTCAGAGTGCATTAATCGTATATTGAATATTGAATGGTAGATATAATATTGTTTTTATTTAATATATTTTATAAATAATAATTGTATATTAATTTGTTTAGTGGACCTAATTGTTTATTAAAACGTTTTTGTACCAACAAACAATTCCAAAATAAACAGTTCAAACATACTGAAGTTCGTAGAACCTCAAATAAAGGTTATGGAGTTTTTGCCCTTGAAGATATACCAAGGTAAAAGTTAAAAAGTTTCAAATTGAATGCAATCTGTGTATATACCATTTGATTACTACATATTTTATAATTTGACAAAATTAAGTCCTCAAAACTAAAATTATTTTTATGATTAATTAATCATCTTTGTTCTTCTATTATTATTATTATTATTATTATTATTAAACTATTTAATATTATTTATTAAAAATATGCTAATAATAATAAAACTATCAAAAATCAATAGGCATTAATAAATTTAGTAATTTTCAAGTTCTTAAAACTTTATGGCAAAATTAAAAAAATTAATTTCAAAATCATATTATATTTTGATTTCTCTTTATAAAAAGAATATTACAAATAATTTGTTATTATATATTGTCTTATTGCATTCAAATATTACTTATAAGAAAAAAAAAAAAATCTAAAATGTAAACTTTGTATAGTGGGGCATTTATTGATGAGTATATGGGTGAAGTAATTGGACAGCATGAAATGATTAACCGAATGAAAACAAAATTGTATTTAAATAATAATTATATGGTTCAACTACAACATGATGAAATCATAGATGCTACCAGAAAAGGCAACATCACTCGCTTTATAAATCATAGTTGCAATCCAAATTGTGTTGCTGAAAAAGTATGTGTTTGTAACATTATTTAATTAATGTTAATTTGAACAATATGATAGTATTTAATAAAACATTGTTTTAGTGGAATGTATTAGGAGAGTCACGAATGGGTTTCTTTTGCAACAGATCAGTTAAAACTGGTGAAGAGATAACTTTTGACTACAGCTTTGAAATATTTGGGTATTTTACCTAATTTAACTTTTTTTAACTTTAGGCGTACAAAATATTTTATTGTTTTTATTATTATTATAGAGGTGGACCTGAACAAAAATGTTTTTGTGGCTCTAGTAATTGTCGTGGTTATATTAGTAAAAAGTCTAAAGCAGGAGATCAAAGCAGTTCTGATGAAAGTGATGAAAATGATGATAATTGTCAAGCCACAAAATTAGATGAGTGTGTGGAGAAGAAAAAATTAATTAAAGTAAAAAGAATTAGTAACAAAGATAAAAAACGTTTAAAAGAGGTGAGAATTGCATTATTATTTTAAAATTATTTAAATTAATATTAATTATTTGTATTTTTTAGCTTGATCAACAGCTTACAGATATAAGTAAATTAAAAAATAAAAACCGCTCTGATTTGGAAAATTCTACTTTAAATCTAAACAAATTGATGGTTCATATTACAGACTCAATGAGTCGGTCACATATTTTGAAATTTATACGAGAAAATGATTTAAACTGTAAAAGATTATTCATGAACTATAATGGACTAAGTATAATTCATAGCTGGATGTCTTCAAATAACAATGAACAGCTTAAATTAGAAGTAATGAATTACATAAATAGTATTTGTAGAAAAAAAATTAAATGTTTAAAAATAACCACTCTTATTTCAGATTATACAAACTCTTTCAGAACTTCCTATTTCAAATAGAAATACAATAACTAAATCAAAAGTTTTAGAAATTGTAGCAGAGTGGGCTAATATTCCAAAAAGTGTAAAAGAAGTTATTGAAAAGTAAATATATTGTATTTGTATTATATACTATGATAAACTAATGATTATGGTTTAAATTTTAATTTATATACATATTTATACTGTAACTTAATAAATTAATTTTAGATTATTTTTTAATTAAAAGTTTTAAAAAATAAATCATTACTCATAGAGTTCAGAATTTTATGCATTTAAAATCCACAAAAAACAGCTTAAAAATGTCTAAAGAGCTCTGAAAAAATTTAAAAAAAAAAAAAAAAAACAGAGGGCCCAGAGTGATTTAAAATGTCTACCCCCAACCACCTAACCATTAAATACAATTATCGAACACATATAATTTTCTTTTTTTATAATACTTACAATTTTATTTAAAAATTTATGTTAATAATTTTTTTAGTATCTGAAAATGGATTTATAAGTTAGAGCTATTATAGGGGGGCTTTTAAAAACACACTACCATTTTTCGTTTTTTGCTAATTTTCAAGCCTTTTATGACGTTTTTTTGCCTTTTGTGGATTTTAAGTGCATAAAGTCCCATAATAAATATACTACATATGTTCTTAGTTTTATTATTTACATTTATATTTTTATATTTTCCAAATTATTAGTTTAGAATACCCTGTATCAAAAATAATTGAACATGGTCAAGAAGTTGATAAATTGTTATCTGATGTTGAAACTGATAATTCATTAGTTCAAGTAGCTCGAAACTTGTGGAAAAAATGGATTATTTTAAAAATGGTTTTTAAAATACCTAAATTAGATCGCCCCAAAGAAGGTATGAAACAACCACAATTTTCTTCCCACTTAAAAATATGATATAGCAATCAAGTTTAAAAATAAATTGTTTTATCATATTATTATTATTTTTTTATTTATTTTACATAGTATATGGCAGTAAAGTTTAAAATTGTTGTTAAATTGGTTTTAGTTCAATAATGTAATTTTTATAGATATTTTTAACAGTAATTTAAATATAAATTTAAGATTTTCAGTTTTGTTTTTGAAGCAGTAAACATAATATGTTTAAGAGATTGTAGAAATGTCCATTTGCTCTGCCTGTGAAACTAACAAGCAATATAGCATAAAAGTTTTTTTGTTCTTTGATTAGTACTAAGGCCTTATATTGTCCTTCGTATAAACTTGTTTTGGGTGTCAAAATAAACATGAAAGGACTAGATGAAAATTTTTTCTCAAACCCATTTAATTACATTTTAAAATTTGCTTTATTTAAGTGTTTTGAAAAAACATAAAATCAGTAGATACAATTCCTAAAACAAATTTTTGATAAATTTTCATTAGATTAATTGCATGTCTTTCACATTTTTATAATTATTTTATAGATTTACTGCTTATGTTATCAGATTAATTAAGATACAAATAAAAATATACTTTAATGTCTTAAACCCAATCAATTTAGAATTTTTACAATCTGACTTCTAATAAATAGCAAAAATAAATAATTAACTGATAACAGATATAATTGATCAATTTTAATTTACAGTGAACATGCCTTCTGTTGTTGATAATGAATTGTCTGTTTTACCTCAACCAAAACCGTAAGCCAACTTAGTTCATGTTTAATTTTTTTTTTTCAATTAAATTAATATTTTGTTATTATTTCATAGAGAATCTAACCAGTATTATTTTGCAAATTCAACAACCCATTCTAATCAACATGTTAAAATAAATCATGCTGACATCAAAAATAAATTTAAATATATTAAGTAAGTTAAATATTTTTTATTTTGCTTAATCTATTAATAACATTTAAATCATATTGTTTCCTTATTGGGTAAGTTTTTCTTTTCAGTCTACCTTTTTAAATTATCTTTATAATTTGATTTATTTATATAATATGTGTGTATTTTAATTATACATTTTATTGTAATAATACAAATCATTTTAATTGTTTTTAGACATGTACAGGGGAATGAAACTCCCAAAAATGTTAAGACTAGTTCGATAGAAACTCTTAGTAAAATTATTAATCGTCAAAATGTAATAAATCCACGAGACAAGTAAGAAAACAAATTATAAAATTAATATGTACTTATAGTTTTGTTTAATAATTGTGTATGTATGTATATATATAGGAAAAAAGAAATTTTGGGATGGAATAAAAATATATATTCAACATTTAAAACATTTTGTGGAAACAATTCTACAGAAAAAAATTTGTATTTATCAAGTTCAAATTCTGTCCAATCTTTTATGTCTACATTTAAAAAGACAAATGAAAAGCAAAGAATTCCAACAATGGAATATCGATCAGTATTATATCAAAAACCAAAATTGAATACAGCTCAGGAAGGTAAGAACAATTTAATATTTGTTAAAACTAGTTTATATATTTGAATATATTTTGTTTTAATATATTAGCTTAATGTAATTTATCTTCAATCTGTTATTTCTTGTAGAATCCCTTTTGTACATAAAATATCATTTGATTGAAACATTGTTGTTCAGTATTACATAATTTTAAAATCAAAAGTACAGATTTCATAATATTTATCAATTATATAAGTTTTGTTCATGTTCTAGTTTTCAACTTCTTGTTTTTTGTTTAATGTATTTTTTTTAATCTTGTTTTATAAAATTTTACTAATCAAATAAAAAATTTAAAATTGAATACATGTTATTATAAATACCTTATTAACAATTACAAATTAAAAGTATAATTTATAATTGTAAAATTATTTTCTAATTTTCTATTAAAAATACTTCATAATATATTATAGATGTAATAACTTAAACACATAGAATGACCTAATTTCAATATATTATTTTTAGTTAATGAATTTGGTCATAAAGTTCCTGCAGTAGCTGTATCTGTTTCAACCAACAAAATATTAGAAAAAACAAAACCGGAATATAAATACTATCCTATAGAAGAAATTATAACAACAAACCAAAATCCATGTTTACCACATACTTTACCTGATTTTCATAATTTATCTACAATTAATTTTATAATGAATATGCCTCCTCCATGTTATGTTGTAAATCAACATATGTCTCATTTATCTTCTGGATCTATAATGTGCCCTGAAAATGTTTTCTATGATGCCCAACATCCCAGTATTGAGGAACAAATGATTTTAATGTCTAAACGTAGATCAATTAAATCTTCTAATAAAATTATAATAGATACATCAGAAATCAAACAAAGGGCCTTGGAGAAAAATAATGAGAAGCTGTTTCAGCGAACAAGTAGAAAGAAAATGTTATTTAAACAGAAAAAAGATAGTCGAAAGAAATCAGCTAAAAAGATTGATAAACCCACAAAGATTAAAAGTATCAGTAAATCTATGATATCAAATTTTAGTGAATGCAATATGCTAAATATACAGAAAAATAATCAAAATATTCAGAATAAATTATTTAAACAGTGTAAGAATAATATCAAAAAATTCTATGATACTGGATTATTGAATTTTTTTAAACATTCCAAAACAAATCGAATCAATCAACTTCCAATTGAAAAAACTGCACCTATACATTTAACATTGAATTTACAAAAAGAAAATTCTAAAAAAAAAGTACCAAATTTATCTAATTTATTAAGTGTTTTAAAAATTGGAAGTAATTTTTATCAAGAACAGCTATCTAATATAGTTAAAATAAATAATTTAAAATTTATAGATCAGAAAACCAAAAAAGACTTTTTTCGAACTGAGGAAAATAATGATTCTGAAAATATAAGTACAATTTCATTAGCCTTGAAGTATCATAATGAAAACCTTATCTCTGATTCTCCAAGTTTAAACATAAAGAAATTACTTAATAAGCAGCCAGTTAAAATAAAATCTGAAAATAAATTTGCATTAAAAATTTTAAATGGTTTATTTAAAAAATGTTCAGCTATGTCTAATGAATTTGTTTTAAAAGTTCCACAAAAGAATATGATTACTACTATTGACCCTAACAAGGAAATCAAACTTCATTACAGACTAACTCCAACTATAGAAAATACATTATGTGCGAAATTAAATAATGAAAGTTCAGGAAGTGAGATAAATGTGTTCAGACAAAATTTAGTTTATAAATACAGAAGTGATTCAGACTCTCAAAACTCTAGTTCTGAATCTGAAGAAGATTCTGATTTATTACAAAATGTTGAAACTAGTAATATAGTTAAAAAATCATTAAAAAGGAAAAGACCTTTACCTACACATGATTTAAAAAATAAAAAATTAAATTTATGTGTGAAAAATAAAAATTTAAAAAGAAATCAAATTAGATCAGCAAGTAAAACTAGTGAAGAAGTAGGTGATACAAATATATTAGAAAAAATAATTCCAATTGTTGATTTGTATAAACGAAGGACAGAAGAAAGGAAACTGAAAAGAAGTGTACCAAGTCACACAATTCAAAGTAATGCTCTATTACAAAATAACCCAGAAGAATTTACAGAGACACCTAGTACATCAACTCAAATAATTCCGAATTATAATGAAATAAGACAGAAACCTCTTATGAAATGTTCTCCTTTTTATAAAATTGAAGATAACACTTCAACTTCTGAATTGGAACAAAATGTTTTACAATTGGCTACATCTTTAAGTATGAATTACACAAATCATGTTTTATTATCATCTCAAATCAATAATGAATTAATTCCTCCAATTGTTGATAATTTTAACAATTCTTTGCATTCAGTGAGAACCATGTCCCGTACAAATTTGACGAATGACCCAATTGTAAGAGATTATATTCTAAATACACAAAAGAAAAAGACATTAACAAGACATCATTTAAAACGGAAATATAAATTGCCAGAAAGCATGATGTCATTACCAATTGAAGTTCTTAATCTTATACCTGATAATCAAAGAGAAATAAAGTATGTTATTGAATTTTACCATGGCATGGCTACAGTTATTGTTAAAGTATTAGATGCATATGTTAAAAAAAGTTGCAAGCAAGGTCGTATAAAAAGTGATGAAGATTTTAAATTTTTAGCTAAAAAAGTAAATATGTTTAACACTTATTAATCATTTTACTGTATATTTAACTCATATTTATTTATATGTTTAGCTCAATTCTAATATTTTATTCAAAGAACTTCAGGCCAGAAGGATAGAAGACTTAAAAATCACTGATGGAGTCAAGCAGAAAGTTGAACAGTACATAAAAAAATATATGTTGAAATTTGGAAAAGTTTATAAAAGAAAAAATCTGGGTAATTAAATATATTTTTTGTTTTTTTTTTTTTACACTGTATTACCAATGAATTTAAAACTACTATATTATAAATTATAGTTATAATTTGAAAATTACACATTGAGTCTACACACTGCAAAGCATTTAAAGTTCTGGGTTTTGTAAAATGCATTAGATTGAAATGTCATTGTAAAACACCTCTGTAAGCCATTTATTGTTCCTCGGTGAATTTAATTATTAAATATTCTTCCATGTTGTGTGACCTATACACAGTGCTTCTGAGTTAGACCGAGTTCAACAACTTCCTATCTTTTGGAGGTTATGTCCTAGGTATTGATCAACTTCTGGATGATTATTCCATTGTCCTTCACCACCTAGGTTTAACACTTTAGGTGACAGAAGAATGTACGCAAACTTATAATTTTTAAATTAGTTGACTGTTAGTTCCATTGATGTCCCATCTCTTCCATCATAAGTTAATTTCAAAGTACCTGCATTCTCCTTATGCAATTTTGCTCCCTTTGCAGTCCTGTTACACGCCATGGTCCTATCCACTGTATGATGTGAATGAACACCTAACTCACCTTATATAATCCTGTTGTATTTCTTAGTTTTAATTTCTTAAATGTGTTAATTAATTTTCTTCTATTACTTATTAATTTATTTTTACTTCCATAATATTATTAATATGTTACTCTAGTCCATAATTCAATTATAATGTATCATTTTATTCTGCCCTCCACCCTCCTATCTATAGTGTATTTAAAATTAAAATAACACAAATGTAAAAACCACAAATTACATTCATTTTCAATTTTACACTATAGAATTATAATTTTCTTTTCTTAAATAACAAAAAATAATTGATTTATCATTTGAGTAGGTATTCAGCCATTAATATTCACTCAAATGATAACTCAGTTTTTTGCAATTGTTGAAGTATTAATACTTTTTGACTAGACCTTTAAAAAGTTTTAATACCCAGTAGCTTGTTTGTGATTCTTTTTTATGTACCTATCAGAGAATGGATCAATTAAATTTTACTTATTTTTTTGTAAGAAATTGGTAGGTATTATTTTTTTATTTCATAAATCTTCTTTTTTTTTTGTAAATATAACAGAATAATTATTGTTACTTGTATTATTTAGAGTACTTATAAAATTAATAGTAAGAAAAAATTTAAATTTTTATAATTTCTGTAAAATATTTAAGATTCTGAGGGGAGTGAGGATTGTGTTGGTTTTACCATTGTGTTTATTTTTTTTATTTTTTTATTTTTGAACAACTTTTTTATCAGAAATTTTGCTCAGATTTACAATGATAGCACTTTTTCTAAAAGGAAATCTGACTGGGGAAGTACATTTGGAAGATCATTTCTTGATTTTCCCTAACAAATTGGAAAAAAAACATAGGAAAAACAGAAAAATAGGTGCAATATTAAACAAATATTATTAAAGAAAATATATAATGCATTTGTAATTAATTATTTTACTATAATATGGCATATATATATATATATATATATTAGAATCGTTTATCCTTAGCAATGGTTAATTGTTGCTCACAGTTATACAATTAAATTTCCCCTCTACCTTTCCAACTTCTCAACTATCTAAGGAATAACCTAACATGATAACATCAATTTTCACACAGATTAGTAGAATTTAAAACTGCTGTTTCTTAGAAACTATTCATTAGATATAAATGTTTGATACATTCAAATTTCCAAAAATAATGAAATAAAGTTATTTTGTTTGAATACAAAAAAAAAATTAATTCATATATAAATATTTGTAGTTCTCATTCCTGTAAGTAATATAAAAAAAACAAACAGAATTTGATTATCTTTATTATCTTCGGAAATATTCAAAGGGTATATCTAAGACTGTCAGTATATTATGGTAATTTATAAATTTAACATAAAAATTTTTTGTTTAGATCAATAAGTGTGCAATACAATTTTTCAGTGGCAACATATTATGAACATAATTTTTATTTTTACAAATTATACTTTGAAAAATGTCAGATATATTGTATATTTAATGCCTAATGTAGTCAAAATTATAAAAATATATCTTACTATAATATAGTATATACATTTATATTATATATTTATTCATTTATTTTATTTGTATTTTTTAGTAATAGTAACAATTGCTATGTTTTTATTATTTATAATTGTCTAAAATTTAATGTTTGAAACATCACAGAATAAGATAGAATAAGATAATTTAATTTTAATTAATAATAATATATTCATTTTTAAATTAGTCCCACACTGCCATTATTGATTTCTTTTAAGTATCTACTATTATACATATGTAAATAAATTAATATTATAGTTTATTTATTTACAAGTGGGAACAATTTTTATTTGATATGTTTAACACTAGTTATACATATTTTTTTAAAGACTCGCTGATCTCTGAATAAATAAGTTTTATATAATGTACACACACACATTAATTTATACATGAGTTTATAAAAACAATCTTGTAATTATATATTAGTTTTATATACATTGTAGGATTTTAAACTTTTATTGGCTAGATAAAGAAAAACAAATCTCATGCTAATGAATTTAGATTTTGTGATGCTTGGAATTTTTAAGATTTTCACTAATTTAACATTAATTACCTTACTAACTTTTAATTTTAATCCAGCCTTGGGTAATATTTTGAATTATTTAAATGATGGAAATTTACTGATTGATTATAATGATAAAGTTAACATTTTGACATCAAATAATAATGGTAATAAATTCTGTGCTCAAATTGGGGGCCCCAGGGGAATCTATACCTAAATTAATTATTCAGAAAAATTGTTTATAGACAGAAAAGAAAAAGAAAAAAAGAACTTTAAAATAAATTCACTATTATGAAATCTTAAATGTATATATGTAAATAAAAATTTAGCCTAGCTATAGTGTTATTAAGTAACATTTTTTTCGTAAATAATTAATGTTGAATTATGTTTTAAAATTAGAACCTGTAGAGAAGGCCACTCTTCTCACTAGTTGTGTTGAGTTTAATAATTACTAGCAATATTAATTTGTTTTAATTTTTTTCTATTTGAGCACTGTATTCAGAGAAATTCTCTCTCTGAATAAATAAGTTTTATATAATGTACACACACACATTAATTTATACATGTGTTTATAAAAACAATCTTGTAATTATATATTAGTTTTTTATATATTGTAGGATTTTAAACTTCTCACTAGTTGTGTTGAGTTTAATAATTACTAGCAATATTAATTTGTTTTAATTTTTTTTTATATTTGAGCACTGTGTTCAGAGAAATTATAATTATTAGTGATTTATTCATTATTGTTATGAGAAAAGTTTCAAAATTTGTTTGTGAGAAAATTTGAACTTATTCATCTTGGTGTAAACTTTTTCATAATTATTTTTTTTTTTTACTAAAATTGTTTTAAATAACATTTATTTTGTTTCTAAATGTAAATAATTGGCCTTTCTACCCTAATATTTTAATGAATCTTTGCATACTTACATAGTTATGGTCATGTGTTTTACTTAAAAATATAATTTAGTTTTTAAGCACATGTATAATTAAACATTTATGGATTAATGAAGTTTTTAATTAATTAAATAAATATTAGTAAACTATGCAAGTATACTAAATAATAATTTAATAAACAATGAGTAATAAAATTAAAAAATTGTAAATAACAGTTAACCAGTTTAATGGTAAATTAATAATATAATACAATGTATTCATATATAAATTTTTATATTTCAAAAACAAAAAAAGCAAATTCTTATTAAAACTTGACATTAGTGTAATAATATTTTTTTTTTTATTACTATTGTTGCATTTATGAGCATTTTTTTATAATAAAAGTTTATTTGCATTATGTTTAGACATATTTTAATAATACAAAATATTTGATGTTTTAACCAATGTACTTTTAATGTTTTTGTCTTAATATATTGTATGACCTTTGATTTATAATAATAAATTATTACCTAATAAATTTAATTGTATTCAAACTATAATTGATAAGAATTTTTTGGTTTTAATCCTACCTATTGGATCTTGTAAAAACAATACTAAGTAATTTGTAATGATTTTTACTTTATTTTTTACAATGCTTATTTCCCTAATTATGTATTTAAGTAAAACATTGTTTCATATTATACGTAATCATTTTAACAAATATATTATCTATTAATAATTTGTTTGACTTAATTATTCAAATAAAAATTATACAATATTCTTCAAATATTATCATTTTTAAAATAAAAAATTTTTTTCATTTTTTAAGTTCTCAAGACATAAAATTCAGACTTACTATTAACGATAACATTGTTTATGACATGTATGTTTTGTATTTGTATATTTGTTCTTATTTCTAAAACTACAAGATATTGGTTGTTTTTACACAATACTTCTTGAACTAAGTAAGTTGGTATAACCCAAAAGACCCTTATATGCTATGCTTCCTGTGGACATCTGACAAATGTACAATCATTTTTGTTCTGTTCAATATACTTTTTTATTTTTATTTTTTATAATTACTGTTGTCCTATTATTGTACTTTAAATTTATTTAATAAAATCCAAGATTCATTTTATAAATTTATTTTGAAATGAAATGTTGGTGTTTAAAATGTATATTAATGTATCACACGTGTAAAATATAAGAATCAGTGAAAGGCACTAGTTATTAGATATGATAAAAAAGTAAAAAAATCTTGAGTAATTTGAAACAGAACAAAATTTATTGTATTGCCATAGATAACAGACAATTATTAACTACTAATTTATAATGAAAATACATAACAATACATTTATGGCATTTTTTATATAAGTTACTTTTTGAAAGTTAAAATTTTCAAAAAGTTAATAATGGTTTAATTATTATAAGGATGAAAAGAATAATTTGTATTAATAGTAGAAAAGAATCAATATCTAATATGTTATATAAAAAGTCAATATTTTTTAAAATGAATGTTTAACAATAAAATAATCACCTATGACATATTGATAGAAAATATCATTTTTTCTGATAAGTAGTTACAAAAGTACAAAATAAAAGTAAATACTTGTTATAAAATATTATCATAGTATATACAAGCACCAAATTACCATTTAAAAACACTGTTTTGTGCGATTAAAACCTTAGGAATTTTCTTTAGGTACTCACCATTACCATTTATTAGAGAAGGAGAAATAAATTATTATTAGTTAATAATTCAAAGTTCAAACCCAGTACTTATATCACAGTTGGACTCATAGCTCTATTTCACAATGCAAATACATTTTTACCATGTTTTATTGTGCTTTGGTCAAATACGATAATACAGGAAACTCATGTTTATCAATAGAGACTAACTCTGATGTACTATTCTTGGATCATTCAACTGTGGTAACTGTTTCCAATTTTTTATGTATTCAACTGTAGAACATTCAAAATATGATTCAGATAATTTTTGACACCTCAAATAATTAAATATAATATAAACCTAATATAATCAAATAATTAATTCTGCTTTATGTGATTTAGTTTAAATATAGGTAGTCAGATAGATACAACAGATTTATTTCAGTTCATACCTGAATTAATAGGGTTTTTCTTAATTTTCAATTTCAAAAAATGTTAGGTCATTCAGATAAAGTTAACCTATGCTGACTTGAACTTGAAGTTTAAACTTCAAATAGTTAAGTATTATTCAATTCGTTCAATACATTATTTACCAAAATGTTTAATAAGTAAAAGTAAGAATAATTAATTATTATGTACAAATTTAAAGGAAACTATTTTTATAAATTCAAGTCTCAAGAAATTTGTCCATTTTTATATTCATTTAACTTTTGGCTAAGAAATACAATTTTTTTACAAGTTATTTTAGATAATGTTCTAGTACTTTTAATTTGAAGGTAAATATCACATTGCAAATTCTTTATGACTTGAATAAATTAAAAAATATTGGGATAGATTGAATAGTTCATTGAATTAAATTTAGAGTGAAATGATTTAATTTTTTCATTGGGACTTAACTCTTGTACTAAAAATTCCAACAGGAGACAACGAATTAACTGCAGATTCATTCTACCATTGTTATTAAATCTGTTTGCCATAAATAGTGGGTAATCATTATCTATAGATTTGTGTTGTAAATTTGGTTAGGTTCATAGGTTTTTCTAGAAATAACAAAAGGTAAATGTAAATTTGTTCAATTTTTTTCATATTTTTTTTTAATGTAAATGAAAACTACAAGAAAAATCAAAAAATGACTGCCCTATTGTAGTAACTAAATCCAAGACATTACAAAAGAGCTGTCTGTCATTTTTTTTAATGGAAAAAGTTAGATTACTGATATAAAAAGTTGTTTGTAAAAGTGTTAAAGTTTATACTGGGGATGGGTGTGTCAGTGCCACTATTATAGTTGGAAAGTTGGGTAAGATACATTTGATTATTTAATTTATGACTGTACGCAACGCATAAGTTGCCAACAAAATGTGATTCGGAGCGAAATTCAGTAAAGCATGTTATGAAATGCTGTCATTTTTAAGATTTTCATCAAAATTTAATCTTAAAATGTTTATAAAAAATAAATAAATGTATTAAACTCAAATTTGGTTTTTTAGACTACTAAGTATAACTATATTGAACTTTGTGTTAAATTTCCAAACATTTTTGTAAAGTCATTACATATATAAACACAAAAATGTCAAATGTCTACAAAAATAATCCAAAAATAGCTAGAATGTTTTAAACATTTTACCATAACTAGTCTGTCTAGAAAAGGCCAATATAAGTATATTATGAAAACTACAGATCTACAATTATTTTTAACCAATTAACAACAAAAAAAACTGTATTAAAAATTTATCACTTTTTAAAATAAATAAATAATATGCATAATTTATCAATATACAGATTTTGTACAAATAAATACTATTAATACTAATTAAAAATAATAATATTGATTACTTTCAAAATTATTAACAAGGCTATATTATAGTCATTGACTGTCCTATTTATATTATTTGAGATGACAGTGAAGAAAGAATCATCTGAAACAATGTTTTAATTATTAAACAACCACATATTTTGAAATATTTTTTTTTTATATGCCTAATAATATACTTTACCTATAAATATCATAAATATGTATAACATTGTACTTATACATTTTTACTGTGGGTATTGTAATACTAACGTATTATTACACATTACTTGGTTCAAATTTCAAGGCATTAAAAGCTTTTTTTAAATATAGTAAATGTATAGTGTACCTAAAAACCTATATTGTACATGTATCTAATTTTATCAATTTTGTTTTTTATTAAAATGCATACCTATTATCTACCCTAAAATCTGAACCCACAAATAACAAAATATTTAACATAGCTAATGCCAAAATATTAAGTGTAAGATTAATTAATGTACTTATTGCATAGTGGATACCTACATTATCAGGGGCGCCTAACTACAAAAAATTCACTAGGACGATTGACGATTATACAATTTGTTTAAGACCCACTAACGTTCTTGTACTGACAAATAAACGTATGGATATTACATTATTATTTAACTTTAATTCACCACCTATGGCTACTCATTTGTATTTTATTCTTTAATAAATAATAAGCATACAATGGCCATAGAAGGTGAAAATGAAAATTTAAAAAAAATTAAAAATTATATCTCGAGCAGTATTTCTCATAAGACTATTCAATTAACCAAGTGTTGGGTCAGTTGTATAGTATACATGGTTACATTTTCCGTTCTCCCCCCTGCACCCTTCCCAGAGATTTATATAATATCTAAAGCCATAAGCGACAAGTCTCTAAAAAGTAAAAAGTGTATTATTCGGCATTTCGAACATTTGACATTTTGACGTAATGTCGTAATGAATCGCCAATTCCCCCCCCCCCCCCGCTAATAAATTGTATATTCCCTTTGACCGATGACTGTTCACAATGCCGACTGATATTTCGCGCCAAATTGTTGACAGATAATACAAATCATAGTCCTAACTTTCGAACACTCCGGTTTCGTTTTTGTAAAACGTTTATAAACGCACAACTATTAACCACAGAAGAGGGTTTATTTTATTTCAATAAAAAAATTTAATATTGTTTAATACAAATTTGTTTTGGTTATTGCCTATTGTTTGTTGTAGTTGAACAATTTGTAAAATCGTCTATTAGTTTAGAGCCAAATAGTTATGAGGTACGATTTATTTTCTCGCAGTTAGATTTCAATTGAATACCAGCCACCGTCAAGGGAGTGCCGTCAATTTTTGTTTACATACACCGTGCTTGTAAGTAGTTATCACGTTTCTAACGTAAATAATAATTAAATTTAACTTAGCACTATGTAAGGTGTGAGATCGGGTCAAATGGAAGTTTAGGATAAGAGTAGCGACCACAAATAGTTTGCATGAAGGTGAAGGAGTAGAAGATCAATTTGCACTATTTATTTACGGTTTAGTTTTTCCAAATGAATAGTAACAATATCTTCCGCTCTAATAAAGTAGTCTTTTTATTATTAGTCATTTTAATATGTAACTACAACCTACTTGTTTTTATAAAATATATATGCATTTTTTTTAATTACAATTGCTAATCAATAGGGATAAGAGAACTATAGTTACTTACTCCAAAAGTATGCAATTGGCCTAATATCTGTTATTTATTATTAAGGTTTAAAATGCGTTATGTGTACATTTGATCAGTTAGGTTTTTTAAACAATTTGATAGTATATAGATTAATAAACATTTAACATACACAATATATTTTCATGGTTTAATGTACTATTGTCAATACGAATGACGGCTTGGTGATATATTAAATTATAAAAGTTTCATCTTTTTAGAGTTTTAATAGTTTCAGGTATTGGAAATCTTTAAAATATATTTTTTCTTTTTCAAAATAATTCAGTTGATGTGCCGAACCATTTGCAGAGGTTTTATAACCTTCAAATCTTTTTGTATAAGTCTACTTTACCGAACATCCTTTGTTTTTCAATTTTTTTTTAAAAACTTGTGTTTTTTGATATTGATTTCTGAACTGTACACATTGGACAGTAATGAACTCAATACATAAGTTCTTAAAGCTCAGTTCACAATAAGGCAACTTATAACAACTTTTTAAGTCAAATTATGTTGAGACAACAAAAGTTCCTATATATTTTCAGAAGTTACTAAATGTTTCCATTAATAATTTATTGCAAGCAACAAAAATTTCTCATTGTTTCATTTTTTGTTTGAAATCGAAACATTTTACCACAAAACAATGTAATAAATTTGTAAACAGGCGACATGTAGCTAAAAGTTTATCAGTGTGAACTCAGTTTAGTCCAGTTGTTTATCAATGTTGCTGTAGCTTTGTTGCCTAAATGTGTACGCTATGTTTTGAATGTTGCAATTTGTTTTCACGTGTTACGGAACAATAGGAAATTATAGACAACTTAGATGTCGTTTTATGTTCTTAGTGTGGACTGGGCTTAAGAGTAATGCATTACCCAATGTGCCATAGTTAATTCTAAATAAATGATTATAAAATAAATAGGTAGGTATTTAACCTGAAACCGTATTAATGACGAATTTAAAACTTCCATAACTCCTTTATAATAATTTTTGTAAAAAAATTCAAAAAGTTCTGAAATAAGCGTCAAAACAAGTTTTCAAAAAAAAAATTTAAAAATTAAGAGTGTCTGGTAAAGTGAATTTATTCCAATCTTTCTTCTTCTAACACATCTTGTTCAACTCATGTTTACACATAAATTTCATATTTAATTATAATCATAATTATATATTTATTTAGAATATCTGTACCTATGTATTTTTGAATTTCACTAATTATTTTTAGCCTAGCATGGTTGTTAACCAAACCAACATCATAAAAATCATTATAAACTCATACATCTATTAAGCTATAGGTACCTATAATAATATTTGTAATAAATATAAAATAGGTAGGTAACTTATGATTTTTGTTTAATAATATAATGTATATATAGACTGGAAGTCAATTATCATGGAAGTAAATTGTGTAATTAAAAATATTAACTAATATGTACACCATGCATAGCCTTAATGACGATTAATGTGCCCTTGTGTTTTAAATTTTGGTTAATTGTATTTTACTTATGAAAGTCTTCAAAGTTGTATTTAATGTTCCAGTAAACAATAAGTACTATTTAAAACTGTTAAATCTTCTTTAATGTACTCATCTAATTTGTATGGTTTTATTTTGTAGATTTTGCATGTGTATTGAAAATATTTAATTGATGTTCATTAATTACATAACATTCAAGTAGTTATTTAATTTAACAATATGTCCGACGATCAGAATTTCAAAGATGTAATAGTCAAAGAAAAACTTAATCCTCCTTCGAGTTTTTTATTTCCATTTACTCCATATGGTATTCAACATGATTTCATGACTACACTTTATTCTGCTTTGGAAAATAAGAAACTAGGCATTTTTGAGAGCCCCACTGGAACTGTAAGTTAACAAATTAGATTACCTATGTTATGTTTTATTAATGTTACATGTTGGTAATAAATACATTTTTTTTAATGTGAATGTTTTGTAAACATTTTAATTTTATTTTTTAACAGGGTAAAACACTAAGTATTATTTGTGGAGCTGTACGTTGGTTATTTGATCATGAAAAAAGAGAATTGAGGCAACTTCAATTAACCTTGGATTTTCTGGCTAAGAAAAAAGAGGAGTTATCTAATGATGATGATTGGATTGTTGGACAAGCCAAGTTATTAGAACAACAACATAAAGTCAATGAGATAAATTTAATGATTAAAGCATTGGAAGAATTTAATGTTAATATTGAACAAATAAAAAAGGTACCTATTATATATTTGGCATAATTCTAGTTTAGCCGGGAATTAAGTATACTAGTGAGTTTTAAACATTTTTTTTTTTTAAAATAATTGTTTTTAATACTTCATTTATTGGTGTAATCAAAACTTATCTATTAATTGTACTTACTTTTAGAGTCTTTGTACATAAACTTTAAAAATAGTATTTTTGGACTATCACGTAATACATGGTTTAAATGATTGCGAATGTAATTTTTGCAAAACAAATCGAGGGATATTTTCATTAAAATCTTTGTTTTTTCCTACTAATATGGTTTTGCACATCAAATCAAAAGAGACAAAGGATGATTTTTTTAAATAAAATGTTTTTAATTAAAATTTGCTGTTTTTATTTTAGAGGGGCAATAATTACAACGCTTTTAACATCTGTAACTCTAAAACTAAGTCAGATAGACTTATTGTGACTTCAATAAATAAACTTTGTTATTTAAAACTACATTTAATTAAACAGAAAAAAATTAAAATGTGAATTTTTGATTATTTCTAAAAATGCTCTATTTAAGGTTTATATAAAAAAAATTCTAAAACTAAGTATGATAGGTAAGTTTTGATTATACCAATGAATCAAGCATTAAAAACCATGTTTTGAAATATTTTTTCTAAAAAATATTTATTTCAAACTAAAAATATGTCTAATGAAAAAAATTTAACATTTTGAAGCTTTCACTAATAACTTCCAAAGAAAGCTCGTTTGGCCTTTTTTTTTTTACATTCTTAATGTAACGCAAAAACATAATTAAAAAAAAAAAAAATCAAAATAATCACTAGTATATTAAACTAGAATAGGTCCAAATATTTTACTTTTGAACCAAATTTTGAATTTTAAAAAGATTAATCATATTTTAGAAGATGGAGTTTAAAAAAACTAATGTTAAAAATTCATTAGAAGTTAATTGTTCAAATCAAAAAGACTATACTGCATTAAATAAAATTGACAACAAAGATTTCTTTGATGAAGAAACTGAATTGTTACTTGAAGAATATAATGAATGTTCTTTGAAAGATGTTGATATTAATGAATCATCTGATGAAAAAATTCAATATGAAGGGGTTAAAGTAAATATTAATATTTAATATTCATTTTAAAAACTGTATTATATTATTAATTATAGCTTCATTATGTTTTAGGAAAAAAATATCTAATATTGTATTATGAGGCATTTTTTTAAGTTTTATTTCATTTTGTGATTGCTAATTTATCTCTGAGGTCGTTGAGATGAGTTGTTAATAAATGTTTAATTTGTTGATTTTTAGATTTATTTTTGTAGTCGGACTCATTCTCAATTATCACAGTTTGTGGCTGAAATTAAAAAAAGCCCTTATTCAACGACTCGTATCACGTCTTTAGCTTCACGTCAAAATTATTGCATAAATAAAACTGTTAAAAATTTGAAAAATATAACATTAATCAATGAAAGGTAATATTTAAATTTCTAAATTCAATAAATGAATATTGCTTAAAAAAAAAAAAAAATAAATAAATAGGTTAAAATTATAATATTTTATTCCTTTTATTTCTTCTGGGCGCAAGATTTATAAAATTGTTCACAGATGCCTAGAAATGGGAAAATCAAAAGTAAAAGAAATGCCTACTAAAGTATTGTCTTCAACTGGACTGACAGTAAAGAAAAAAAAAACTCAATCTGTATGCAAATGTGTGTATAACGATAAAGAAAAAATTCAATTATTTGCTCAAGAAGTAGTTACTGAAGTTAGAGATGTGGAGCAATTAATTAATAGAGGAGAGCAATTATCAACTTGTCCATATTTTGCAAGTAGAGAATCTATAAAATATTCTCAGGTAATACATTATAAAGTATTAGTATGTATTTATTATTTTGTTTATTTACCTTGTTAATGTATCATAATTTATAATATTATGTAGATTGTGGTTTTGCCATATAACACATTATTGCATAAACATACTAGAGAAGCAAATGGTATTCACTTAGAGGGGAATATATTTATTATTGATGAAGCTCATAATCTATTAGATACAATTAGTCATATACACAGCTCTCAAATAAATGGACAACAGGTAAAAAAAAAAAAAATTAGGATCATTATTATCATTTTTTCACATAGAATGTAATTGGTAGTTTTGAGTAGTTATTGAATTTCTATTTTTTTTTTTTTTTTTAAATATATTAATATTTCAGTTAACTCACAGCTATTCTCAACTGATACAGTATAAAAATCAATATGAATTAAGGTTTACAGCTAGCAATTTACTGTATTTAAATCAATTGATTTATGTTATCGGGAAGCTCATTTTTATGCTTGGTAATGAATATACCCAAAGAAATCTTTTTTTATATTTGTATTTCAATTTATTATATTATAGGTGGTACTCCTGGTGAAAGTCATGTAGAAGCTTGTCAAAAAGACATGCATGATGAAAAAGTATACACACTTGAAGATTTTGTACATGAAGCTGAAATCGATCATTTAAATATGTTCACATTGGTTGATTTTATTAAAAATAGTAAAATATGTCAAAAAGTAATACGAGTTTTTAACTACGCCTTTTCAATAATGTATTAATATCTACAATGAGTTATTTTTTTAGATTCGAGGTTATTCCGAAAAATATATGCCTTCAGTAACATTACATCCATCTAAACCTAAAATAAGCAATCTGCAAGCTTTCCTCAAAGATATTAAATCAAAAAACAATAACAAAAGTGCTAAGACTAAAGAAGGTTTGCAAAAATAAAAATTAAAGAATAATGAGTTAAAATAATTTAATATTTAGTTTTTAAAATTATACTAATGTACTTTTAATAATATTATTAATATAAGATAAAAGTAAGCAGCCGGAGTCACAAACTACAGAAATTATTAGCAGTAATCCTCTTATACCAGTAACGGAGTTTATAGAATCACTAATGAATCACTGCGAAGATGGGCGAATTGTTTGTACTAGACAATCATTTGTTAGCAAAGGAAAGTTAAAATTTTTGCTCTTGAATCCAGCAGTTTATTTTAAAGAAATAGTAGAAAAAGCCAGGTTAAAAAGACTTTATTTCAGCAAAATTATGAAACTTACATATTATTATCAAATATTATTTTGTTAATATTTGTATGATGTATTTAAATTTGAAATATCTATAACTAAAAAACAATTCTCACTGTTAGGTCGGTTATTGTGTCTGGTGGTACTATGGAGCCTATATCTGAATTCAAAGATCAGTTATTTAATTCAAATGGTAATAACTCTGATAGAATTGTGCATTTCAGCTGCGGTCATGTAGTACCTTCTGATCATATACTACCAATGATTGTACGATCTGGTCCAAATGAAAAGCTATTTGATTTTTCTTACCAAGAGAGAAGCACAATTACAATGGTACCTATATTAATTTTTTAAGCCAAAGTTCAATGTTTAATGAGTTATTGAATAAAATTTAAAAGTGAAATTGTTTTGCAGCTTAAAGAAATTGGTTCATTTCTTGAAAATATTTGTCGAATAGTGCCTGCCGGAATTGTGTGTTTTTTCCCATCTTATGAATACGAACAGTTGGTTTATCAACATTTAGAGACAAATAAAAACATTGATAGAATATTACAAAAAAAAAAAGTAAATTTATATTATAAATAAGAAGATTTGTTATTATTTTAAATTAAAAAAAAAAAAAAAAATGTTTTAAAAATGTTTAATTAAAGGTATTTAGAGAACCAAAAACCACTAATCAAGTTGATGAAATTTTAAAAAACTATGCACAAGCTATTACAGAATCTAAATCAAGTTCTAAAATTACAGGGGCTTTGTTATTCAGTGTTATTGGTAATTTAATTTTAAACATTAAAAGTTTGATTAACAATGCATTTTTTCTTAATACTCATTTGTTACATTGCCATAGGTGGTAAGCTAAGTGAAGGTTTGAATTTTAGTGATGATTTAGGACGGTGTATCATTGTAATTGGTCTTCCATATCCAAACATTAAGTCAGCCGAGCTACAAGAGAAAATGAAGTATTTGGACTATCAAATGGTATGTGTATTAAATATTAATATTAATTAATGCTAGTCTTAAATTTATTTACTTTTGATTAGGGTCATGGTATGGGTCAAAAATATTATGAAAATTTATGCATGAAAGCAGTTAATCAGTCAATTGGCCGATCAGTACGTCATCAGCAAGATTATGCAGCAGTATTATTATTAGATTATCGATATCAAAGAGAAAATGTTAAAAATTCTCTTTCTAAATGGCTGCAACCGTCATTAAAAATCCACCCCAAGTTTGGATCTGCATATCACCAATTACATAAGGTATAAAAATGGTATAAATATAATTCAAAAAATAATTATTTTTGATAATTTTTATGAATAATATCATAATTCAATATAATATATTGCATTTTTATCAATATAGTATAATGTAATACAAATGATACAAATCTAATTATGTACCAAAAAAAAAAAAAAAAAATTATAATAATTAGAGTAGTGCTACTTTTTCATTACCTTTAACTAAATAATCTATACTGTTTGTCAATATTTGGTTACCTATTTGAAAGTTATATAATTTAGTTTTCTTTTTTTTTTCAGTTTTTTGTCATGAAAAAAAAAATGTAAATATAGCATTAAATCTTTGGACCATCTGAATACAAATCTACCATAAATAATTTAAAATAGTATATGTATGTATATCTAAGTATACTTTTTTTACTTTTATTACCTATTTTTATTAAGCATTTAAAACATTAGTATACATATTACAAGTTTTTTTTTTAATAGTTAATTTTTTATATTTCATATTGTTACACATTAAAAAAAAAAACATTGGTGTATTATCTGATTTTAATTCCTGCTCTACTCTATTTTCCAAGAATAATTAACAAATATACCAGTTTAAAATATAAATATAGTAAATATATAAGTTACAGTTATTGTATACACTCATGTGGTACAATTTTATGTTTCTACCTACTAGGTATTGTGTGCTCAGTTAAGTGTTATCATTAATATTAGAAAAATCAAATTTATACCCTTTAAATATCCTTAACTAAGGGTTAATTTTAAAAGTGAAGAACTATTTGAATTTGATGATTTTTGGATTAGATACCTTAGCTATGTTTTTTTGAATGTCTGCAGTTGGTGAAAATTGGTAATGTCGATATTTTTTTATTTAAATGTAATTTTAGGAATAACGAAAAAGTTATTATAATACTATAATATTAGATATTGTAAATAATAATAGTTAAGTAAATAATTTAGTAGGTATCTATTGCATTTACCTACAAGTTGATAATTTTAATAAAATGTTTTATTACCCATATTGATAATGGCCATGCTATGCTGCCTTTTTAACATTTAATTTGATATTATTCAACACAATAATTACCTATATATTTTATTGTATACAATTGATTTACACAAGAATCAAAACTTTTTTTCAAATGGAAATAATGTGTGAAGTATTTTATATTGAATTTAATAACTTAGTATCTAATAAAAGACATGTTAATTCTTTTTTTTTATTGTCTGAAAAATGTCAACTTTTAATTACATAAATTAAATTTTTTTTTGTTAAACATATTCTTAAATTTAAAATGAATCAAATTCATCATTTGGTACATTTGATGTAACTAAAAAATTGTGGTTGTGGAAATGTGGACATTGTATGTAGTACAAAATATGTATGACAGTTTTTAATGTAGCAATAAGTAAAACTATTTCCCCGGTTTTTAAAAATAACAATTTTTGTAGAATAATCATAAATCTTATGCAGTGAAATGCATATAATAGATAAAATGGTATATTTATTTCTTTCATACTAAAGTATACAGGACATAGATATATTAATACAAGTATGCATAACATAAAGGTACTACAGTATTTTGTAAAATACAAAATTTAAAATGGTACAAAACCAACTGTTGTTTAGAGAACTCTCATCAAGCTGTCAGTACTGTTCCCATAATGGTCGTCAAGTAATTCAGTAGGTATTTGTCTGTGTTCTCTTACTGCATTTTGTTGAATCAGCTCCCTGAGAAATAATGGAAAATTCTATGTAAGTAGATAGGTATGTCAGTAGTAAATTGTAAGTAGATTTACATACAACTAAGATTAAAATAATAACTACCTGAATTACATACAAGTATAAAATATTATGCTGAAATTTCAACACAATTTTTTTAAATTAATATATTGGTTTTACTGCGATGTGGGTGATTTTTTTTTTTAAATTGTTTTTTCTGTCAACAACTTTTCCACCAGAAAACTTGCCCAATCAAAATTAAATTAATTTCAATCAAATGATGAGAGATTTATTTAGCATTTTAGATCTAATTGGTAAATTGCCCATTGGTGAGATTATATTTTGGTTTTCTAAGCAATTTTCATAATAATTGTGATAAAACTAAAAAAAAAATGTTACTATAAGAAAAATGAACAAATTTAGGACTATAAAAGATTTAGTATTTTGAATTTTGTTTTTATTATAATTGAGTTAAAATTTAGATACCTAAAATGTTCACAGACTATAAGTATATTATATTATAGTACTTATATTGGTTTTTTCCAGACGTGGTAAAAATATTTTGATCATTTTGAGACTATTTATTGGCATTTTGCTACGCATACATGTTCGAAATGAGGTTCAATTAACTAACACACGACAGCAAACTTTCGTTCAACAGGGATAACTTTGTACTATTAGTTTTAATATGAAAGTCAATTGACCTATTATCAAACTTAAAAAGACAAAAACATTATCTATGTAACTACCTTGATTTTTTTAAATTTTTATCGACGTACATGAGTATGTGAAATAACACAAATTAAATATGATTACTTAAATATCAAAATATCAAATAAACCGACAGTTGTACGTATAATGTACTTATATTTTTAATTTTGAAATAGGTTAATTCTCTCGAATGTTAAATCTAACGAGCACAATTGGTCTTGATTAACGTAAAAATGTGCTGTGTTATGCGTTTGTGAAAAGGAAACAACACATACGGGCCATGAGATTTAACAAATGTAGCAAACCTTGCTTTTCGTTTGAGTATTTCCTGGGCGTTCGGGTAAAACTTGATTGCTTCGTTAAGGTCTTCTTTGCTCAGTACGAAAATATTGGAAAACCCGTGAGATCTGTAACATTAGAAATATTATGTGTATCAGTGTGCTAAGGTGCATGCAGTATAAGTTATAGTATTATATATGTATATGCATTAACAATTTTTAAATCTGATTGAAATTCGTGCGTGTTATTAGTATTTTGCTAAGAAATATAAATTTGTAGTTTGGTTCAAAAACGGTTAGTATCAGAAAAAAAAAAAAAGCTGATAGTTTGGACGAATGTGTCATTTTTGTAAGTGGGAAGTTGAGAAGGTAGGAAAGAAATTTGATTTATATCTATACGTACCGATAAATCACTGATAAACGATTATGAGCGAAGATCGGTTACATGTTTTGAAATAAAATAACTTTTACGATTTTCGTCAAAATTTAATATTAAGACAAATGCATTACGCCCAATTTTTTTCTCAATCATTAAATACAACTTGAAACAAACTTATTTATATTTGATAAAACAATTATCCACAGAATACTCGCTAAATAAAAATTTAAAAAAATATATACAATTTGGAGCAAGATTTTTAAGAAAATAAAAATCGAAAAAATTTAAAATAATGAAATTGTTTTCGCTGTAAATTTATCCGTTTTTAATTTATGGTTTTTTCCCGATTATTATAAAAATTTTTTAGAAATTTAAACTCTTTTTTTTTTTTTTTTTTTATTTATCAATAGACGAAATTTGTCAAACTTTACAAAAGAATCAGCGAGTTAATAATTAATTTCGTGATCAAAGGTACTCATGACGTCAGCGCTCACTAACATCGGTACATCAAGCGTTGTTGTTCTTGGCTAATACTTAACCTAGAATTCCCTATATTCATTGTCTCATTACCATTTTTAACAGATTCACCACAACTATTATTATATTCAAGATTCATGTTAGTACCTACAGGTGTTTTAGTTGTTTTACCTTGATCATCTATCAATTCACCACCATACTCATTATAGAGCTCAATATTCTCTTTGCTTTTTAATCATATAGAATTTGTTCTAATTATATTACCTTTCACAAGTTTCACTAAATAACTTCTTGGGCTATCAAATTTTTTAATTATTGTTCATAGTCCCCATTATTTTTTAAATTGGTTTTGAACATATACCAACTAATCACTGAATTTATAACTATTACTCCTTTTTTTAATTTAGTTAAATTTAATTTTAAAACTTCTAACCATCTAAAATAATAGTCTTCAACAACCAAATAGTTTATTTTATTTTACTCAGCAATATCAAGTGCAATTTTTTTAAAATGGTATATCTGGTATATAATGTGATTTAAATGGTTGTTTTACTTTACTAGAACTAAATCTCAAACAAACAGGACATGAGCTAATACAATTTTCAATTTTGCTATTAATACCAGGGTAATAAAATAGTAGTTTTACTCAGGCTTTTGTTTTTCTGATACCAAAATGAGGTTCATGAAGCTTTTTAATTACATACTGCTTCATAACCTTAGACACAATTAGTCGCGTACCAAAATTAATCAAACCATTTTCCAAGTACAAATTATTTCGTAATTTCCAGTAGTGATTAAGCTCTTCCTTACATTTAACTTTCGGCACCCTTTTTCACAATATTCTATAATTTGTTTTAGTACTTCATCATATTCAGTTTTTATTTTTTAAATTCATTCTCTCTATTATTTTAAAAATTAATTTGTGTGTCATTAATTTCATGAATCACCTCAGTTACTATAGTTTTACCAATTTCTTGTCTTTTAACATAATTTTTGTTCAATAAATCGGCTACATACATTTCACGCCCAGGGAGATATTTTACTTCTAAATCATACAACATGCACTTCAAACGTAACCACCTTAATCAATTATTAAGAATTTTATTGAGTTCTTTTAATATGATCGAACCAAGAGGTTGATATACAATCACTTTTTTCCATAAATCGATAAATGGAATTTAATATAAGCAAAATAATTAGCAAACCAAATTATCTCCTTTTAAACCACTGCTAGTGAAAAAATAATATAATGGAAACTTCCAATTTGTATAAAGTCCGTGAACTATAATAACTAATACGTAAAAATCTATTTTATTAGTTCGTCCTAATGTAGCAATGTCCCCAAATCTTCAAATCCTTCAATTTCGTCTAACATCTTATTATACTCTAATTTGTTTATAATTACCACTTTATCAATTGTGTTTTATACATTTTTTTTTTCTGCCTATGAATAACTATTCTACCAAAAATTTTCCTCTAAAGTATCAAGTTAGCACTTTTTCTAAAAGGAAATCTTCCCTAGTTGGTGCATTGTGGAGGTCATTTTTTGATTTTCTAAGGGGTTTTCAAAATGTTTTGAAAAATCCCGAAATAAAATTATAGGCAAAACGGCAAATAATTATGGCGTTACTGAATTCATTGTTTTTAATTTTTGCAAATTATATTTTTTACTAGAAATATTGCTCCAATCGAAAAATTATACGTGATCGACTTTGTTTCATTTAATATTTAGCTACTGATAGAGGAAATCATTTTTTATAACTAAAATAGTTTATATAATAATTGGGAAAAACTAAAAAAGACTAAAAGTACAATTTGTTTTCAAATTACGGAGCAACGATTTCATTATTTAAAATGTTTAGATTTGTCTACCAAAAATCTTCATTCAAATATGCCAAGAAAAACATAATTTTTGATAGAAAATGTTTTCTAGTTTATAAATAAAGTAATTGTTGTTTGATTTTTCGTTTTGTTTTCCTCATAATTACGAAAAACTTCAGAAAAACTTAGAAAATACGTTAAAGTGTACGGCATTTTGATTTTTTTTGTTGTTATTCGGTTGAAAATTATTGTAGAGAGAGGCCTGTAGTTTTCACAAAATACTTAAATGGACCTATTGTAAACGTGGTAAAAAGTTCAAAACATTTTAAATATTTTTAATCTTTTTATTAACCTATATTTACTTTTTAACCTATTTGATATTTTCGTATTTTTGTATACTATATATTTTTATTTGGTAGGTTTCTGTTATTAACATTATATCACTTAAGAGAAATGTTTGAAAATTTAACACAATGTACATTTTGGTTCACTATGTTGAACTTAGAAGTTGTACATAGTGAGCTAAAAAACAAATTTGAATTTAATGCCTTAGTTTTTTTTATAGTGCCTTGTTATTTTATAAATGTTTTTCAAAATAATTCTGTTTATTTAATTGAAATCTAGACATCTAGTATTATAAATTGAGTATATGCATAATAATGTAAAAGTAAAAATTGTATTTAGCTAATAAATAAAAATAGGCACTACTATAATTGGTATTTTTTTATCTTACATGACGTATTAATTGATTAATGTATACATGTCATTGTTATTGCAAGAAGTGAAATTATTATTAGTCAGATTTATTTGAGATTGTCCAATTATGCAAATCAAACATTTTCGTATTCCTGCAACAAATTATTAAATTTGCAACAGATTTCTCTTAAGCAAAAGGTGACTTATTACTATACGATATAGTCATTTGCTGCAGTAATACGAAAATGTTTGATTTGCATAATTGGACAATCCCAAATAATTGAATATAATAATAGTTGTGGTGAATCTGTTAAAAACGGTAATGAGACAATGAATATAGATGATCAAAATCGATATTGAAAAAGTGTGAGTTCTGAAAAAAGAACCAGAAGTAATAGGCTTATTAAAAAACTAGTAAGATTTGATAATTATGTATTTTAAAAAAATGTATTAAATATATTTATGTGTAATTTAAAAATTAGTTTTGTGAATTTTGTAATTTTCATATTTTTATTGTATTATTATTATTAGTAGTAGTAATATTAAGTAACCATAATCATTTGTTTTGTTTTAAAAAAAAGAAAAAGAAAAAAAGATGTTACAGTAGTAACACTGCCTATTTTATAATGTTAATTACTCTAAAGTAATATTATGATTAACTGTTAAGAAAATAATTATTATATTAATAAAAAGTAGTGTGTATGTACATGATGAAATATTATATTATGTTATGTGTTTTATTTTGTATTATATAATAAATTATAATTTAAATGGTTTCTTCTGTAATAACGTAAAACATAACTTATAGCAAACTTTGACTAAGATATGCGGATAAAAATTATATTTATATCATGCAACACCTAATAAAAGCGTAAGAAACAATTTATTAAATGGCAATTTTGAGATAAATAAAAATAAATTAGTGTAATTAAATGATTAAAAATAGCATATGAGGTGGATTCAAATAATACGCTCGAGCATTAATTAAAATTACACTAACACACTTAAATCTAAATCCATTTAAAAAAATTAATTGCAAATTAGCGATACAATTATTGAGTAATTTATTATCTGCCTTTTGAAATAAATTCAATGTTTAAAATTTTTTTGGGATATTGGCCTTTTTTGCCACACCACAGAATTTCATTCACAAAAAACATGTAGAAAATTATGATCTACTTAATAAAAAGTTTTGGCTAATTACTGTGATAGGCTGTTAGTTTAATATATTTTGGAATACTTTAAAAACCTTTTGAAGGGATTTTTTTTATTAAAAATCTTGTCAATTTTTTAATAGATGACTTTTCTTGTAATATGTTAAGCTAGGTTAAGGCTTACCTAACATCAGCTGTTCTGCGGTTGGTTCCACACAAGCTCAACAGGCTGATCTCACCGAATACTGATCCTTCCGTGAGCGTGGCCAACACTTCGTCGTCGACTTCACCACCGACCACTTGGACTTGTCCGGTTTTCACAATATACATCTCTTTACCGACTTCACCCTGGAAAATTGTATTTTAGATCCTGAGCGGAGCGAGGAATGTATTAAGTTTACAATGATGTTATTGTATTATAATATTGGTATATTATTATTTTTTCTGTGGACAACTTTTCTACCATTTTGATCCGATTTTTAATTATAGCACTTTTTCTGAAAGTAAATCTGACTGGGATAGTACTTTAAGAAAGTCATTTTTTGATTTTTTAGGAGTTATTTAATAAATGGGAAAAACCAAGAAAAAACGAGAAAATAGGTATAATATTAATGCGTATCTATGTAATTATTTTACCATAATATGATATATATATTGTTGAAAAAGTAACGCTATTAACCAAACTCCGCTCAGAATCGTTTTTCGCTAGCAATGGTTAATTGCTGTGTACATACATAAAATATACATTAATATATATTATAACATATATTAGATATACATTAAATTTCCCCTCTAGATTCCCAACTTCTCACCTACAACAATGGCGCACTCATCGTGCGAAGTATGTTTGTATCTTTTTTTTAAAATTATAAGTATATATTTTATATTTGGTAAGTAGGCAATCCGTGCAAGGCACAACAAATATTCACACCCACATATTTCAGAATATTCGATGATTCTCTTGTATTATTTTTTAATGATAATAAAAAAAATCAGGGACGTTATTCATAGGTATGCGTTTGATTGACGAGAATTTTTTTCAAATCGTAGACTAATTCTATCTGTGAACAAATGTTTTACCAGATATCTTATTCCAATTAAAATATAAGTTAGCAATGACTTATCGGTGCTTACAAATATAAATTAAATACCATTATGTGTACTAAAATTTCAACTTAAATAAAAATAAAATAGACACATTCCTCACTCTGTTCAAAATCTAAAAAACTGATCGTTGTAAAATTTATCATGTTTCAATTGTTGGTGGAAATTGCACTCACTTTACGACATATGTAGTCACCCGGTAAATACAGTATCGGTCGAAGTTTCAACACCAACTCCCGCAGTAGCGCCTTGTCGCAGTCTTTGAACAACTGTACCTTGTTTAAAGTTTTCATGTGAACGTTGATAGCCACGTCGGTTTTCATCTTGTGCGGTAACGAGTCCAGAATACGATTTTCGTCTGTTAAATATTGACACAAGTAAATTTCATGATCATCATTATAATCATTGTATGCAAAATGCACAAGTGGGCTGGTTGGTAAAATGAATTAATTATTTTAAATTTTAAAACCAAAGTTTTAGAAGGAATTGTACTAAAACATTTAATTGATCTATATTAATAACAATGGATTATTTCCTTTTTGTTTATAGACTTTATTAGTTATAGATTAGTTATGCAAATGATAATATTTAGTATAATTGTATATAATATATTTGAGATGAATTGTATAAATTGTTTTTAAGTTTAAGTAGATATACCTATTGGTGTTAACCAAATTCAATAAAGAGGTGTGATTAGACATTTCCCAAACACAAATACCATAATTAATTTACCAACATCTAAGCATTTGTTTATCCATTACTGTATCATTTGATAAATGACAATAAATATAATGATTATCAAGTAATTAAATTCAAAAAAAAATACTGAAGAAATTATTAATTTTGTCCACTTTAAAATTGGAATATTTCATCCCCCAAAACATAAACTTCTCTATTTTCAAGCATGAAGTATATATACATTTTTTTTACTGATTTATATTATATTATTTTATTAAAATTTGTTTGGTATATTCGTATATGTTATAGGCCAAACCTGGTTGCATGATAAATTAGTATATCCTAGGTCAAACTAGTTCAGCCGAAGTCTGTTAGGACAAACTAGAAAACACTTTGATGACTAATGTAGTATACACATCCACACAGTGAAATAATAATAATAGTGCATTGTATTATTACAATAATCACTATAATAACTATAACTATAAAATATGGAAGCATATTGAAGTACCTACAGTTATTTGTTTTTACAAGGTACGCTCTGATGCATATCGAATTACACAGTATCAAGTTTTTCTTACACAGACACTTAATTGTTGAGTAGCTTTTGGTACAGTTACACCTTATAAAACCTTGTCTAGTTCCCATCGAATACTTGGTAGCTACAGTCCTCAATTCAATTTTAATACTATGGTTTATTTCCTTTAAACTTTTGAGTGCAAATATCCTTTGCCTTTATTGAATAAGTATAGTCACATTACCTCCAACTGATGGATGTGAAATAATAATATAATATAGACAATAGACATTTCCTATAATAATAATAATTATGGTTAATGTGATGTAACTTATGTATCACTATAATAATAAGTAATAACTATTATAGAATTAATATTGTAGTATAAGTATTATTACAGTAGTGTTCGTCTGTCGGCCAGTCTAATCGATTTGTTGTTATTATATAGATTACGTTTTATCATTAAAATTAGATTAAGATCCGTCACGACGGTACAAATATTGTATTATTTTAAACTATTCATTAATTGGGGTTCAGAAACTTACCGAGTACAATAATTTTACCGGACTATTTAACTTATACGATGTCCATTGTCTATATACATAATATGTAAAGTTAAAGAGTTTTATATACTCATTCGATGGCCCACAATTTTTTTTAATCGCATAAGATCAAGCTTTTTGGAGGTAGGAAGCTAAATTAAACAATAATGTAATATTAATACAATAATACATTTTTTAACTTATAATTTTTTTTTTGTAATTTAATGTATAATGTCGTTTTTAATATTTAACAAAATATATTTTTCAACGATTCATTAATAAAAATGTATCCAATTTGTCTTGATTTAACGTGTTTTGTAGTCTATTGAAAACGTATTTCAGTTTTAAAAATGTTTTACATTTTACTTGTGTGCGCAATAAAGTTAAAATAAATTTGTTGGTCATAAATTAATGAGAATAAGCCATAGTATGTAAATTGTATGTTTTTAAAACATTAAAACAGCAATAAACTATACAATTTTAACAAGCATTCTTATTTTTATTTCAAATTTGTTTATCAAGTCTTCGTCTTCCTTGGAATCAAATTCTATATTAATATCAACTTCTCTTTCGTTAGGTTCCTGGTTATTAATGTTAAAGATATACTTGATCCTTGGCCATTTTTCAGCGAAATCAAAAAGTTCATCTACCACAGTTCCAACTATTATGTCTTCATCAAATTTTTTCAAAATATCGACTAGGTATATTAAATATTTGGAAATTTGAAGATGATCATAATTTTAATTATTTTTAAATTCTGAAGGTTCTAAAATCGACATTGATTTAAACAACTTTCTATGTTCCGAAAATCGTCGTTTAAGACTATTAACTATTAAGACTGCTTGATCATATAAAACGTTATACACATTTATATAATATCAAAATCAAATCTAATTATTAAAATCATTTAAGTATACACGTTTAACTTACCGATGACTTGAAGACAAATTAATTAATTTCAACTGTTTCAGGTCGTTTGCAGCTTGCAACAACAGTGAAGCACGTTTCAAATGTACTTTTTCTTCACCACCTTTAAAATTTGATGATATTCACTGAGTAATGTCTATCATGCACCCGTGTTAACTTATCGATTTACAATAACTTTTGATATCATATAATTGTAAATAATAAACGTATGAAGTTTATGAATAATTCATATTACCAAATAATATAAAGTATTTATAGAGTATAATGAATTTGATAAAGTGATAATATTAGATAACAGCGGCCTCTGTATTATAGCTAACATGTAATCGTATTATTATTTACGTTAAAAAAAAATTGTGTTATTAGATTGATATTTTAGCAAGCAGCCCATGTGGCTATGTATCATAAGGCCTCACAGGCTCACAGGCCCGATCCGGGTCTGCGTTCTGATGGCATTTCGTATTGCAAAGTATCATTTTTTTCTAACACAATACAAATACACTTATTTGTTGAGCAGTTTTTGGTGCAGATACACCTTATTAAACCTTGTCTTGTTCCCATCGAATGCTTGGTAGCTGCAGTCCTCAATGAAATTTCTATACTATGGTTGATTTCTGCCATATAAACTTTGGATAAACGTTTGAGTACAAATGTCGAATTCAGTTCAGTAAATCCATTAAAGTGATAGACTGTAGTTAATAAAGTCACAAAAATATCATTGAAAAATATAACGTATCTACCAATAGGTGGAGTCAAAATATCTCCAACTTTAGCTGGTGGATGTCATTTGTCAGATTTATTTTTTATTTTTTTTACTTTTATTTTTTTAGCTTGATTTATTTAATTTTCTGTAGTTTTTTTTCTAGCTTTTCGAATGCTTTTTCCATCTAAAAAACTTTTATCGTCATCGTCATATCCTGCCATGTGGTTAGTCTTCCATTTCGTTTGGTTTTCTTTTGTAGGCTATTTCCACTCATAGACAAATAAAGTACTATCATTTCCTTTGTAATATTAATGCATTTTTTCGATGTTTCAGTCAATATTCTGTCATGACTCATGACCCCCATGATCCAAAGTCATGTGAGCAGCGTCAATCACATCATATAGTTTATCAACTGGATAGTTCTATATGGTTCCTTCATTCTGTGCAATAAGTTTTTTTACATTCCCAAGTTTTAGTACCAAATCATTTCAATCATCTTTCTGTAAAGGTTTTTTTTATATTTTTTCAGCCTCTTCAACTTGTTCAATAATAACTAAAATCTAAAGTTGATAACTAAAGTGAGCTGACTTTTGTTCTCAACTTCTAAACATTTTGTGTTAAATATTTCCCTCGATTATGTACTACACGAAAACGTATCCATTATAATAATTGTAATTATACAATGTATGCGATTTTTTTAATTAAGGAAATATAAGTGAGACTTTAATTATAACTTATCCTAACAATAGTATACGTAACACAAAATTTGCGTTAGAGTACCAGTTAAAGTTAGAGGTAATGTGACCTACCTATTCAATAAAGGCAAAAGATATTTGAACTCAAAAATTTATTCAAATGGAGAAAATCAACAATAATATTGAAATTTCATTAAGGACTGCAGCTACCAAGCATTCGATGGGAACCAGACAAGGTTTTATCAGGTGTAACTGTACCAAAAGCTGCTCAATAAATAAGTGTCTGTGTAAGAAAAACTTGATACTGTGTAATTCGATATGCCATCAGAGCGTACTTTGTAAAAACAAATAACTGTAGGTACTTCAATATGCTTCCATGTTTTAAAGTTATAGTTATTATAGTGATTATCATAGTAATGCAATGTGTTATTATTTTACCATATATATTATATTAGTCATCTAGTTTGTCTTAACAGACTTCGGTCGAACTAGTTTGACCTAGGATAAACACATTTACCTGAAATCGAGTTTGGCCTTTGAAATATATAAGATACAACATAGAATAATATCTATTATTGTAATATACATAATTTATAACTACTATATCTAGCGAAAGTTGTATCAATTGGATTTGTGAATTATTGTGAACAATTAGTAAAAGATTAAAAAAAAAAAAAACCGTAAAACAGATTACTTTTTATCCACGAATTATGGACAGCTAAAATTACAATGTTATGAAATTATTTTTAGCAATTGCAAGATACTCTTTCTGTAACTTTAATATTGAGGTATAATTCACATATTTAGATGATGGAAGTTTCACTATATTTATAACTAAACGGGTATATATTATAAAGTTAACATCCACTAAAAATAAAATAAATGTATTACATATTTAATAAATTAAATTACTTAGTACTTACCTAAGGTCCTTTGCTGTTCCCATGTGAATGAAAACCATTGTTCTACCCGTGCTCGTATACGCGGAGGTATGTTTAATTTCCTTAAATACTCTAACGTCTCGTCTTGTAATTTTCTGTACTCGGTTTGAGATCTCGTGGCTGTAGCTATTATGTCTCGAATCTATAAAGATAAAACAAAAACCGGTTAAGTGTGGCTCAATACATCAATTTAGTCAATTTTAAATTAAGTTAATTAATTCGTTTTAGGAGGTGAGTTATCATGACCAAATTTCACACAGATTATTTTTACATAACAATTGTAATGTTATGCTCACACAACATAATATTATACATGTATAATTATTTATCATTTATATCATTACAAAAATGTAACTAAAAGATTCAATTATGGCCGAGTACTTGGTATTTTACAAAATGTAAATAATTTAATAAGTATAATGGTCGTTTGCTATTTGAGAGGGATACAAGCCCTATTTCTGCTCAAACTTAAAACTGGAATATCTTGTCAATGTGTCTACGGAAATTATACATTTCAACACCGAAATGTATTTAAACTAAAACTTCAACAATTTATTTATTTTATACAGGGTGTCCTACTGTGTTAACCGAATGCTAATAAATCTGTCAATGTTTAATTATTTTTTTAAATTTGTATTTTAACCAGGTTTCGTGTTAGGAGGACGACACAAATGTAGAGAATAATTACATTTTTATTTTCCTAATTCAATCATTGAAAAATAATAACGTTTTATTTTTTCACTTTTTAAAATTTCATAATGGTCATTTTATATAAAATATATTGTTTTAAAAATTTAAATGTGTCATATATTTATATCTAATTAATAGTTTCTCAGTTATAGTGGCTTTATTATACAGAAAATAGGCGTGAAAATAATAAATATTCAATAAAAAATAAGGAATAACCGTGCTGATTGTGATATTTCTTATCACGTAACGTGTTATTTTATTCAAAACTATGTAATTATTTTCACACCAATTTTCTAGAAATTAAAATAGCTATCACTAAGAAACTATTAATCGAATATGTAAGTATGGTACATAAAAATGTTTAGAATAATATATTTTACAAATGAGCTATTTTGAAAATTTTAAAAAGTGAAAAAAAAAATTATTTTTCTTCTGTGATTAAGTGATGTAAATAAAATTTTAATTTTTCTCTACATTTGTGCTCTGACACAAAACCCAATTGAAAAAAAGAATGAATATTGAGTTATTAGCATTCAGATAATACTGTAGAACACTCTGTATAGATTGCTATTTGAAAATCAAAAATGGACGAGGTTTTCACCACAAAAATGTATAGTGACAAAAAAAAAAACTAAAAAATAACTTTTAGAGCGGCTTATTTCTTAAATACTCCAAAACAAATTTTCAGAAAAATGTTAATACTTTTTGAGATGAGAGTTATCTTATCGTGGATTAATTATTTTGTATATACCGTATATATGTGTAATGTATAATCTATGCATCCCATAGGTACGTTTAATGTATATAACATAATATTTTGTTTAAAATGATTTTTTTAGAATATAGATATAGCTAATATGCCGTGAAATATGCATCTGTATACATGTCACAATAAAAACTTTTACATATATATATATATATATTTGTTTTACAACGATACCCCATAGAGGATGCTCAGAAATTAGAATTGTCATCCTCAATTCCGTGTATAAAAACGTCCCCTAAGTTGTATTTTTAATTTGTGGATTACTTAATCATATTATAGCGGTTTATACACAATATCTTTCTGTAGAATCTCATTAAAGCCGCTGAGAAAATGGTGAAGTTATAATATTATTACACTATGGTTTATGGACTGATTGATAAAATAAAACTATAAGGGTGCTGTTTTTGCTCTTTTTGCTACTGAACCCTAACAACAATAGCCGATTACTAAAGTACAAACAAATATAATATCATTATAGGCTAATAACCCGCTTTTTTTTTGAAGTCTAAATTACAATTATATTGACAAAAATAAATAAATAGATATTTCACCGAGGTATGCCGTAAATATTTGTAAATTTTCCAATAATTTTTTCCTGGGTTTTTCCATAATTATTATAAAAGTCTCTTCAAAAAATCAAGAAAACCAAAAAATTACCAACTATATAAAATTGTATTTAAGAAAATATATTACACTTGTTACATCAGAATAATATTCACAGACACAGACAAATCTAAAAACTTACATGTTAGTAAAACCAATACACTCTAAATCTAAACATATATTTTAAATAAATAACAGTTTTTTTTAAAATTATTTTAATATGTTTTTAAGTTTATTGAAATAATAATTATAATACCTGTCCGATTAAAATTGCAAACACAAAAACGCCCATCAGCCAGCTAGCCGTCATGAACAAGTATTCTACTTCGTTTTCAGGATGTGGATTTTTCCCGATAGATGTAGCTGTTTTAGTAGCGAAGAAAAAACAGCGTATATACCTAAACAATTAAAATGTCTAATGTAATAATATCATGTACTATAATTATATTATTAACCCTCAAGGGATCACTAAGAACTGATGTTAATTATTTGGTTCAGTCTAGTGTCACCACATAGATCTTAACTGATTGGGGTGATTTGGTTCGCCAGGTTGGGAGTCAAGAATTGGTCTAACCCTACTTCAAAAAAGACATATTGTGGAGAATCTAAAAATCAAACCTCGCGTTAGTCTCAACGGAAAATAAAATGAAAAACGGAAAACAGACGGCAAAAAATTAAGAATCGGAACATAGAATGTTAGAACTTTGTTTAAGCCAGGAGCTTTAAAAATGTTAATTGATGAAGTAACCAAGAATAATCTACTAATACCAAGTGATTCATTTAAGTGGGTACACTTATTATCACGGAAAGTATTAACTTTTTTCGAAATTTGTTTTCTATTCTAGAACTTTTAAGAAACAATCTGCTCCACAATTTTATATTTGTGTTATTTTTTGTCACCCTTATTTTTGGGAGTAAAACCACTACTTACTTTTGATTTTAAAACGGCAACTTATATAAAAAAAATTCCATAAATTGATGGAGTATTAGTATAAATAGATTTTAGTGTGACATTTTTGATTTCTGTCAAGTCGTCGACGAAATATACCACTTTTAATTTTATGTTGGAGGAGAGTAGTGGTACATTAATAATACGCCGTGCGCCGTACCACCACACTAATAATATTTCACTACTCTCCTCCAACCCAAACTTAAAAGTGGAATATCTCGTCGACGACTTGACAGAAATCAACAATGTCACACTAAAATCTATTTTTACTAATATTCTACCTATTTATGGAATTTTTAATATAGGTTGCTGTATGAAAATCAAAAGTAGGTTATGGTTTTACTCCCAACAATAAGGGTTACAAAAAATAACACAAATATAAAATTGTGGAGCAGATTGTTTCTTAAATGTTCTAAAAAATAAATTTCGGAAAAAGTTAATACTTTCCGAGATAATAAGTGTACCCACTTAAATGAAACACCTGGTAGTAGCATTACAGAAAGTACCTATAATGGTCGGGAAACGGCAGTGTAAGTCAAACAGTCACACGATCTTCTATAGTGGATCAAAAAGTAACAGACATAAAAATGATGTCGATTTTCTAGTCAACGATTCAATATCATCAAACATGAAAAACTTTACAGCAATTAATGAGAGAATGTGGTTTATTTAAACAAAAAGAAAAATTTGAGGTATTTACCTATTAAATTACTATGCTCCAATAGAAGATGATAAATCTGTAAATCAGTAATTTTAATAAGCTTGTATGCGGAAATAAATTATGGCTTGAGACATATGAAAAGAAAGTAGCCACCCAATGGGGACACTTTATACCAGGATAAGTTAAATTTTGATTAGTTTTTTTTTCATTATTATTATTTTTAATTTTTTTTCCCTATACAATTAGGCCCAGAGACCATTTTCTCTTTATCCTGCGAGGGGGATTGCCAGGAATGGTGTCTGAATTTAGCGCTGAAATAGGTGGTTTGTTAGTCGAGAGTGGAAACGTTTGTATAGTACTTTTAAAATTTCTTCTACTGTGTTTATTTTTAAGTCATTATGAATGGTGAGATTTGAAATTTATATTGGAGCATTCGTGATCATACGAAGAGTTATAGATTAAAAAATCTGGATTTTGTAAATATTTGATTTTTTGACAGCTCCTCATAGCTAGATGCCGTATGTCCAAATGGACATTAATACAGTTTTATAGAGGAATAGTTAAGTTTTTACACTGAACTTAGAATATTTACCGATCAAGAAATGCAGAGATTTAGACCTCGAATTGAGACAGAGCAGTTTACTTTTAACATGAGCGGTCAAGATTAAACGCTGGTCTAGTTTTTAATTTAAGTAGAGAGAGCTTGTAGATTTTTGGATATTATGACCATTTAAGGTGATGGATGGAACTATTCTATGCTTCAAACTGAAAGTCAAATGTGCAGATTTTTCATGGTTAATTTTTATTTTTCACTTAAAGTACCAGGCTGATATCAGGTCTAAATGATTAAAAAATTTAACTAGTAAGTATTTAAATTATAGCTCTAAGAAGTAATAAGAATTTTTTTTAAAAAACTTAAAAATATTTAATGGACAAATAGTTACTACATTTGTTAAATAGTCTTGTTACACCCTATATATCTACTGTTAGGGGTGTATTTAAGATTTTATTTTTGGAAGGGGTGCATAGCACAATTTAGATTGTTATGTTCATTTTAATTACTACAATTGTATAAATTGATGGATTAATAGTTAAAATAAATTTTGGTGTTACAATTTTTGATTTTCTTTAACTTGTTTATGAGATATTCCACCAGATATTCTAGTTTAGGCAAGGGGAAAGCAGTTGAGCATTAATTAAAAATTAGGCACTGTACCGCTACACAAATTATGCTCTACTAATCTCCCCCTGCCAAAACTTAAAATTGGAATATTTCATGAACTATTACTCTATCTATTTATGTAATTTTTAATATAGGTTATTATTTGAAAAATCAAAATAGTAGCTCCACATAAAATTTCTTAAATGTTGTAAAAAAATCTAAGTATACGAAAATATCGTCTTTAACTACACTTGGAAATTCTCAAAATCAGAATTTGTATATATATACATAAATTATCCTTAAAAATTGGATGAGCATACTTATTGAATATATATATATATTCACACTATATATACACTATGTATGTATAATATTGTATATACTCGTATTTTTTTAAATATACTCACGCGTTCCCTTGTCCGTTAAACACCCAATTGTTCGTAGCGAGTCCTTCTTTGACCGAAACATAATAGTAGGCGCACGCGTTCATATGCACCAGATAAACCATGTACGTCAGCGTTCTCGTCACTCGAACTACGTACGGTGACGACAAAACGCTGTCGAAATGATCGAAAAATTCCCAAAACGTTTGAATCTAAATATAATGATCAAATAATATATTAGTTAGAATAATTGATGTACAGGTGCTTTAGAGAATTTTTTTTATGGGCCATTTGTTGCGATTTATAAAATTAATACATTTTTATACCCTACGAGCATTGGGCCTACCTTAATAATCCGATTCAATCTCATTAAAGGTAGCAGTTCCCAAGCGAATGCCGGAGAAAGACATAACAAGTCTGCTGGTATCAAAGAAAGTATATCCAACTAAAAATAAAATCACAATTATTGTAGGTTAGCTATTTTTATTTCAAAATATTATTAACCTTTGATATCTTTGGAGGGTTATATGTCTTGATTTGGATATTTTATTAAATGTTTATTAAAATGAAATGGTTTAATATAATACGTATGATACACCAGTGATATTCGAGACGTAACTGTTTCATCAAATGTAACAACTATAATAATATTCAGTGGCGTATTAACAGAGAGGGAAACATGGGGGATATATCTTTTTTGATTTATTTTTTACTGATAACCTACCTAATACTATTCATATATTTATGGTAATGTGGTTACATAAGATATTCATTCTAAAATTACAGAATAAAATTATCGAAATTGCTATACTTTATTATAATATTCAATATTGACATACAAGTATTTTTAAATATTATGGTCAATGCATACTGCTAAAATTCTAAATATAATTAAAAACGTTTCGTATCGTGAAATACAGTATTAAATTATTGTCAGTAGTCATCCGACAATAACTACGCTTCTAATAATAACAATAATACCTATTCAGCGATCCACAATAGTACTTACTTCCGGCGTTGTTTAGTTGATTTCTGAGACTTACTTTTTGTATTAGTCCCATTGCTCCTGTATTTAATATACGTTTCCGACTGTCCTAACAGCTTATTTATAAATTGAAAGATATTTGGGTGCCTCTTATAAAAACAACTGTTGAGTTTCGAATGATAATTCTCACAACTATTCGTAGTTCTGTTTATAGTAGTAAAGAATTGAACCCATATACTTGGTGGATAACTCGCTTCTGGAGAAATATAAGAATCAAACACGTAGTTCATAAACTCTACAATTATTTCATCATCTGTTGATTGAACTGCTATCAACTCATCTGTAAAGTAATCGATAACTTCTGTTGGGCTTAAAAAGGATAGGCTTACTACGAAATGTTTGTAGAGGGATAATTCAGAGGTTGAAGCGTTATGTTTTATAGAATAATAACACTTATAATTCAATAATGTAAAATTGGAAACTGCGTAACTATGAACGTGGTAAACAATCAAAAAGTGATAAATATATGTTTATATCACACATACTCTACATCTGCGCGACTGAGCCATAGAGTAATATAGAGAGACCGTTCCCAATAACATTATGCGCAAATAGTTTTTATTTTACTGTACCATTACTATACCATTTGGCATTACCATTAGACCTATAAACGATATTTTGGATATTTTATCACACTGTAAATAGTATGATATTGTGACAAAAAAAAATCACAGTAATAATAACTTATATTGTGATTTTTGTTTAAATTTAAAAATCTAATATTTTAATGACTATTTAGTTATTTAATTGTTGTTAATACTTAATGTATGTGTATACATCAGATTATAAGTACTACTAACGTTCTACCTATAAATCATAAAAATATATATCTATCAATAATAAATACCTAGTACTCTGTTTATTTTTATGGTTTCTCTTAGGTTTTCTCGTAGGTTTGTCTTAGTTTTAGATTACCCTTGACCAGAATCTTACTACTTCAATTTGCTGACAGGAGGTATTCTTTCGAACAGGAAGATAAATAACTTCGGCAGTTCAGTAGGTGTTCCATATCTTGTTCCAAACCACACTCGCATTTTGTGGAGATGTCTTAAAGGATGTTCTATTTCTTTAGGTTGTTTTTAAATCTGCCCACTCCTACTCAAAGTTTATTGAGAGATCTCCAGGTTGGCCAGTTTAATTCGTGTCCAGCTGGCAGCAGTTCCGCTGATATGGGTTCTAGTTTATTGTTTTCCTTAAAGAGAGAGTTTCCACCTTTCTCTTCGTACCTCTTCAGCTTGTTTTTTTAGAGGTTTTCTCTTTTAAGAAAACTCTTTCTGGATTTAAGTCTGAAATTAGGTATGTTTTGTCTATGTAATTGGTATCGTACATCAGTTTTTGTTTTGGTCCTTTCCTAGTTTACTGCGAACTTCCGGCGGATATTTGGTGGGGCAATACCAGTGGGGTATTCTTAAGACATCTTGTTACTAAACGGCAAGATTTATTCATTCAGCTTCTCAAACTGATTATTCATCTATTGTTGATCAATAAGCCAGCATTACTGAATTAAACATGTGGAGACATAAGGTAATTACTGATAAGGATAATATAATACTCATTTCAGGATTACCATTACGCTCTGGATATTTGTGATAAAGAGTTTTATCCTAATATTCATATGCTTCTCAAAATATTTACTCTATTATATTATTCTATATTATTAGTTTCAACTGTAACATCTAAACGAACTTTTTCTTCTTTAAAGAATATGAAGTCGTATCTTCAAAATAAATGACAAAAGTAAATATTTTATTAATATTATTCAATATAAATCTCGATTAAACTATTTTATAACTTTAGATACATTAATTTTGTTATTAGATTAGACTTAATGAATAATCACTACTACTGTGCCATCGAAGTATTAGAATTTGATAACATTTAAATATGAAAAACGGTGGTAATGGTAAATTTAAAAAAAACCCTTTCCCTTCTCTTGAGGAAATAAAATACTGCAAACGAATATCCCCCTCTTCTCTTGACAAAATCCTAATTACGCCACTGACTTAACAATTAACAGTATTTATATTTCGAATATGTATTGATTTTTATTTTACTTTCGACTGTAGTTTTTCCAAATAGTTGACTTCGATGAGTTTTAGATCACGCACCCAAAATCCGTCTTTAAGGTATATAATTCGCGGTTTGATGACGAACGTGTCCAACAAATTAATCGCATCCGTGCAATAGTCCAATAGCATCCATTTCCATAGGTTTTCCGATGTCTGATAAGGAAAAGTTATGCGCAACGGTATAATCCAACAGTTATACAGGTAACACATGGTTACCAGACTCAACCAAGTTACATAACAAAAACCTATAAATATAAGTAGAAGATGTATTACATAAAAAAACCAAACATACTTCGCACAATTTAATATATGTTTGTACGTAACGATTAGTCATTGGTAACAAAAAATGGTTCTGAGCGGAGTTCGATTATGTTTTGAAAGGCTGTAATATTTACAATTTGAAAATAATACATTTTGTAATTTTTCCGTTTTTCCTATGATTTCCACGGTTTTTCTTATTAGTTATAAAAATCTATGAGAAAATCAAAAAACATCTTCTCAAACTATCACCTCAGTCAAATTTCCTATCAGAAAACATTTGATAATCGAAGTAAAACATCTGGTAGAAAAGTTGTTCACAGAAAAAAAAAAATTCATCATTGTAAAAGCAGTACATTCCTAACTCCACTTAGAACCAAAAATTGTATAAAATTACAATCTTTGGTGTATCTATATGATATTGTGGTCGTATATTATTTGTATAGCTACTTTGTGGTTCGATGATAAAGTCAAGACTGGTGATCCAAGCCAAAAAAAACCACGACCGTTTTTTCAACGACTGTTCGGGTGGTAACTTCGAATGAGCCGACAGTGGGTGCAAACTGTCCACGTCTATATAAACATGAAATTATAATAGTTTATTAATTATGTTAAGTATTTTAATTTAGTTGTATAGTATGGATGGAAGGGTGTGGCAGATGTATACAAACCGGTGAAACTCATACTCCGTGAAGACGGCAAAGTGTAGTCGAATTTTTTTCGTTCCCGGACGTATTGCTCGTTTAATTTGTCCAATAATTTAGTCGTATTCAAGCTGAAATATAAAGAAATATCAAAAATAATACAAAAATTAAAAAAAATGTAATCATATTAATATATTCAACACTTTATAATTTTATGTACTGATGGATTACTATCAGTATGCAGCAGATTTGTAAAAGCAACTTTTTAAAAGTATTTTGAGTACAAATGCAGATATTGTTTTAAAATTTAATATTATAATACATATATTGGTATTTCACTAAACAAATATTTGAGTGTTAAAAATATTTTTGAAAAGTGTTTATAAATACTTTTAACTACCTAATTTTTTTACACATTGTCCCAAGAGTCATTATGTTCTTTTCTTTTGTTTTGTTCAATAGGTACCATTAATATAATACTGGTTTATTATTAGTAAGTACCAATGTGGGAGAAGGGGAGGGCACTTATGATTTTTATTATAACCTACTATAGTGGAGCGAAAATTTATATGGTTTTACAATGATGTTTATTTTTTATTTTTTTAAATAAACAATTTTTTCTTTTGTTTCGATTTACAATGATAACACTTTTTCTGAAAGGAAATTTGACTAAAAAAGTACTATAAGATTTTGATCTAACATAATTGTAATAAATAATATAGTAATCTATTATATAGAATAGAACAACTTTACAAAATACATAAATACATATTGATTCTAGAAAATGAAAATATTTCAAAAAAATTAAAAATAAATGTGGCTAATAAGCTGCATTTTAAACATTAAGACTTCTGGATAATAAAAAAAAGCGGTGGTACACATATATATATATATATAACAGGTTAAATTAATATAAAAGATTTCTATTATCCTTAGGTATTTAATTATTTTACCATAATATGACATATATATTGTTTAAAAAGCAATATGTTTTGTATATATGCCTGAAGACTGAAGAACCGTTTCTTTGACGACCCCCACACCCCTGGAGTTTTAAAATTCAACTTTTCGACATTTTTCCGATGCAAATATTTAGAATGCAATTAACATGAATTTATAATCTGACTGGTCTCGAAATTCGCAAGACACTTTTCTGTCAGTAAATAGCTGTTAAACAGATTTGTGCATTTCATGATTATTTCAATTATATCACCTTATAGATATTTATTATGTAATACAATAATAAAGTAAAAACAAAATTATAACAATGGTTAATACTCATAAATAAGTATATAATTAAAAATGTAAGCATAGAAATTTTTTCTTTATATATTTATTAATTATGTAGTACATACATTTTTGAAACATGATGTTGATAATAAAAAGTTAAAATTTAAATATTAAAACAGCCTTTAAATCATGTGCGTGTTTTTATTTGGAAAAATTTGCCTGGAGTATGCAACATAGAGGTTTTTACTACTTACTCCCTTGAGATGACACTAAAAAAGGTTATGGTATTTACTTCCACAAAAACAATTTATGGCCGAACCCGATGAAAACCTAAATAATATGTTCCTTCTATTTGAGGAAAATAGAAGCATAGGATACAGCAAACTAAGCGTAATGTAGAATGATAGAACTTAAAAACATCTAACATGTAAAATATTTGGGAGTCACTCTGGAAAGTTTCTTAATATATCAATCTAACAATAACGAATTGAAACGAACTAATTACGTACATTTTTACTTACAGGAAACAGTTGGGAAACACGAGTACATACCCTGAGAACTACAACCTTATGTCTATCAACATGCGAATACAAGAATCATCAGAGGACGACCTTTTAAAACAAAAATGAAAAGTGAGTAAAGAAACGTTTCTCCAGCTAACTCTCCCTGAGTTTATTTTAAATATAACATCTAATCTAAAGGTGTGAAATTGTGGCATTCAAATTTAACATTAATAACAGATTGTAGATCTACAAGATACAGATTAATTACATCTAATTACACTCTCAATATTGATACATTAAAAAAAAATGAATTTTCGAATGGGATGAAGTGGTAAAATGTAAGTTGATATTTTCTTAAATTATTTTCTATTTAAACCGATTTTAGTTCTTTTAACATTGATTAGATTTTGTTGATAAACTCATCAAATTATTACTCATGGAACTTACTGATTCAATAAGGTTTTCAATTTTATCTTCCAATTTGTTTATTTGTTAAGTGGTAATTTGACGTTGACAGTTGTTATATGTAATGTATGTTTTTATATTTTTAGAAATTTTCTTGAAGCTTACCTAAGAAATTCCATTATAGTAAAAGTAAACCTGATCACTACAGATACTGCATTGGAGTACGTCCTCAAGGTGAACTAAATGCCCACGGCATTTGACACATTCTGTAGGTAGGTTAGGGAAATACAGAAAAACTTACTATTGTAATAAACCTATAATTAATGTTCAAAAAAATATAGATAACAAAGCGCAGACAACGAACTGGCGTTCACGTAGTACGGATAACTAATAGAAATATATGTGAGAGTTCAACTGAAATGAGTTCAAGTTCGGGAATTAAAGTTTCATTATAGGCGGATTGAAGTGATCAAACTTTGGTTGAATTTCAATATTAATTTTACCATGTTGTTACAGGAAGGTGTATTTTTTAGCTTTTTACAACCGTAAAGACTAATTAAATAGAACCAGGAAAATGAAATTTTGTATATAAGTAATATAAGTATCAAGGATGTGCCTTAAAAAAGTTTCAACTTCCAAACTCTGCTCCTTTCGTCTGTTTATATTCTCTCTCTCTCTTCGTTAAAATTCTAAGATTAGTTTGCAGTTACTTTCTATTCTTCTTTCTTTTTCATTTGCACATATGAATTACATCCTTGGTCCCTTATTAATTGTATTTATATACTCTAATCTTGGCCTTCCTCTATGATTTTTTCCTTCCTTACTTCTTTCTATAATTAGTTTTAATAATCTTGCATGTTGAATTGTATGTTCTATCCATTCATTCCGTCTTTTACTATACTTTTCTATAGTAGCTTTCCTTCAGACGTTTTTTCTAGAACCTCTTTATTAGTTATTTAGTCCATCCAGCTTATTTTTAACATCCTCTTATAGCCTCACATTTCAAATGCTTCCAGTCTCCTTTTTTCTTTCACTAATATTGTCCAGGTCTTACACCTATATAATGCTATACTCCATATATATGTCTTCAATAGGTTTTTTCTAATTTCGATAATAATGTTCTTTGAAGTGAGTAGGATTTTTTTTTACTTTTAAAAGCTATTTTGGCTTGGCAAATACGTTTTACTATTTCGTGCTTAATACATCCATTTTTGCTTATTGTACTTCCTAAAGTCACAAATTCATCTACTTGCTCTATCCTTTGATCTCCTCCTAGCTTTATGTGTACTCTTGTATTTTCCTTTTCACATACAAGCACCTTTGTTTTTGCATATTTATTTTCATTTTCAGATCGTTGTTAAATGTTTTATCGATGGTACAAGGTACTCTTGTAAATCTTTCTCATTTTCAGCAACTATTGCTATGTTGTCACCAAAACGTAACATATTTATTCTCTGATCGTTAATTTTTATGCCTAAATTGGTCTCTTCTTTTATCTTATCTATTGTTTTTGGGTATACTCATTGAATATGATTGGGGATAGCGTTCGTCCTTATCTAACTCCCTTGTTTATTTTCGCTTCTCTACACTATCTTGGTTTCTTACAATAGCCGTTTCATACTTATATAGGTTGTAAAGAAGTCTTTTCTCTGCATCCTTTATCCCCCCCACTCTACTTCAATCGAAAAATGACCTCCCTAAAGTACTTTCCCGGTCAGATTTCTTTTCAAAAAAGGGTCTATATAGTGTATAGTGGAGTAAGCTTTCTGCTAGAAAGTTTACAACATAAAACAAAAAAAAGAAATAAACATCTTTGTAATATTATACATTCTTTGCTATACTCATAATCTAAAATCGAAAGTTTTGAGTACATCCACTACTGTCTGAATACTCGTACAAAACAGAGTTCTATATTGCTGACCAATTTTCAATTTCTGTAATTAACATTTCTGAGTCAAAGTGGCTATCCATATTAAAGAATATTGACAAAGTAATCAAAAAACGTCACTGGCAGTGATTATAATGAAAAGAATGTACGTTTTTAAATTGCAATAATATAAATTTATATAGTAGCGCATCTATTTTAGTCGTGCGTTCAACATGTCTGGTCACGCAAACTTCTGAGTGGTGCGGCTGACGTGGTAGTGCCACTATGTGTGAAAACCCTAATTTAATTATTAATATATTGTGGTGGCGCGACCATGGTGACTTCGTGTGAAAGAGCTCTAAAAAATATTAAATATGTAATGGCAACAATAGTTGATTTGGAAAAAATTTGACTTTGGACCAATCTGTTACGGAGCTCTACTGATCGCTGGTGTTTTTTTGTTTTTTTTGAGAAGCAGTAGCATTTACATATTTTAGACGACCAAGTCTACCCAAATCATATTAATACAACCAATATTATAGAAACTGTGTACCTTTGGGGGGAAGAAACTTCACAGTTTCTCCTCCCCTCATAAATATACAACTGATTATGTATTATTTTGCGACAGTTCAGATAATGTTATATTCGATATTTATATCAATATTATCATTACGATTTTTACAATTAAATTGTGTGTGTGTGTGCATTAAAAATTGTTACTTACAATATGACATTAGGACAAAATAATATCGTTTATCGTACCATGGTAATTGTTCAATTGGTGTAACCGGCGTAGTAAAAGTGGAATACAATTCCCCAGATCCCGAAGAACTTTCATTCGTAAACGGCATATTGTCAGACAGCCACGGTTCATCAGCAGTGTTACAGTAATCGTATTGCGGCGGTATTCTGTTCATCTGTAATTTCCAATACATGCGTATTATATTTTTAACATTTAACACACATTTTCAACTTCATCACCAAATTTTTATCATTTTAAAATATATATTATTTTTCTATAATAAAAAAAGGACCTTCGGGATGAACTGCTGAAAATGTCAATGAATGTTTCAAATAAAATACAATTGAGTAGAAATTCCGAATTTTTTGAGCTATTGAGCGAAAAAACTGAAGCATATTCTTAACAAAAAAGTTTTTTAAAATACATTTTTAAGCAATTTTTCGGAAAAATTATTTGGAATATCGATAATAAAGTATCGGGCGAAAAATCTGTATTTTTTAAGAAATACCATAAAAAGTTTTTTCCAAGAAATGGAAACAAACACATCATGTACATATTAATTACATGATACTTATTAGCTTTACTTCTTCTCTCACTGCACTTAGAATCTAAAATACAGCAAAACCGTCAGCATGTTAATTATTATAATAGGTAGGAAGGTAGTTATACATATCTAGATATAACTACGTAATATTATTAAAAAATATAACCAACCATATAGCAGGAAATGATAATGACAATAAAAGTTTTTTTGATGGAAAAAGCATTCTAAAAGCTAGAAAAAAGACAGCAGAAAATTTAAAAAAATCAAGCTAATAAAAGCCGTCCTTGGATAATGGGGACGGGTGCAGCTACTGTTGTAGGTGTTAAGTTAGGAAAGTAGAATACAGAACGAAAGTTATTATTTATCTATAAGCAACGATAAACTATTGCTAACAAAAAAATGATTCTGAGCGGAGTTCAGTTGATAGAGTTGCTTTGTCAACAATATGTTTGTCATATTATAGTAAAATAATAGGTATTTAGGTTTTTTTTTTTATTTATTAATTTTTTAATTTTTAATTTTTTTATATTTTCTTTAATACTATTTGAATAATATTGTGCCGATTTCCCCATGTTTTTTCCCAGCTTTTCCCATTTGTTAGAAAACTCTTAGGAAAATCGAAAAATTACCTGCTTAAAGTACTATCCTAGTCAGATTTATTTTTAGGTATAATTGAAAATCGGAACAAAATTGGTGGAAGAAAAGTTGTCCACAGAAAAGAATAAATATTTTAGTGAAATCATAAGCTTCTTGGCTTCACTCAGAATATAATAGAGTAGATACCGGGGACGGGTGTGGCACTGTTATAGATAGGTAGTTGGAATGATTGTTGTTTAATTTATATCTGTAACTAACGATAAACTATTGCTAACAAAAAACGATTCGGCTAAGTTCGGTTATACATGTTTTAAAGTTTTGTAATATTTATGATTTTTGTCAAAATTTGATTTTAAACTCTTAAAAAAAAAAAAAAATACCATATTACACTATATTTTTATTTGACCCCTATATACGACATATAATGAATCTCATGTCAACTTGTCATGCCTTTCTGTTTAGTGCCTAACAATTTTATCCATCCACAAAGTACCTATATCAAATAAAAATGAGGTAAAAATTCATAAAATTAAAATATCTATAAATAGTTCAGAAATGGCTCAAATGTTTTAAACATTTTACTATGTCTATAAAAGTAAGTTTTAATTATTTTATCAAAATTTAAATCTACTGATATTTTTTAACTAAAAACTAATAAGAAAAAAAAAAAAAAAAAAAAAAAAAAAAAAAAAATCAAAAATCAAGTTACTTAATACGAATTAGATTAAAAATGTAACAAAAAATTCTTGTATAGTTTTTCTATTGGAACATTATTTCTGATAGAAAACGTGCATTTAAAAAATGTAAACGTGTTTAATATTTATTATTTTTCGTTATGTTTGTTATAAAAATAAAGAATACATGTTATACCTAACATGTAGTAAACCTAACAAAACCGGATAATATATCAATTTGTGTCGTTAACAAAATCATGAACGATATGACAGTAGAACTTTTCAATAGATTTTCAAATTAATTTAAAAAATAATAAAAAAAGTTAGTTCACTAAATTCAGTAATACACATAACAATTTGCAGTTTACTTTGCTGTTTACATGAAATAATAATTTTTTTTTATTTAATGGATGTCAGCCGGAAAATTGTTTCAATACATAATAAAATAAAATCACTGAAATTTTAGCTTGATTGAACATCATGCACAGGGTGCGTTGTAAGCGCAAAGTTTTTGAAAAAATGAAAATTTTTAATTTTTGGTCTATAATTTCTTAAATCTATACATGTACCAAAAATTGTATTGAATTTTTATTATAGCTCTAATTATTTCATTAATCAATTTTCTTATACTTTTTCCTAAAATTAACCCTTCCATTTCGAATCAAGAAAACTATATCTACCATTTCTCATAATTTATGAAAATTACTAGGTTTTTTTTTACGATTATCTGCTTGAAATGTACAGATATCAAAAAATTATTCAATGATCTGCTTCCTTGTTTATATGATGTGACTGAAAATCTGAGCTCCTAATAACACTGTGCTCGGTGTAAACAAAACTAAAACTTTAAAACTAAAAATCTTTAGCGAATAAATTAGAAACCTCTTTTTCATTAGTACTAACTATATTACTACACCATTAAAATGAACAGTATTAATTATATTATTTTTAGACTTTTTAGACTTATTATTCCTAAAAAAATTTCCAAAAAGATTTAGTATTAGTACTTATGCATCTTAAAAAATTAAGGCAAAAATTAATAGTAGAAGTAGATTGGGAACAAAGGGTGCATGAAGGGTCAACGATAAGAAACGTATGTTGGCAGTCCAAATCAATGAAGGGAAACTCAGCTAGTCAATTTCTTGAAGGGATAACAGATGAAGAATAATGAGGCTTGAAATTTGTCCTGTAAAGGACAGTGAAGATAGACGGTATCCCATTCTTACATTTGACCGTAATATTGGGTTGATTATTATTTTTTCGTTCGTCAAGTTCAGTATAAACACGGTGAGTATCTTTCGGCTCAAGGGTACAATCATGTACAATAGAGATAGAAAATTAATATTCAGTAGTATTCCACTTGCTAAAATTAAATTTATTAACAAAATGGGAAGCAAGCTTTTTAAATATGAAAATATACGGAAAATGACTATTGAAAAATGGTCTTATTCATTGCTTCTAACACCTCCGAGCCTAAAAATATTTTTAATGACTTTAACTTTTTTTTTTAAATTTGTATTATTTTTATTTTTTTATACAATTTTTAATTTTTTGTCTATAAAATTAATGCGGGTATTTTAGTATAAATTTTAAAAATGGGTGTCCTACATTTGTTGTTTTATATAAGCACTCGAAATTAATAAATAAATACATATCTAGCACAATGCCTGTACAGTAATCTAATTTTTTTTTTAGAAATCATCTTTCAAATGCAACAATGATATTCGTATTTACATAATAATAATAATACCTTCAAAATTAATATGTATAATTATCAACATGTAGTACCTATACGCACGTCCTTATAATAGAATTATTACGATCCATCTGCAAAATACAGTGGTTTTCTCGATGCCTATGAAATCCGACGTACAGGTACATAATAATAGGTAAGATGTGATTCGACAAATATTTTGCTATCGAAAAAAATAAAAAATAAAATTTTTATTGTATCGTTTGTGTTCGAGAAGGTCAGTGAAATAATATATATTTTCAATGATTTATTTATATTAAACCTTATACAATATAACATGCCTATGCTGAAAATACTTGATGTGTATATATTAATACATAACACATTCAAACAATAAGATTAGGTTAAATTTACACCTTGACGTACGTCGTTCCTTCAGCTCAAACCCATTTTGTCTTCAAAAAATATTATTTTCATACGATCACCGACGCGTAAAATATTCGTCGGTATAAGAATAATTGAAATAAATAGTTATTAGTTTTAGATTCTAAGCGTAGCAAGAAATGTGTTGGTTTAATAATGATGTACAATTTTTTTTTTCACTTTTTTTTTATATTGTCCGTAAATAACTTTCAGAAATCTCTAATCGAGAAATTACAAGAGACTATTTTGTTTCATTTCAAATCTAGTGGTTGGTTGGTATATTTAGAAGGTCATTTTTAATTTTACCAAGAGGTGTTCATAATATTGGAATAAACCATTAATGAAAAAAGGACAATTTGTGGCATTAATGTTTTGATTTTTGTTTTCTTCCAGAAAGTTTGCTTCAAATAAAAGTAACATCAGAAAAAAAAAATTGTTGCTTATAGATAGTGAGTAAGAAAGTCGTTTATTGATTTTCCGAGTAATTTTCTTAATAATTGGATAAAACCACGACAAACGTTTGGAAAAATGGAAAAGTTTTCAATTATTTTTTAAATACGGAGCGTAGCGAGGGATCTATTTTGATTTCACTATGGGGTGTGATTTTTTTTTTAAAATTTTTTTTTCTGCTTGTAAACAAAATTATTGTTTTGAAGTATCAAGTGGTAGCTCTTTTGTGAAAAAAAAAAATGTTTTCTGGTTGATGCATTGAAGAAGTCATTTTTTGATTTTTCAAGCCGTTTTCAAAAAAATTGTAAAAAACCAAAAGTCGAAAAATACGATTTTTAAAATTATTGATTTTATTATTTAAAATTTGTACGGCTTATGTTTTCTATCATAAATATTGCTCCAATAGAAAAACGACATTGACCTTCTATGTTTCGTTTTAGATCTAGTTGATGATCAAGAAAGTCGTTTTTTAATTTTATCTGCAGTTTTTTTTGATAATCGAGCAGAATTAAAAAAATTACTTATAACAGGAAAAACTATGAAAATAATTTGTTTATTATTTTAAAGTTTTTGTTAAGATTTAAAATTGTTTTTATTGTAACTCAGTTAAAATATTTTTAAAGACTTAAAATTTTCGACAGAAAATGTCTAATAAATAGCTTTCTCTAGACGTAGTAACGTTTTCAAAACAACTAAGCCAATTTCGAGCTATTTATAGAAATTTCAATTTTGCGAGTTTTTACGTAATTTTTATTCGGTAGGTGCTATATGGAAATTGTTAGACTAAACAGAAATCGTTAAAAATTTGATAGGAGGTTCATTATAAGTCGTACTTAGTGAAAAAAAAAAAATGTATAATGTTTTATTTTTATTTTTTTTATAAGTTTTATAATTAAATTTTGACAGAAATCGTAAATATTACGGCCTTTAAAAACATGTACAACCGAAATTCGCTCCGAATTGTATTTCGTTAGCAGTTGTTTATCGTTGCGTGCAGATATAATTTATGTATCCTACCTTTTTTACATAATATACGCATGAATGACGCATATGTACATATAGTAAAAACGGATTTCTAAACACAAGAAGGAAGATAAAAAAAAAAAAAAAAATCAAAAATCTAATTAACAGTTAATAATGCATTTTGAAAAGTATTACATACGAATACTTGGGCATAGGTATGTACCTATTAGAAAATAATGATGGTTAATTCGTTAAGATTTCAAGAATAAAAATACAATGCGATTTATTTTACATTTGTCAATATAAAATATCGAATATGTATTATATAATAGGTGCCTACGAGTGAAGCAACTATATTATGATAATAAATTATTATTAATAATCTATTAATTTTACAATCAACAAGGTTGCAGACTGCAGCATTATGATGTTAGTTTAAGTGTAATGAGGTGTACAACACAACATCTACCTATATAGTATTATTTAGGTTAATGTATATGGTTTGAGAGAAATTTATTACGATGAATATATTATATTCATATAATATATTGGACATGTTTCAATCAAACACATAAGAATGGAGGAAAAGACATAATTAAGAGCTAAAGAATTGTTCAAATGACCAGGCATTGTAAACGAAATAAAAGGAAGCTAAATGATAGATCACGTGATGCGGAGAAAGTAAGAATCCACTATAAAAAAAATATGCCATGAAAATCCCGGAGGTCAAAGGCCATTAGGTAGTCTGCAGCTTCGTTAGGAAGATTATTGTTTTATTTAAGACTTTTCAAGTATCTTTGATGAAGGACAAAGAAATTTGGAACTGTAAGGCGGTGGTAGTGAATATAATATAGACAACAAAAATGGCAAAATACATCGGTACAAAATTTGATATTAAAACACTTATAAAAAAAAAAACATATATATATATATATATAAATATTACATAACACTGATTTTTTTTATTTTTTTGGCCACTAAATGGAACTTATAATGAACCTATTGTTAAACGTTGAAGCATTTCTGTTTAGTCTAATAATTGTATTCCCAAAATACTTGCCAAATAAAAATTACGTATATACCCCAAAAAATTGAAATGTTAATAATACAATTTGTCCACGTCTAAAGAAATCAAATATAAGTTTTTAAATCAAAATTTCAAGTATCGAAATATACAAATATGTTTAACTGAATTATAACAAAAAACAAAATTGAAAAAAATAAAACCATAATTTTTCCTGTTCCTTCTATGTTTATTTCTATTTCGTTCAAATTATTGCGAAAAAAACTTTGGAAATTAAAAAACGACTTTTTAAAAATTAAAAATTCAATAAAAAAAGGTCATTTTTCTATTGGAGCAATATTTGTATTAGAAAATATAGTTTGCAAAAATTAAAACCAATGAAATCGATAACGCCGCGGCACGCCGTGAATATTTGCCGTTTTACCTAAAATTTTTTTCACGGTTCTTCACAATGATTATTAAAACACCTAGGAAAATCAAAAAATGACCTCTTTATTGCACCAAATAGATAACGTTTTCTTTTCTTTGATACATCGAAGCAAGATTTTTTTATTCGAAAAATTGTTTACAGGCAGAAAAAAAACACACACACACACACACATCATAATAAAACCAATAAATCCCTCGTACGCTCTAAATCTAAAACAAAAATAAAAAGTATCTACATACCTTCTAAATTTACACAAGATGGCTGAATACCAAACTGTTTGAATGCCTTTACGAAGTTTGATCTAATTACACGAAAACCATCACAAAAAATACAATATTGTTTAAAGAAAATGTGTGTCGAAGAAATGTCACAACCGGGTAGGTGTTCTCTATTCACGAGCGCTCTATCCGCACATATTCGATTATAATTGGATTTTGTATTTTGAGTATTTTCAACATACAAAAAGCGTTGAAAATGTTTATAATATACGAAATACAAATTGAAATTTTTCTTATACACCGGAAAATATGAAATACAAAATGTATTTCAAATACATTCAATTAAAACTTTAGTCCATTTCCTGAATACAGAGATTACCGGAAGAGGTTCTTTGTTCGGCCGGAGGGGTATAAGAGAGCGAAACAAAATTGTGTTGCCTAGAGAAAATTCAATTTTACAACAGCAGTGTATAATATACACTGTATATAGGTTATTATGTTTAAAAACGATTTCCGACATCCGGAAATATTATCGATGTAGTCCGAAACAACAAAAACGAATACCTATATTAATAGGTACACGCAATTGTTTTTTTTTTTTCTTTTACGTAACTCTCGCGCCGCCTATAATAATACATATATATTATTATTATTATTATTTGTTCGGGGAGTCGCGTACAATAATATTATATTACCTGCCTTATAATAAAATAATTCATTCGGTAAAATATATTATATTATAAGACCTTAAGTGATGAAAGCGATATTGTCGGACAAAAGAAAGTTTTTTTTATTTTTTTTTTCAAATTCGTTATTGTTCTTCGCGTTTGTACTTAATACATTATACCTGCGTTGTTCTCACGCCGCGGTCTGGTCGTCCGCGTCGCGGCCTAACAAACAATGTATAGTGAAACATAGACGGCAGGGTTATGCAAAAGTAGCCGGGACACCCACGGCGGGGCCCGGTTCCCGAACGATTTCAATAGATATTTCAATGAAAAGATGATCACGGACATGCGTCTTGGTAGAATATTAATACGCTGTTTAATAGACTGCTGCAGGACTCGTTTGCCATTGGTCGGAGAACAAAAACGTGCACGATTCGACTTACGGTCACAAACGGCACTGTGTAAAAATAGGTAACCTACTTATTTTTATGTGTCTGTAACAATAATTAATAATAGGACTTCACCATACATACAGGGCACGCGCTAACGTGCGGTTCTATATACAAAATGCGCATTTCAAATTAAAACTTGCAGCCCTAAGCAGCGGTGTATTTAAGGGCGGGAGATCAGTGGCGGCCAAATGATTTTGTCATGGGTGGAGGATAAGAACAATTTTTTAAGAACCGTTGTTATTTACATATTTTTCAAATTTTTTTTTATATAACTATAAATTTATAATACAATACAGAGGGGGATTTTTAAGCAGGCTTACCTTAGTTTTATGGTTAAATTATGCATAAAATCTAATTATGATTTTAGGAATTTTTAAGTACAGTAAACGACGAAGTTTTTGCATAATACGATTTTTCACATCATTTAAGGAGTATCCTGTGGCGATAAAAACATTGATTTTTCAAATGAAAACCTACACGTTTTGATGGAAATTATCAATTTTAAATTTTTTCTGAAAATTTTGACGTGCCAATTGTAATCGAAATCTGAACGAAAAGTTTCAGAGGTATTCTGTTTTAAATACTAATTATTAGGGCTCGGATTTTAAGGCATATGCTTCTTTTTTCTATTTGAAATAGAAATCAAAAGTATGGACATAAATTTGTTTCATGTCATTCTGATTCTATATAATATCTAAATCAATGTTTTTCGTAGCTTTTTCGACTTTTTTTATATAAATGCTTTTTTGCAAATATTCTAGTTGAGACATTTTATTTCTTATTGTGCCATAATAATAAGGCAATTTTAATTTAATTAGTAAAAACTGAAAAAAAATCGTTTTATATAGTTGCATAAAGTATGACAGTAGGTAGGTACAGTGTATAGCTCTCAATCTATGTCAAACACGAAACACGGACTATATGGTTTAATTGTTTTTGTTTATCTATATCGATAAAACTGATATACTTGATCGATAATCGATTTTGTAAATGCTATTAATACCTAACTGCAATGTACTCGACCTTTATTAAACATACAGCAGCATCTACGTTTATTATTCAGTACACGTATAACTTCGACTATTGTAACACGTGACAATAATTTTTGGTCTTGCTTTTTTTTTTACTTTATTTATGAATAAATTAGCTTTTTTTAAACAGTTGTATGGTTTTTTTTTGTTATTTATTTTGTTTTAAAATCCGATCCCTACTAAGGATTATAGCCTTTTTATGGGAATTGGATACCGAATGTTTCCTATAGGAGTCGTGAATAGGCAATTTCTTATTTTGAAACGTGTAGTTTTTATCCTTAAGTATTTATAGTAGAATAACTCAGAAACTTTCCATTCAAATTTTAATTACAATACGTCAATATTTTCAGAAAAAAACATTTGATTGATAATTTGCATCAAAACATGTAGATTCACGTTTGAAAAACCAAAGTTTTCATCATCACAGTATATTCCTTAAATGTTAAGAAAAATTTAAATATTTGAAAATATGTTTTTTTTTCACTAGGTACACTTAACAATTCTAAAAACCAGAATTTAATATATGCATAATTTAACTATACAAATGGTGTGAGTATAGTTAAAAAATAACTGTAAATAAATATAAATATTTAAGAAAAAGAACAGAAGAGATATATCCTCATTCAATACTTCTCTTCACCGTTTGACCATCCCGGGTTGAAATTAAGAAGATACATCTTCCCACTTTTTTTTTTTTTTATTATTCTATATTATTCATACTATAACTACCTAGTTTATAATTCAAATTTCTATGTTTTTTTAGTCTGAAAAATCAAACCGGTCTGAACCATTATAATTTGAAGGAGGTTAGATATTAGTAATTAATCAGTAAATAAACTAATAATAATGACTAATACCTAGTTTTATGATTTTAGGGAAGATTGAGTTATAACTTATACAAATATATATATATATATATGTACATATTTAAAATTGATTTTTTATTTTTTAAATTTAGGTACGTGTTATACAATTTGACACAATTTCTAAACTCAAAATCCTAGGTATGATTTAAAAAAAATTGTGTACAGCTCTTGAAAAAATATTATGAATTAATTTCTTAGGTAGTTATAAGCAATAAGGCTAAAAAGCGGCAAATGTATTTTTTTAATGGCACGTATTTCCTGGATTTATCGCACAAAATAATTAATTTTGATCCACCCGAAATATTTCAAAAAAGAAAAGTTATAATTTACATCGGACTACACGACGAACGACATTACAGAGTGGTATCTTAAATGACTGACGTCTGACACAGCAAGAGCGATTAAGATTCTAGACACAAAAGTCTACGTCATTATCAATTAATTATCTTATCTTTATTTAAATTACTATTTAGTTTCTATAAAATGTATTTTTTATTTTTCTTCTTGATAAAATATTATTTTATACCTTTTTTTTTTAAAAAAAAAATATTCGCTTCAATCAGCAATACATTTTGAATTTTGTAAAACTATGCAATAGCCATTAAATGTGCGGAAAAATACAAAAAAAAAAAAAAAATCACCATTAGTTTAGTATTATTATGATTTATAAAGATTACTGACAAAAATCCAAAAATGTGAAGAGAAAAAATATCCAATTGCACAATTGTATAGAAATAATCCTCGCTCTTCTAATAAACAATGTCATATAAATTGATTGGAAAATGTTGGACCTCTTTAATGACATTTTTCCCCAAGGCCTTGGAACAGGATGTTTAGTTCTAACTTATTTCGAGTACGATATGACAAACTCTGATCATGTTTAGTAACGAAAAAATGAAAAAAATGTTTTTCTAGGTAAAAACACATCTTAGTAAAACTAATAGTTTTTTTGGTATACACAGAATCTAAAGAAATTGGAAAAGACAAAACGAGACGGACAATTTTGGCCCTCTTTAACTCGTGACCCGGGACTTTAACTCCTCTAGTTTCCCCTTGACCTAGCCCAGAATATTTAACCTAAGTTTTTCTTACACATTTACTAATATAAATATTAATATTATGATTACATGTATTATTTATCAATCAATAATTCAACTAAATCTTAGGTCCTAAGAAAGAAAGGTTTAACTCAATTTTAAGGGATTTTATTTTATAATATTTTCTGAGGTAATTATTTTTTACCTTTGTTTTATCGTCTACACAGCATAATACCTATATGTGTATTTTAATTTGTTTTTTGATAAAAAAAAAGCAAAATGTATAAATATTTTATTGTATAACAATGTAGATGTATAGCAATTATTGAAGGGTCTAATTCAACAACCACATTTTGATTTCCACTTTTTTGCCCATTTTTAACTACTCCGGAGTTATCTGTTTGTTGCACTTTTACAGAAGTAAACGACTTCGTTTTTTTACTTACCACTACTGAATACCGGCGTAGTACGTTTATTGTACTCACTTGTGTTTTTTTTTTCTTGTCATTTACAGTTTATTAAACGGTTTTACCGAAAAATTGAGTCGTGCGACGAATGGTTGTTGAATTGGACCCCAAAATAATTATGCCATTACGCCGTTTAACAATATTATCTCGACGTTCAATACGGTTGCGTATCGAAAACAGCAGGTAGCGAATCGTCTCAAGCACTCCTTCCCTATAACCCAGGGTTTATCGGGGGCACCGTAATTAGGGCTGGAATTTCCGGGCCCTACAAATTGATAATACCTATTATCCGCTCGATTATTTTCCGGACGACGACACACCCATAATGTTTAGTACAACGACGTTAATAACGAATGCGTATTTAGGTAGGGATGATTATTGTTAAGGCGACGGTTATATTAATTAAAACGTATAGTGATCGTGTCGGTATATTTGCACGCGAGGAAAGCGTTTTTCGAAACCGCTATCGACGGTAGGTTAGAATAATTATTATTTAATTATCGCCGCGCCATGTGAAATACATATACGTTTGTCCGCCGTACGGGCCTATAAACGATAAAACGTGGCACAAAAAAAAAAAAAATAAAAATAAAAAAAAAAAGCAGCCAATCGTATAAATCGTATAAAATAATAATTAATAATATCGCAATGACAAACAGTTGCAGTATAAAACACTATGTATATAATAATTAATAATACCTATAATAATGTTGTGCGCAGCGGCAAACGAATATTTTTTTGTGTTTTTTTTTTTTCTTACATACATATATAATATAGAAGCCGTTCGCCAAAAGGAATATTATATTATTTTATAATAAACACCGCGACGTATTGTATTATTATAGTTAATATTTCGGTGGTCAACGTCGTACTACTGTACTATTTTATACCTACACTACTGCAAACGTCGTAACAACAAATGACAATACGATCGTTCTCGTATTACGGAAGTACGTACTCACTTTTAAAAATGTTATAAATATGACGACGATAATATTTCGGGGTAGCGGCGGCGGCGGCGGCGGCGGTGACGGCGGCGGCAGTGGTTGCGGCGGCGATCTCGGCGAATGAAATATATTATTATTACGGCGGCGAGGAAAACCAACACGGTTTTTTCTTTCCGGTTTTCTCTCTCTCTCTCTCTCTTGGTATTTGTTAATAATTATTATAGAAAACGGACTTACGAATAATAGTTAATTAAGATTATTCGTTATACGACGACGACGCGAATTTTACCTCTACGTCATTATCGCCGCGGGGATGGACTGGCGCAGAGACAGAGCGCGTACCGCACACACATAACACTCGCGGGGTAGTAGACGGAAAAGCGCGAGAGGAAAATGTTCTCCCGACCGAATCGATAAATCGAGTCCACGTTTGCGTAGCCGTTTCCCTTCGCGCGTAGGTACTGTGTGTATGTACACGCGGAACGTAAACAAATAGTATGTACACTTACCTGCCGACGAAATCAGTATAACTACCCGTTAACTATAATACGCGTGTCCACGAGATTCGTTATCTGCAACGGTTCGACGGTGTGCTTGGCAAACGCCTTTGGTTAAACCGATCGGTTCGTAGACGCCTGACCTAGATTTTATGTAAATTAAGTGAGTCTAAAGAACTATCCAGGAAAAAAGACCAAAACAAAATTCGATTACGTCACAGGTTCTTCATAGGAATGAGCTATTTCAAGTCCATTCCTTCCGAGCACTGATTCAGACGTTAGTAAAAACTTGATGTATACTATTATGAATATTATTCAACAATTTCACCTATTGTATTTTATGTTAAAATAATATTAAACGCAATAAATAAATAAAATATCTACTCGAGCTATCAGTAACTATTTACTTCAGTAGCATAAACTTTTTTAAAAAAAGCTGTCCTAGAATAATGGAGACGGGTGCAGCCACTGTTATAGGTAATTTAAGTAACATTAAACTATTGCTAACGAAAAAACGATTCTGAGCTATGTTCAGTTAATAGTAATTCTTTGTCAACAGTATTTTTGTCATATTATGTTCAATGTTATATCATTGTAAAACCAAATCATCTAAAAGTATACTCAATCCTCAAAAAGGACAAAAAAAAAAATGTTAACGTTAAAAAAAAAATAAAAACAGAACTTTAATATGTAGTAAAATGAAATGAATTAATTGTCCAGGTACTTAATAAATTAATAATATTAAAAATATAGAACGAAAAACAGGGTTGGACTTTTAGTACGTTTAAAACATGTTTTAAACATTTAATTAAAAATCATTGTATTAATAAACAGTTTACTATATATAATGCAAAAACACCAAACGATTTTTTAAAGTAGTGTTCTGTATACCTATAGGTTGTTAGCAGCGCCAAATCAACCAAACTAAGGGCGTTGTAGGTGCAGAGCACTCCTGGGCCGCTGTTGAGTTGTTGAAGTACACAATAACATAGAAATGATGTTGATGTACTCAAAACTTTTTCAGGATTGAAATTGGATCATTCTAAGTATGTGTATTTTTCCTAGATTTTTAGTTCAAACGCATGGGAAAAACGCGCGTTTGCAGGTCCCTTAACTATCCCGATAGGCCGATCGGTGTTTAATTTAGTTGATAATTGACCATTGCAGTGTTTGTATACGGTTTTTTTTATTGGTACGTAGGCCTCAGTAAATATGCTTGCACCCCACCCAACATATACACGTAATAGTGGCACTGGTTGTTAACCTCTTGATTCACATTATTTCTTTTACCTAAAATAATTATTTTTTTCAATATAATGAGAAAAATATGAAAAAAAATGTTTGTTTTATATAAATATTATGTAAGCACATGGTAAACTATTACGGATTAACCGATAAGTATACAAATTACAACTTTAATTTATATTTGTATAGGAATTTAAAATCTACGGTACCTAACTATTATATACAGAAAAATATTATGTACTCTGGTATTCGGTATTTAACCTTAAAAAGTCACAAAACATAATTTAAAAGTAAGTTGTAAATTTATTGATTAATAAATTTGATTTTACCGGTTTTTTTTTATTATTATCTTATTGTCAAGTTATAGGCGTTTGTCATTTATTTTTGAAGGTATGATACTATCATTGCAATGAATAGTGACTACTGGTACAATTTTAATTGTAAAATTGTGTGTACATTAATATGCAACCATTACTTTTGGATTCTGATAAATCAATAACAATGAAAATTAACAAACCGTTCGAAAATTAAATTATTAAAAAATCATAATAATTAATCATACTAAGTTTAGAAAAAAAAACATAATAAATTATTGAAGAACTTCATAAAAAAAAATTTTACATTCATTAACATTTAAAAATAAAAAATTGATACATTGATAATAATAATAAAAAACAATTGTTCAAACAAAAAAAAAACATGATGCTATAATAAACATGTTTAAAAAAATAAAACCGTTTTAATCACAGTTTTTTTTTTTTTAATTAACTTTGAGTTTTGCTTGCTTGTATTGTACAACCATAGGAAAAAAAAAAATTGCAAAACAGGGAGAAGTAACTAATAAATTGAGAATTTCATAATAACAAAATAAAATTACTCACAACTAACATAATTCGAACTTTGTTCAGTCATAAATGACATTTTCTACAATTCGCAGCCCTCACTGAATACTGAGGTACCCACAGCATTCAGTACCTACGCATCACACGTCAGTTTTAATGTTTGCGAAAAAGAAATTCTCAATAAAATATAGGTGTCGGTATTAATCGATTAACTTGTAAAATGTAATGCAACGATATTATAATGAACTGGAAATTCGTATTGAAATGTTCAAGTGTCCTACTGTACCTACTCCGTCTGATGAAATGCGGACAAAGAAAAACGTACGTGCATTTGTTCACCTTGTTTATTTTTAATTAGTTACCTAACTATATTATAATACAATTGTAACAACAAATTAGGCAAATAGACTCGGGGTTATATTTTACTCGTGAGTAGGGTATCCCCGTTTTGCTTAGACGGCCAATGGACCAGAGTATATAAACCGCTGAGGTTGTTAACGGAAGGTACATTCAACAATCAAACATGGCTCACTTCACATCTTTGGTAAGCATTTAACTACTCTATCTACTTGTTATCTGTATATAGATATTCGTATACAGACAAACATTTTCAATACGCCGTTCTACTAACAAGTTCTAGTATTACAAATATTTTATTAGTATAATATATTTTAACCGCGTTTGTGTTGTAATTGTGTATTAGAAATTCTCGTTTTAACTTTTCGTTTTTCCATCAATGTTATTCTAGTTATTAAGATTATTAATAACAACTAATCTAAATCTAATTTAAATATACTTAGTAAATTCAAATGCTTAAAATTAAAACAATAACTTACTCGTAAAAATTGTTATTGTTATAGTACGAGTGTTTTAATTTATTTATTTAAATTATTGTAACATATTATTATGCATTGGACTATAACGTTATAACGTTATAATTAAAGGTTTTTTTTTTAAATTTCAAATGTTAAAAATATTTTATATTCATTAAATTTTATTAAATCAGTAAGTCTAAAACTGGTTTTTTTTTTTAGTTCTAAAATTATAATTATTATATCGTTAATCTCAGAGAAGAAAGAATTAATTTATATCTTTTGATATAACACATTAAGTGTTGAAAATAAGTACGTCTAAACTAATACACTAATAAAGTATATACACTAATTTATCTTAAAAATAAATATAACTTGGACCAAAAAATAAAGGTAAAAAATTGCATACAACAAAATTAAAAAATAAACGACAAATATTAATTTAAGCCCTTCTTCCCTGGAGTAAAAGGCTTATATTGTCTTAATCACTCATATTAAGCACGCAAAAGGAATTAAATTTATTCTGCAGACATATCCCGAACTTTTATAATTGAAATAACTTAAATATAACATTTTATAATTTGTTTTTTCCTCATTATAGTTGCTGATATTTATGGCGTGTTCAGTAACCCGTTATGCGTCGGGAGCAGAATTGTCCAAACTTTCAGAACTGAAACCGGAGGCAAAATCGGAAAACGCCGCGGACAGTGCCCCGACTGCTAAAAGAGTGGTTTTCGGCGCGTTCCATCCGGCTAATCATCATTTCGCTTCTGGCGGTGGTGGTGGTGGAGGCGGCGGAGGATTTGGTCAGGGCTATGGTTCCGGGTCTGGTAACGGAGCGGGCTTAGGCTACGGATCGGGCGGCGGCGGCGGCGGCGGCGGCGGCGGCGGTGGTGGTGGCGGCGGAAGCGGAGGTGCCGCACCAATTAGTAGTAGCTACGGTACCGGCTCCGGCTACGGTCAAGGGAGCAGTGAACAAGAAACTACAGGGTCCACTGGCAGCGGATACGGTCACGGATCTAGTGGAACCTTTGCGAACGCTTTCGGTGCCGGCCAGGGAAGCGGGTACGGCAGTGGGCCCGGTGGATTCAACCAGGGTAGCGGCAATAATTACGGCCAAGGAAGCGGTGGTGGTACCGGAAGCGGGTTCGGAAGTGGTTTCGGACACGGTGGAGGCTTCGGACACGGCGGAGGTTTCGGACACGGTGGAGGTTTGGGTCACGGACATGGTGGGGGCTTCGGCCACGGAGGAGGTTTGGGTCATGGACACGGAGGAGGTTTGGGCCATGGACACGGCGGTGGTTTCGGTCACGGCGGAGGGTTCGGTCACGGCGGAGGGTTCGGTCACGGCAGCGGTGGTGGTGGCGGTGGAGCTGGATATGGTGGCGGCCATGGTTTCTTTCTGATGCACCACAAGCCTCAAATTTCAGGAGCCGTCGGCCACGGCAGCGGTTTCGGGTTTGGCGGCGGAGCCGGTGGAGGTGGTAGCGGTAACGGAGGTGGCGGTGGAAACGTGGGTGCAGGAAACGGCGCGGCGTCGACTTACGGATAATGCGGTGGTTGTTTAAAACTCATCTGGACGGACCATGAAAAAACACAATAATACAAATTCATTATACATGTAAACATATTTACTTCTTCACCTAAAATGTATTCGTGCGTGTCCTACACTGACAACATAAACCTACCACACCGATAAATTATATTGTATTACATTATTCATTATATATTATTGTAATTATTAATAAATTATTTCGATTATTTTACGATCTACTTTTAATATTGAGACGTTATTTTATGTTAAAAAGATGAAGAAAAATATTAATTTGCAATAAACCAAAAGAAACTGTGTTTCAGATAGATACAAATATTTTTTTTTTCTTCAAATTATAATATACTTTATATTACATACATATTTTACATTATTTTTCATTAAACCGTATATAAATTATAGAAAATTATAATCGTTCAAATATTATAATCTATTCATTATGTTTACCGCAATACTGTATGTTTGTCTATTTGTTTAATTTACTTAGATTTGATTGATTTGAATACTACATTACGTTTATAATTATTACTTATACAATTATAATAATATATAATACATTATTTAATACTAATCAAATATTTTATTTTCCATTTAAAATTGAAAATAGTACCTATATAGTTTATAACATAATATATTCAAATAAATTTAACTATTTAACATAATATTATGCTATTTGCTTTTCTTATTATGTTTATTAAGTTAGATATTGTTCGTTTTAGAAGAAATTTATTACATATATTATGTAATTCGTTTTTTGTTTATTTTGTATCTGTTGCCGTAGACCAAAACCATAAAGCGTAAACCAAAAATAATACAATTTATTTTTATTTTAAATGCGTGAATTATTATACTATTTGGAAGTAAAAGAAAATGTCAAAATTATTAATCGCACTCGTTTTGTTTTATAGAACGTTCTGAATAAATATTTTAGATAAATTTATTATATTATTTTCCTATATTTAACTGCTAAAAGTAATAGATTGTCAATCGACAGAATCTATAGGACAGATAGCAAATTTTCCAGTTGAATTTGGGAAGGTGTTATTTTGATGACAGCGAAATTTTTGTTTTGTTGAGCCTTAACTTTATTGTTAACTTGTAATAACAATACAACTTCTATGCAATTTTGGTCTGTACAATTTTTAAAATGAATGACTGAACTAATTTAACTTATTTCTGTATACTAACGTATTATTGGTAGTTATTTGGAATCCAAGGCTCTTCAATATATTCACCAAGTCAGTAGTTAGATAACTTAATAACTTCAATATTATTGGGGAATTTTGTTTCACATGTTCTAATATTTCTTTAGAATTTACTTCTTCCAAAAGCTCTTTCTCCACACTTATTAACATAAATATCTACTTTATATAATATCTAATTTTAATTTTCTACTGATGAACACAATCTACTTTTAATAATTTTCAGCTTACAGAAGCTTCTCTTACAGTTGACCTGACTAAATGACAAAGTGAGAATAAATTAAAATGCTAAGTATAACTATTAATAAATGCTACCGAATATATATTATATTTAAACAATAATTTATATAATTAAAATGCTCAGTTTCCCCCAGTACAGTTATTTTTTTAAATTTGTTTTGGAAATAAAGAAATTCTAAGTTACAAAAAAAAATATACATACGTATTGAAAATACATGCCTTGTTGATAAAAATGTTTGCTGTATTATGCTACTAGCAATAATAATTATAGTTTAGTTGTTATCTAATAGTTGTGAGTAAGTATTTATTCTAATTAGTAAACATTAAAATATAGAATTGTATTATACGAATAGAAATAAATAATATAATAAATCTTATCATGAAAAGTGATTGTTTAAAAAAAATATAAAAATGTATAAGTTGGATCAAAATCAAATATCACTTAGAAGGTAATAAAAATCAATCTAGGTAATACTAATTCATCAGTATGAGCTATTAATTTATTGGCTTACTAATGGCGAATAATTTTCTTATCAGTTCATATGACCACACTCTCCTTACTAAGGCACTCAAGTTGTTACTAAAAACTCGACTAAAAAATCTAACTAACCGCCGTAAATACATACAAAATGATATTTCTCATGAAGACTGTAAAATAAAAAAAGATAGATACAGATATAATAAGCTCGATGGGTGGGCCACTGTTGTAGGTGAAAAGTTGGGAAGGTAGAGGAGAAATTTAATGTATATCTGTACACACCGATTAACCATTTCTGACAAAAACGATTCTGAGCGGAATTCAGTTAATAGTGTTGCTTTATCGTATTATGGTAAAATAATTAAATATACATTATGTATTTTCTGTAATAATATTTGTCTTAATATCATACCTATTTTCCTGTTTTTCCGGCATTTTTTTCCGGTTGTTGTCATATTTTTTTCCTGTTTTTCCTATTTATTGTCAACACAGCTGGGAAAATCAAAAAATGACCATTAATTGATTGTACCAGCTCGGTCAGATTTCCATTAAAAAAAAGTGTTATAATTGAAAATTGGAGCAAAATTGCTAGTAGAAGTTGTTCACAGATAAATAAATAAACAAACATCATTGTAAAACCAATACATTCCTTGCTTCGCTCAAAATTTAATAATATTAATGTTTCGGATTAACGGCGAGTATGTTTTATTCTTGTTTTGGTTAATTCGGATGTTTTAAAAAAAACGGCATTCGGATGATATTAATCGAACGTTGTTTATTTTATATTATATAGAAATATAGAAATTTAGAAATTTATATTTTTTTATAATTCAAATAAAATTATTAAAGCACAAAAATCGAATTGCATTTATTTAATTATAAATTATTAATAAAATTATTCTTCTTTTTCTTCGTCTTCATCCCACTCTTGTCATAAAGAACAATATCAAACTTCCGACATCATTTTCAATTGCATCCATCATCTTATTTTCGGTCCTCACTTTTTCCTCATACGTTTATTTTAAATACAATTCGTACTGCTTCTGACGCCTTTCTCCTCATTTCATTCTGTCTACTACCGAAGCTACGCCCAACTAATGTAATTAATAATTTTAATATGTTAAACCTAATATAATAATTATCTTAAAATAAATAATAAAAAAAAAAACGTATAAATAAACTGTTAAATGTATATACATTGACAAATTTCATGTATATGAAAAATGTATTGTGTTAAAATATATTGTGCAGTTCAAATTTCTCGTAACATATCCACATATTAGCTTCAGGGAAAAGATTTTTGAAAGGATAAATAAAATATTCAGCGATAAATGTGAGATAATATTATTTAAGGGGTTACGTATAGGCAGAATTAAACAATTAAAAAAAAAAAAAAATTGAAAATTTCTGAGATTAGTCATTCTGGAACCAGCAAATTAAAATTATATCTGCGGACCGATGCCATTCTTTCAAAACCGATCTGTAGCCAAAAATTTGAAATTTGTAACCTTAATTATTTGTTGAAAAATTCAGTTTGCATTTGCTGATGCTGGAACAACGTTTTTACGGTTTCAGCAAAGTACAAAATTCATCCTATTGACTCTAGACTGATGTTATTCTTTTTTAATCTTTCTTAAACACACATTTGAAATGTGTAACCTTAACTGTTTGTGTTATGTGTTATGAAAATAGATTAAAAAAAAAAATTGATACTGGGAACGGGTGTATAACTGTTGTAGGTGAGGATTTTAGAAGATAGGATACATTAAGTTATTTAATTTGTATCAGTAAGTAACGATAAATCATTGCAAACGAAAAACAATTAGAAGTGAATTTAAATTATATATGTTTTTAAAGGCCATTCCTATAATATTTACGATTTTCGTCAAAATTTGTTACTAAAATTCTTATAAAAAAAAAAATACTACATTAAACTCAGATTTTTTTTTTTATCAGTAAGTACGATTTATAATGAACCTCTTGTCAAATTTTCAATCATATCTGTTCAGCTTAATAATTGTATCTACAAAGTAACTATCTACCAAATAAAAATTACTTAAAAAACTAGCAAAATTATAATGTCTATTTATTTTATGTCTATATGAATATTTTTAACTGAATTGCAATGAAAAAACAATATTGAAAATAATAAAAGCATTATGTCCGTAAATTTTTATATAATGATCATATTATACGAACTGTTATAGAATTTGAAAGTTAAGAAAGGAGTGGTATAAGAATATGTTTTGGACATAATATTACGTACTTTCTCAGATAAAATAAGGCTTGGGGGCATTCTGATGATAAGAAAGAAAAAATATCTACAGTCAAAAAAAACAAACCAGTTAACATCGAAATTTTAATTTACATACAATTAAATAGTAAAAATAATCTAGATATTATAAATTAACTGTAATATAATGTATTGTAATTATAATTTCAAGTAACTATTTTTCTTAAGTAAGAAAAATTAATAAGAATCATAAATTTGTAAAGAGAGTCTACAAAAAAATATGAAAACATAGTAGTAAATTGTTTTATTTTTCACCTGATACTGTTAATAACTATTACAGAATACAGGTTGTGATTTTGTAATTTTATTAGGTTAAAAATTCCGAATTTATGTTAAGGTTACAAATTTAGAATTTACCCATTCCCAGTATCAGTTTTTTTTTTTTTTTGTTATATGTATACTGATTACTGACCGTTGGCTCAAAGGTATTACGTGTAATATACACGTGTACATGTAACTGTTAAATAGCATACGGACGCGATTGTTTAACTTGTAATTTTAAATTATATAATAAAATAGATGTTAAAATATATAATTTTTATATGATTAATTTTTCGACTTACAAATACAATAGAATTTGATTTTATTTAATGGAATTATCATTTTTTAAAAAATAAAACATAAAACTTACCGACCTAAAAGTATCGCCATTCTAGGACCGTGTCTATAAGACCTGTGCCTAAATACGTCTCTATCTAATATTTTTAATATAATAATATAATATATTTTCTAAAATGAAATGGCAATTTAAGAAATACATCACTCCGTCACCGAAGTCGAATAATCCCCCAGCTAAATTGTCAACGTTAGAATATTTTATGTTTTTTTCTTATATTAATGAAAAACTGAACAAAAAATTTGCACCAAAATAGATAAAATAATTCTCGACGTTTTTGCTAACATATGAACATACGGTAAATTTAGAGGTTTGAAGTTTAAATCTTCTAAAGGCACATCTTTGACAAGTCTATTTACACATTTTAACCAAGTTATTACTCACTTTCGTGAGTCTGTAAGAGACCCTATTTAAAACCCAGTATTTCTCTGTGAAAACATATAATCTGAGCATAAAAATGGTTGAGAAGGTGGTTGACAGTTTAACAATAATGTAATTATCTTCCATGGCACGTTGGTCAAAGATTACGTAATGCGTCTCATTAGTTTAAATGGAGACTGATTTACCTTCCATCAATCCTCAATACAGCCAATCCTCCATATCAATTCCTTAACAAGTTAATACTATTATACATAATCAATATTATAGGGGCTTGAATATTTGTGCTAGTAGAAAGATACAAAAATGTCCTATACTATACAATTTTAGTAGCTATTTCTGTTAATATTGAATTTTACATTCTGAGCAATCATTTTTTTTTTTTTTTTTTTTTGCTGGCAATCAGTTTAAATGATTATAAAGTCTTAAAGTTTGGACTATTAGTTTTTCTAGACATAAACAAATTTTCAAAACATTTAAACTATTTTTGAACTATTTATAGACATTTTAATTTTGCGTGTTGTGCATAGTGGTAAAAAAAAAAATTGAGTGATTATAAGTATTTTTTGAAAGTTTATGTAAGAATTTTAATATCAAATTTTGACGAAAATCTTAAATATTACCTACGGCTTTTTAGAATATAATATTTAACCGAACTTCGCTTCGAATCGATTTTCGTTAACAGTGGTTTATCGTTGGTTATAGATATAAATTAAATAACTTTATGTATTCATATTTCAACCTTCCCACCTACAGCAGTAGCACACCTGCCCACAGTCTTTTATTTTTTTATTGTAAAACGTGTAATACTAATTAAATATGTTGTTTTTTGCTTAGTTGCTATTAGTTTTTGTTATAATATAATAATAAATTATCTTAGTATTAAATATTAATTTAACTAGTATTTAATAATTATTTCAAAATTAATTTTATTATATAAAAATAATAATATAATAATCAGTTTGAATTATGTATTTTAAAGTAGACTAACGTTTATTATAATAATACATTATTATACCTAATACTAATCATTAACCGTTATAATTAAAAACTTTTAACTTTTAAGAACACATGGCATGTATCTCCATTCTCCACGGTATTATCTAAATATTTTTAAAGCTAGTACACCTCATGTAAATCCTATTTATTATTTGATAATTTTATAAAAAAAGTGTTTTAAACATAACTTTTGAAACAATTTTGAATATGTACCTACAAAATTGTATTAATTTGAAATTAAATTTGGTTATTTTGTGTCGCTTGAAAAAATAACTTTTTAGATATATAATGTGGAATTATATTCCTGCAATGACGATATTCTCCTATTCTACACACAATTTCCGTAATATTTCATAATGTGTAATATATTTATTAAAAATCATTATTAAATATTAGTTTAAATACGTAATACGAAATGAATATGTAGTATACAGTTGAGATTTCATTGAAATCGTAACCTTAACAATTTCGAAATGTAAATACACATTCAATGTAACGCGTCGACGATAGTATACTATTTTTCAAGCAGATAAAAATTTTTTTATTAATTAACAATTCTTCCAAAAAAAAAAAATTAAATAAATACAAGTAGCTTAACGAAATCTATAATTAAATTACTTGACCTATACCCTCTGGGGATTATCAGATATTAAAGACGCACCAGGGGTACCTACATAATTCATTTAATATTATGTTTCATTAAAATATCTATTTGACGCTTGTACTCGTATAATAATATGTTAAGAAACTATTCTATATTAAAGAAGTAAGTATGAAAGTGTGTAAAAATACGGTATTTCAAATGCCTACAGACTTTTTGGTAATTTGTCGTGTTCCATTTACAAAAATATTTTGTTTAATGTCCTATGATTTGTAAATTTTATGTGTAGAAACGAATGTATATATGTATATGGTATATGAGTTTTACTAAATTAGATTTTCTTTAAACACCGAGGTTATGGAACCGTTTTCCTTTTTTACTAGAAGGAACGAGGAAGGGAATGTTTTCTTTTTTTAGAACTAGACCTAGACTAAACACCGGGTGAAATATTCCGAAGACGTAGATTTTTCGGCAAGTGATAACTGCTTTAATTGAAAAAAATAATAACTAGATTCATGACAGTTTTTCTATAAAATTAAAAAAAAACTGGTGATAAATGTCCGTTTTATTTTTCTTGATTTCTATATTATACCAATGCTGCATGAGAAACAAAACTACTATTGTACTACTCCATTCGGAATCGTTTTTTGATAGCAATGATTTGCCATTGCCTTTAGTATATAAATTAAATTTTTTCATATGTTATATACTTCACGTTCCCATTTATTACAATGATATACCCATGCAGGCACGTACACAAAAAAAAAAAATGTACAATAATCTATATTACCAATATTATCTATATTTATAAAATAAATATTTAATTGATATAAATAAATTACACAACTATTACCCCCGAATCCCTTATCCCCTGTATACTGCTTGTATCCATGGTAGGACATACTTCCGGTTTTAATTATATACTCATATATATGAATATCATATTTTTAAATTTGTGGCAAACTTTTTTTTTAAATAATAGATACCTATACAAAAATATTCGATTTTTTACATTTTGTATCTTTCTATACTTCAAATGTGTTTACATTGTTTGTGATGGTTTTTTTTCCCCCCGTTGATCTAAGAAAACCTATGTTATTAGAATAGATATATTGAGGTCATACATTATATTTGAACATTATTTCACACTTGAGGTATGGTGATATTTTTTACATACCTATTGAGATTTGTCTATTTTTTAGTAGAATGTCTCCGGGTAAAGTAGGAAATAAAACAATCGATTTGATATTACTAATTTCACAAAACAATATTATTATTATTTCAATGACTTTCGTGTGTGAAGTATGGCATTGTGATGAATTCGGTATCGGGGTGTTATTGCATAAGTGAGTAGGGGGTCGCGTGTCCTCCGTCTCTTTCGGCTTTCAATAAATTAGCAAACGCTACAGTATAAAAATTCAGAATCCGCATACCGTCGGAACTAGAGGTACGTTCAACAATTTCCACCATGGCTCTTCTTCAAACATTTACGGTAAGCGTTTTTATGTATTTTTTAAATCGAGTTTTAAAAGTAATAATAATATTATAGACCTCAAGAACTTTATAAAATTACATACCCACTTACAACTAGTATTATTTTATTTATACGAGTAGGTACATTATATATACTTTTAGTGATAATTATTTTTTTTTATTTTTTAAATTGTCAGTTCATTATCTGTACTCTATCCGTCGATACGTCTAATTTTCCCAGGCCCAGACCAAGACCAATCGTAGAAACATCGACCTTTTTTTTGTAATCAATTCTTTGTTAAACTCTACAAAATTATAGTAATTCGACTTTTTTTGAAAATAAAAAGTTCTGTTTTTCTTAATACGATTACTCGAATTTAAATTAAAGACAATTATGAATTATTATTATCGATTCTGGGCGTAATTATGAATTTATTGGTTTTACTATGTGTCCGGTTTTTACATTTTATATTTTTAAAAATCTTTTCTACTAAATATTTTGTTCCAATTGATGAACAACAAAAAAATGTCAAAGTTTAATTTTGTTTAGTTGATGCACTGGGGAGATTACTTTTTAATGTTCTAGGTGCTTTTTATAATGAATGTGAAAAACGGACAAATTTATGGCGTTAACAATTTCATTATTTTAAATTCGTTCTTTGTTTTACGTCGATGTATTCGCTTTGGTCGAGCAGAAGTGTTTGAAAATTTAACATGAGATTCATAATAAGTTGTATTTTGTGCTAACAAAATATATATATATATATATATATATATTTGGCGCAATGTAGTAATTTTTTTTAAACATTTCAAGTTAAATTTTGACTTAAGCAAAAAATTACGATATTTTACAGTAACTTTTCTCGCAGAATCATGTTTCATCAGCAATAATTTATGGATGCATACAGATATAAATAAAATATAATTTTAATTATTATTATTATATATCCTATTTTTCAATATTTTTCATTTTAAAATATATTTTTCTCGATTATTATGTGTGTAAATTCACTAAAAAACTTCGCCACCAACCCCAATTTATTTACTTATTTATCTGCTATATACACATATTATAATGATGGTTGAATTTTGTATCGTAACATGAAGTTTAAAATTGAATATAATAACGTATAACAAGTATAACGTTTTAGTCTACTATTTAATATTAAAAAAGTTATTCAACAAAAATTTAACTTAATTTCGTGCATATCAAATATATTTAGTTATATTTTATAAATGCATTGATTTTATTTAAGTTTACCAAAACAGAAAATATTCTAAAAATCCTAGAATTATTATAAACTTACAACAGCTATGATATTATGTACGATGTTTGTGTGATAGGAAGATATATTTTATGTAGGATATCTACACATTTGAGTTTGGAATATTCAGTGACATTGTTTTTTAAACATCCAAATAATAATAATTAAAGTTAGTTAATTAATTAATTAATTTTAGTTTTTAGTTATATAGGTTTCATTCCTTAAAAAGACGAACATGTTTCGCACGATGGGTTTGCCACTGTTGTAGGTGAGAAGTTAGAAAAGTAGGATATGGAGAGGAATTTAATGTAAATCTGTACGCAACGATAAATTTTCAAGCATTTCTCTTTTGTCTAACAATTTTATTCACAATATACTAAGTAAAAATTATCTAAAAATTTCGCAAAATTAAGATAACTATATATAGCTCAATAATAGCTGAAAATGTATTGAACATTTTACAACGTCTAGAAAAGGCAAATATTAATTTCCTGTTCAAATTTCAAGTCTCCACGAATATTTTTTATCTGAAATACATTAAAAAAACAAAATTGAAAATGATAAAAGCATTATTTCCGTAAATTTTCCAATTTTTACTACCACTTGATAGTGGATACTTTTAAACTGGACATAGACATTTGCAAATAATTGACGAATGGACAAAGTTACCACACTAAAAATATAATGTTACTATTAACTGTAGTAACTATATTATGTTTACTTACTATACTATTGTATCCTTTGTAATGTATTTCCATTTTACAGTCATATGGCCTGTAGATGAGAAGATGAGAAGGTAGAGGGGAAATTGAATGTATATCTGTACGCAACGACCAATCTTTGTTAGCGAAACAATTTTGAGTGGAGTTCGGTTGTACAATATGTTTTGAAAGGTCGTAGTATTTACGATTTAAAAATAACACATTTCGTATATTTTCCCATTTCCCTTATTTTTTTCTCCGTCTTTATCAATTATTTTGAAAACCGTTCAGAAAATCAAAACATTAAAAATAAACATCATTGTAAAACCAATACATTACTCGCTTTCATCAGAATCTAAAATACCTTCTTCAGAAAATTGTTAAATTTATAGTTTTGTGTATTTCTTTTTGTTTGTATTTTACAGTTATTTAAAAAATACAAATTTTGAACTGTCAATTTATTTTAATTCTATTGATAAGATTTCACTTTATTCGTAAAAATACATTTGTCACTACAATTTTGGACAGTTCAATTATTGTGCTAAAATAAGTATAATTAGTATAATATGACATATTTATGCCATGGGCTTACGATTTTTACGATTATGGATTAAATTGTTCTAATTCAAAATCCACCTAATAACACAAAATCAAATATAAGTATTTTTTATAAATGTAACTTAATTTATCTATATTATAGATTTTGGTTTTATTCACGTGTCTCATCAGCCGCCAAATAATTAGCGTTGAGGTAAATGAGAAGCCAGCGGAATTAAAACCTTCAGATTCTACAGATGTTGATGATAATGTTTCACCTACAAAAAATTCTCCTTCAGTTAGGCAAACATATACTGGAAGTAATGCTCACGGTTCCGGTGATGCCAATATTAATTATGGCCATCAACAAGGTTTAAATAGTGCATCTGGTTCTCTACCTAGTCCTGCGGGTACTTCAGGAGCTGGAAGTTTCGGTGAAAATAATGAAGCAAACGGATTCGGAGGCTTTGGAAATGGTGGTGCCGGCTCTGGAAGTGGTAGTGGTTTCGGTTCCGGATTTGGAAGCGGTGGAGCTGGCGCTGGAGGTGGTGGTGGTTTCGGTTCCGGATTTGGAAGCGGTGGAGCCGGCGCTGGAGGTGGTCATGGTTTTGGTTCCGGATTTGGAAACGGTGGAGCCGGTGCTGGAGGCGGCGCTGGAGGTGGTCATGGTTTTGGTTCCGGATTTGGAAACGGTGGAGCCGGTGCTGGAGGCGGCGCTGGAGGTGGCGCTGGAGGTGGCGCTGGAGGCGGCGCTGGAGGTGGTCATGGTTTTGGTTCCGGATTTGGACACGGTGGAGCCGGTGCTGGAGGTGGTCATGGTTTTGGTTCCGGATTTGGAAACGGCGGAGCCGGCGCTGGAGGTGGTTCTGGGTTCGGTACTGGATTTGGAGGAGGAAGTGGTACAGGAGCTAATGGCTTAGGAGGAGGACAAGGATTTGGTAATGGCTTTGGCGGAGGTCATGGACAAGCTGTGGGTGGCAGTGGATTTAATTCTCTTAATGGAGGTTTATCAGGAGTTGGACAAGGTTTTGGTAGTGGTTTTGGAGGAGGCCATGGACAAGCTGTGGGTGGTAATGGATTTAATTCTGTTAATGGAGGATCTTCTGGGGGTGGTTTTGGTGGTGGTTTTGGAGGAGGTCATAGTCAAGCTGTAGGCGGTAATGGATTTAATGCTGCAGGAAATGGAGAAACATCGGGGGGTGGACAAGGTTTTGGTAGCGGATTTGGAGGAAGCCAAGGTCAAGTTGTAGGTAATAATGGATTTAATGCTGTCAATGGAGGTTCTTCAGGAGGTGGTTTTGGTGGAGGTTTTGGAGGAGGTCATGGTCAAGCTCAAAGTATTGGTGGATTTAATGGAGGTTCATCGGGTGGCGGCTATGGTCATGGACAAGAAACAGAATTTGGGGAAGGTTATGGTAATGGGCAAGGATCAGGATTTAATCCGGGAACGGGTGGAGGATTTGGTGGTGGTGAAGGATACGGTATGGGAGGTGGATTTAATGGAGGATCTAACGGGCCTAACAGCTTACAATCACAAAATCAGAAACCTCAAATATTAGGAGGTGGCGGTGGTGGTGGCGGTGGCGGCGGTGGTGGTGCCCAAGGCACTGGTCATTATGGAGGTGGAGGTGGGTTTGGTTTTGGTGGCTCTGGAAGTGGAGGCCTAGGTCGTTAAAAGTAATAATATTTAATTTTTAACTAAATAATTAAAAAATATTTTCATTTATTTATAATAATATATTTCGAAATGTATAATAATAAATTAATAAATTATTATCTAAGTAATATGGTTTATGTACTTACTACTTATATACTATATATATGCATATTATTATCATATTAATTGTATTCTTATTTTATTAAAAAACTAAATTATTATAACTTAAATAATCCATTTTAATTTAACTGACTCGTGTTTAGTATGCGATAATTTATTTGTATAATGTTATTTTATTAATAAAGTTTAAAAATAAATCATCTTTTTGGGACATTGAACAGAGTATTATGTGCATTTTGTAATTATTGATTATTGTCTCCGACAAGAATATATCTAATTGTATGATACGGTTATTTATAATATTTATTTTAATCAAAACTTTCAAAAATATATTTATCATGGTAGTCTTGTATATGGACATTGAACACCTTGAGCTTTGCCTAAACCACGGCTAAATATTCATATTAAAATACCTATAGAATAGTATAATTTTTACACTTTTTATATTAAGGCACTTTGTGTATGCAATACTACTACTTATACGTATCAGTTGTACAATTAGCTTAAATAGATTTCAAAGATTGAACCTAATTTTAGATTCAGAGTGGGACGAGGAATGTATTGTTTTTACAATTATTAATTTACAACTATCATTATTTTTATTTTTTTTAATTTACTTATATACAAAATTTTTAAAATACAACCAGAAATTTTGATCCGAAGTATCAAGTGTAGCATTTTTTCTGAAAGGAAATTTTCCTTAGGTGGTATTTTAAGAAAGAAGGTCATTTTTTGATTTTTCAGTTGGAAAAACGAGACAATTAATGAAAACAATGCTTTTATTGTTTTCAATTTTGTTATTTGTTGTACTTCAGTTAAAAATATTCATTAAGACTTAAAATTCGGACAGAAACTAAAATATTTAACTTTTCTAGACATGTTAAAATGTTCAAATCATTTGAGCCATTTTTGAGATTTTTTAAAAATTTTAATTTTTTGTTAAAATTCAATAAAAAATATTCGTGTAGAAGTCTACACGAACATTTTTAATTTTATGGACTTGAAATCTGGATATAAAACGTTTTATTTTGGTAAAATTGTCAGACTTAACAGAAATGCTTGAACATTTAACAAGAGGTTCATTAAAAATCGTACTTTTTAGTGAAAACAAAAAATGAGCTTGATGTATTTTTTTTTATAAAATAATTTTAATATCAAATTTTAATGAAAATCGTTTGAATATAAAATTATGGGGAACAAATTTAATTTTTCAATTGGTTTTGTTTTTTGCGTTGTTCATATTTATATTGCCCACTATTATGTTAAATAACACAATAATTTTATAGGATGTCTGTTGTAGTCTAGGGTTGGCACATACTTGTTATCAACCTAAAAGTCGCGAGTTCCGAATTTTTTTTTTTGCATAACCACATTGGATGGGTAGCAGGAAAAAAATGCAAACAAACGTAACAATATATGTTTATTATGTAATTCGTTGTATTCATTATATATTTATATCACGTATAATATATTGTTAAAAAAGCAATATTACTAACCAAATTTCACTCAGAATCGTTTTTCGTTAGTAATGGTTAACTGTTGCGTACATTATATATGTACATTAAATTTCCCCGCTACCATCTCAACTTCTCACCTATAAACTAAGTCATAACTAAACCAACCAACTACCAATTTCTTAAACTATAAAATATTACTTTTCCAAATTATATTATTCACTGAATAATGTTTACATTTCTGGATCATTCAATATATTAATTCATAAATAGATACTTTATTTTTCAATTACCATAGAAATTATTTATATGATCATTAGATAAGGATATTGAAATTTGGCATATGATGCGAGTTTTTGTATGATTTTTATTATTTGTGTGTGTGTGTGTGTGTGTGTCTGTAAACAACTTTCTCATCAGAAACCTTATTCCGATGTATAGAATACAACACTTTTTCTGAAAGGTAATTTTGTCTGCATTAAAGACGTACATTTTTGATTTTCTTAGGTGTTTTTCTAGCAAATGTGAAAAATTGGGATAAAACACGGGGAAACCGAGGAAAACGTAAGAAATTTGAAATCAGAATCAGCTCTTTCACTTACATTTAATGATTGTTTTTTCAATTTTAATTAATTTGCCGAAATAATTTAATTATTTAATATCATTTGCGATGGCGTTAATTATTTTGTTATTCATTGCTAAATTCGTGCAGTGGTAAATAATATCTACATAAATAACTAATTATATTATGTAGTAATGTTCGAAATAAAATTTGAATGGTTTTCATTCATTAAACGCAGTGCTATATAGATTGTGTGTAGTGTAGTATTTACCTTTTTTAGAAGTAATAAAATTTTAAAAATATTAGTTTCATTTTTAAGCTATCTAAAGACATTTTAATTTTGCGAGTTTTACGTAATTTTTGTTCGGTAAGTACTCTGTGGATAAAAATATTGGACCAAACAGAAATGCTTGAACATTTAACAGGAGGTTCATATGTTCATTATAAAATGAACTCAGTGACCAACAAGAAAAAGTTGAGCATAATAGTTTTAATAAGTTGAGTATTTTTTTATAAGAATTTGAATACTAAATTTTGACGAAAATCATAAATTTACCTACGGCTTTTCAAAATATGTGTAACCGAACTTCGCTCAGAATCATTTTTTCTTTGCAATTATTAATTGTTGCGTACAGATATACATTAAATTCCCCATTTTATCTTAACCTCCTCATTTTTCACCTACAACAGCGGCCCGCCGTCCATCTTGAGAGGTATGCCCATCTTTATCAACATAAATATGTGTTCATTGTTTTTCGTTGGATTAGCATAATATTTTAGATTCTGAGTGGAGCGAAGAAGATTATGGTTTTACAATGATTTTTTTTTTATCGTGCGTAACTTTTCTATCAGAAATCTTGCTCCAATTTTTAAGAGTAGCAACTTTTCTAAAGTGGCGTAAGCCGAAAATAAAAAATAAATAAAATTTATTAACACTTTATATCAATATATTTTTTTAATCAAAAATTTGTTTACTTATAATGAATAGAATGTCATGATATGGTTTTTACAGTACACTAAAAAATTTACATTGTATATATAGGTGATAATAAGCAGCATCTGAAAATGATAACGTTCGAGCATGAAAAAAGACTTCTGTAAATATAAACCCAAAATATTATCTCTTAGTCCAAATATTATTATATTATACACTAAATATAAAATACAATTCTATTAAAAAAAAATACAAATAAATAATGTCAAAACTAATTATAATCATTAATTATTGTGATTCATTATTTGAAATGTCATAATAATGTAAGTACCTATTACTTACATAGTACTTATAAATAATTTTTATTCATTACTGTTAGATATCTGGTTAGATACTGTAGTCTAAATTCTCAAATTTAACCTACATAGATAACTGTCCATTATTAAAATTAAAACAGTAGATATTTAATTAAATTGGTTTATGTATTTGGTTTTTTTTGTTCAGCTCATTATTATACTTATGACCTAGTACTTTGTTGTAAGCCGCTTGTTGACGAATTGATTGTTTTAATGTATCCAACTGGGCCTTTAATTGGTTTTCTTCTTTTTCTGCTTTAACTTTTTTTTCTTTTTTTTTCTCTAACTCGTATTGTTTTTGAAATAATTCGCATTCTAAACTGGCATTTTTCTGTTTTATCTCGTTATTCTTCGCCATTATAGTACTATATAAGTAGGTAATATTAATTTATATGATTTTTTTTTTTTATATAAAGTTATCGATTCATTTGACGTTCATAGTAAATCGATTAAATTATTTTAAACAAAGATATCTAATGTTATTAATATCCTCACTTGTACTGTATATAAGTTTCAAAAATGTTCATGAAGTTAAAAATTTTAGTCGTGGATTTGTCCAATTCGCGTAAAACGTTCAATTCATTATTTCTAAAATCATCTTGAAATTTTTTTATCAACCCGTACTGATTGTGTAATGATTTCTAAATAAAATTATAAAACTTAAGTTTTAGTTAAATAGATAAAATATAAACATAACATTAAAGAACCATTCTGGCTTACATCTAGCTGTCTGGTTTGCAATTTAAAATTGTTCATTTCTATTTCAAATTCTGGGGTAATCTCCATAACATTGGCTTCTATTTCAATATTTCTCATTTTTTCATGTTCGATCAATGTAACACATTTTTGTAGTCTATTTCATGAATAATATACATTTAAATTTTTGGTATGATTTTTTTTTAAGATATCTTATTTGAATACTGTAGTTTGTTGTGATAATACTTGCTTAAGTTCGAGAGGTCTGATAATATTGTTATGGTAAAATTGTATTTTTTCTTTAGTTTCCTTTTCGTGGTGCTTCATAACAGATTGCATTAATTCCATTTTTATTTGATTTTTATGCCGTTGCAGTTTCATTTTTTCAAATTCTTTTGATTCTTTTTCACATTGCAATTCAATATCCTAATATTGAAAAAATACAAAATCTAATGGCGACCTTTAACTTAAAATTACCTATTATAGATATGTTACCTACCTAACTTTAAAATTTGTACTCCTTCTGACTACTCTGAGGGAAGTACAAAATGTATAAATAATATTGTATGAAATGCATACCTATTTTGGGGAGACACTTTTTCTATAGATAATATATTATAATACCAAATTGCCTATAGCTACCTTTAATTGTGACTGTTTTTCTTTGATTAAATTTTGATTGTCCAATATTGATGTCTGTTTAATATCTAAATCAATTTTAAGATTTTTGATTTTATTATGCTCATCCTCTATTTGTTGACGTTTATTGATAATATTTTTTTCATTTTTTTCTAGTTTGCTGTCGAGAATCTTTAAATATTCTTGACTATTTAAAAAATAAACATATATAAGTAATATACATGATTATAAGGTATCTAGGTACATTTTATACTTTATTTATTATAGGTACACTAATGCATATGTCTTCGACTGACTTAGGTACTTATCAAATTATTCATATTATAGGTATTAATAATTATATTTCATAAACTAGGTCAATAAATATTTTAACCTAGTACACAAATGATATTTTTAATAACTAGTGACATAGGTTTTTTTTTAATGTTATCATGCCCATCATATTATAAGAAGATAGTAACAAAATTAGTTTCTCAAACTAATTACAGAAATATTCACTAATATTATTATTTGTCTACAAAAAACCCTATTTTCTTTCAATTCGCAATTTTTCTTAAAAACAGCTATCGGAAGAAGTATATTATTGTATTGTGTTATTATTTTACTATTAAGATTTAGTAACATTTTTTATAATATAATATTATAATTGAACGGCCAGCCACCTCAAAAAATAAGTTCTATTTGGATATTATTATTGAGATTTTAGTTACCCACCTACCTATATTTAAAACGATTAATTGGTCGTTTTTGTCTTTTAAGATTTTATTTTGTACCGACTCAATGTGTATAAAATATTTCTTGAAAAACTTTTTTTTTCAAATGAGTTATCTGTCCACTAATTTTGTATAGTAGGTACCTATGGTATAAATTAGGTATACTTACGTACAAGTGTGAAGTGATATCAACCCATGCAAATAATTGTACTTAATTTATTACTTATAAAATACTTAAAAAGATATCATTGAATTAACAACTAATAGATGTATAAAATTGTCTATCCATAGTCTATTATACCATATCTAAATATCCTCTACTGATAGACATTTAAAACCATCTAAACAAAGTATTTAATAACTTCCCCTCCCCCCAGATTATAGACTATACAACATTTTTACTTCTATAAATAATAATTGTTTAACGCATACATAATACAAGGTTTTTAAGAAAGAGAAGCGAAGAGGACCAATGGATATATTGGTTGTACTATGATGTATTTTTGTTTTGTATCTCTGAACAAATTTTCTACCCGAGATCTTACAACAATCGAAAAATAAATTAGCGATGGTTTATAGGTGCTTAGATATTAATGTTACAGATATATGTTACAAATATAAATTAAATAACCTTATGTGTCCTACCTTTCTAACTTCTCACCTACAACAGTAATTGCACCCCAGCATCCAGTAAAACCTCTTTTTTTTAAATGTTTGCCTAATAGTAATTTCACTGTATATGTTATCGGGAAAGATAATAATTTAGGAAGCGTCGTGATTTCTGAGTCATTGTTGAAAATGATTGGAAAGAATAAGCAATGTTGGATATTTCGTAGTTTTATCAACGTTTCTGTATTACATTTAGGTAGTTATCGGACATTCTTATCTGTCTAACTACGAATTAAAATTTATATTATTTATGGTCAACCCGGTTTTATGTTATCGTTTTTATTGCTTATAAATTATAATAAAATAAACAAATAAAACTATAATTTATAGGTACATTCCGTAAATAACACATTACTGATTGTGCACTTTATTTGTAAATACCGAAATTTTAATCATTGAGTTCAATAATTTTTATTTCAATATGGATTTAAACGAAATTTGCTTAAAATTTGACAAGACGATTTCATAATATTAATTGATAAATTAAAAACATTTAAAAATGTATTTAAAAACATGTTAAATTAAACTTCACACGGCATTGTTTTTCATCAGAAAGGTTATTCGCTTATTCGTAATACCAAAATTTTAAAGGATTGGATAAATTTTATTAACGGTATTGACTTAACCTAACCGAAAATTCAAAATTATCGTAGGTACACACCACACATATATTTAAAATGTAGGTAATGTATCTAAAATACATAATTGGTAAATTATAATATTGTAAAACAGGAGGAAAAGGAGGACAATCGTTAATGTGACAGTCCTTAATTTTATTTCGCAATGTCTTCTAGAGAGAATTCCTTGAAGTTAGGTACCCAGTACCCACCTATACCTGCTATATTTTATCACAGCATCTATATTAAAATTAAAAATTAATTATAATTAACCTTTTTACTAATAGTCCTCCGACATCAGACAAATTATTATCTAATGTACACATTTGCTTAAATTTTTGTTCTATCATTTTTTTAGCATCGTCATGTTTTTGAATTTGATTAAATATTTTCATTTTCATTTTTGAATTGATACACATTATATTATCAATCAAATCGTTATTGATTTGTTTATGTACAGTTCTCGTTTGAAATTCAATATCGTTATAATTATTACATTTCTGTTTGTTATCTTCAATAAGTGTATTGATACGTTTATACATTTTTAAAATTGTGTTACCCTCCCAAATTATATGGATTTCTAATTTTAGACATTCTGTTCTTAGCAATAGATTGTTTGACAATGACTCGATTATATTCATTATATTTTTCTTTACCATTAACCTATATTATACCAAAAATTAATATAGTTACATTATTTTTATTACCATAGATTTATTACAAAATTACTAGGTATTATTATTATTTCTACCTACGGTATGTACTTAATTTTATGAAGATATTAATATATTGTACGCCTACTATAGTCTATAGGTGTAGGTACCTATTGCAAGCTATTGTAATCTACTTAAAAATATAAAATATATTAAACACAGGTATACTTTGAAACTTAAACATAATTACATTTTTTGTTGATAATTAGATTTCAATTTAAGCGCCTCTTTAGTGAATGAAACGTTTGTTTCATTTTTCTGTTTGAGTCTTTCTCTCCATTTCCAAAATTCCTTTTCCATGTTGGTGTTGTTGAATTTATCGATTGAATTATTTATCATCTCTTTTTCTGAATTTAATTTTTGATAAATACTGTCGGTTTGTTTGTCAAGTTGTAAACTAATAGTAAATATTTAATTAAATGGCCAAGAATGTTTTTTTAAATAATACCTATTAATAAACAAATTTGGTAAACTCACATTTCTTTATGATGTATTGTCAAAATATCTGCAGTTTGGTAAATAGATTTTATTACTTTATCAACATGAAAATCAATTTCGTCTTCAAATTTCTGAAATTTGCCATTGTAATCATCAACGTTATTTACTGTTTGTATTGATTTTGATATGTTCATTCTATCTTTATTTTTAAAATAAAAAAAATCTAAAGTACTTCCTGATTTTTTTTTTGGTTATAATTTAAAATTTATTACCAAAAGAATTATGTATGTTCGGGTACATATTATATTTATTAGACGTTAGAATTTTCTGACAGTCGGTTTCCACATTTTTTATATACATATAAATATCATTACATATTGATGGATCAAACTTATAATTGTGACTAGGTTCTTGTAATTCAGCTAATAATGTCATTAATGAATTCACTTTTAATTTTATATTATCCATTGTATTATTCCCAGAAAACAGCTGGTTCGAAGTCATTTCCACACAAATATATTTCAATCAAGTTTATAAATATACATTAATATTTTAGTAGACACCTACTTATTATGACAAGTAGACCTGGCGACATGGCATTTATATTTATTTATTATATACAAACACATATGGTTTAATGAAATAGTTGTTATGAGCAACTAAGACCCAGACATAAATAACCAGATAAAATATTTAAATAACATAGATTGAAGAATTTAATATGTATAAACGTATATTAATCACGTTTTTATGGTTTAACTTGGAAATCCCTTGAATTACAAAGTCTATGCAAATTATAACATTATTAATCCATATTACATTTTGATTACTGCTTTAAATAATTAACAACACGTAACAATTGGTTTTTTATTTGTAAATTATTCTATATACAGGGTGATATTTTTATTATAAACCAGCAATTATATCAGAAGATTTTAAACGAATTAGATTTCTGTTTTTTCTAATCATTATGGGATCATTTAAACTTTATTTTGAAACCATTTGTAATTTTTTATACTTACTACTTTAAATAAGTGCATACTCCCCCTTTTGTATACAGATTTGAATAGAGAATATTTTTCTAGACATTTTGATATTAATGTTATGAATATCGACATTTCTAGAAAAATATTCTTTATTCAAATCTGTGTTCAAAATGGGGGGGGGGTTTCTATTTGAAAATCAAAAGTATGCACTTATTTAAAGTATATGAAGTTGGGGTAAAAAATTAAAACTAGTTTTAAAATAAAGCTTAAACTATTCCATGATGATTAGAAGAAACACAAATTAAATTCACATAAAATCCTCCGAAATAATTGTTGGTTCATGATAAAAAAAATCATCCGGTATATATATATCTATAGCCTATCTTCCCAACTTCCTACATTAATGTAATAACAGTACAAGTTAAATTAAAAGTAGAGAAACAAAGAGAATTTAGTTTATGATAGTATCAAAGAATCAATACGTAGGAGGATATTTAATGATTTAAAATCAACGTATATACTATAGAGCAAGTAAAAAGATTAGTTATCTCGGAACTATGAAGATTTTTCCTTCTTTTGTTTATGTAAAAAATACAAATAAAATTGTAAAAAGCCACGGCCCAAGGGGGAAGGGAGCAACAGGTTTCTTTTTTCTGATAGTTATTCATTAAAATTAATTATTTATTTTAACACTGTAAAATATTTGTGAGCAATATATAGTTTAATAATTAAATACAGTTTTTTTGACCGAGGTCGCCCTAACTTATTTATATGTACAATGTACATTTTTTCTTTTGTCATGCATAAAAAAACTATAATTTGAAATAAAATTCAGTATGGTTAACGTATTATGATTGGTATTTAGATTACAAAATTATTCCTAATATTAGGTATATTATAGTTATTTGAATTACAAATTCCTACGTGTTACTCGTACATAAAAATATATTCGTATTATCTGGACAATGAGTTTTATTCGTATTATGTAACGATAAAGAACTCGTTAAATAAAATAAAATAACTTTGTGTTATATATATATTATGTTTCAATTGGTGTTGATATTATTTGTGTGTGCACCCGATTTCTAAAATGATTTAATTAAATTTAGGTGGGTCAAGTTATGATAAAACCAGGCCGAGACAGGCTTGGTCTTGAATCTTCGTCTCGGTTATAACTGTCAGCCAATTTAATGGTATTTTATTTTTTTAAATCGAGGGTATATTGACCAATAATATTAACCATTGTACAAGAAGTAGAGCTGGGCACACCTCGACTCTATGTATTGTAGTATTGTCAGTATTTCTGTCATTGTACATTGTTTTGTTGTTACTCAATAAACAATTATACCGGCGGAAAGAAATGTGGGAAACTATAGTTCCCATCTGGTTTAAACGGGGGTATTTATCATCTTTAATATTTGTATGCATTACTCATTGGTTTTTATAGGAAAATATCAATTATTTTTTATTTTTTAGATTTACATTATATATATATGTATATTTTTAATAGTCTGGTGAAATATTTAAAATGTACTGCTTGAAACCTCACACATTCGAAACAGAATCTGAAATGACACCCCTGAACCTAACACAGAAACTGCTGCCACCGCTCCCGCACACCGTGGGACTGCAATACACCGAACGTACGATGCGATAGCGATCACATGCACTCCTGGTACACATTTTGATCTCCAAAATGGCGAAAATAAAACATCGAACACAAAATATTGAATAAAAAACAGCTAAAATCATTTAATTAAAAAAATTAATTGTGATACATATATGTATATATATATATATATTATACTTGCAGTTTAATACGTACTGCACTTAATATTTTTTTTTTATAATAATATTATTGGTTTTTCTATGATAGTAAAAAAGTTGTTCCTTTTCTATCATCAATTTTGACCCGAATTACAGTTATAGAACTTTTTCTAAAAGGAAATTAGACTGGGGTGATACTATGAGGAGATCATCTATACATTTCCTAGAACTTTTCCCAATAATTTGGAAAACCGGAAATTAATTGAGGAAAAATAAGAAAATAGGTACAATATTAAACAAATATTAAAGAAAATATGTAATGTACCTATATGTTATTATTTTATCACAAAATGACATATTTTTTGTTGAAAAAACAACACTGTTAACTATACTCCGCTGAGAATCGTTTTTCGTTAGCAATAGTTAATCTTTGCATACATTAAAATTTCTTCTCTACGTTTCCAACTTCTCACCCACAACCCCACAACAGTGGCATACCCACGTGCGAAGTATGCAAGTATGCAAGTATCTTTTTCATATTGTTAACATTTATCCTTAATGTTATTGTTTATAGGTACTGAAAATAACTATTGCCTTTTCCATTTCTGTTTAATCTAACAATTTTATTTATAGAGACGTACAGTACCTATCAAATATAAATTACTTACAAAACTCATAAAATTTTCTATAGATACCTCAAATATGACACAAATGTTTTGAATATTTTACTATATCTAGAAAAGGTAAATACAATAGGTTTTCTTTCCAAATTTCAAGTCTCTACGAATATTTTTAACAGAATTATAACAAAAATCCAAGTTGACAATAGTAAAAGCATTATTTTCGTAAAATTTACCGTTCTTTTACGGTTTATCCTGGGTTTTCCCAAATATTAAGAAAATCGGATGGAAATCAAAGAATGGACTTTCAGAAAAGGCACCACACTTATATATCGAAACAAGTTTTTTGGTAAACATGTTTGTCACATCATACAAAATATTAACATCATTGTATAACGTTCTTCTCTACACTCAGAATCTAAAACGTAGGTTATAAGGGAAAGTTTACGGCCTTATTGATTTTATTATTTTGGATTTCAGCTCTTCACCTCCATTACTCACCTAGCCGTCACAATGGATAACCTTACATAGAAACTGTTGCCACCACTCCCACACACTGCGAGACTGCAATATACCGAACGTACGATGCGACGGCAATTACATGCACTCCTGGTACCCAGTTTCACCTCCAAAATAGCGAAAATAAAAAATCAAACACAAAATATTGAATACGAAACAGCGAAAATCCTTTAATTGAAAAAATAAATAGCGATATACATATACTTGAACTTAGTACCTGATGGTTCTATATCTAAAAAAGTGTATCGGATTCCCGACATTTTTCTCAAAAAAATTTTTTAAAAATAAACAAAAAAATACGACAACATAAATTGGTATTGTTTTTGTTGATCCTGACCTGGATTATAGCTTGGCTATAGGGAAAAAAACACATGACACTATACATTTAACATTACCAATCACTGCTCACAATTGTCTTTATTCGTCATGATTCATCGTTACTTTCAGTGTATAAACTTAATTAACTTAACATCCTATAAACAACAGTTGTGCCTATTCACAGCAGTTACGGATCTGAAGCTAATTTAATGTAGGGATAAACTCAAACAATTTTCGGGGGCCGTTTTTTTCAAATATACTATACTTGCAGTTTAATGCTGTACTTAATATTTACTTTTATGATAATACTAGCTGTCCCGCGCCCGGCGTTGTCCGTGTTAATTTTTATTCTTATTATTTTATCATATTCATTTTTGATTTTGGCCGTATCAGAACTGAATGAAAACAAATAGGTGGAAAGTGGATAGTCCACCTTCGGCGGGCTTAATGTGTTCAATTGTGTAAATAATGGTAATAATAATAATTATAATAGTTTTATTTTCCGCAACACCAATGTATCCCTCGAATAAGCAAAAATAAATAAATAAGCAATTAGATATTCATACCAAATATACCTATTTTCCCCCTTAGGGGTAGAATTTTCATTAAACCTTTCTCAGCGGATACCTATGTTATAATTGCTATCTGTGTGCCAAATATCAGCCCGATTCGTCCAATGGTTTGGGTTAGACGATGATGAATCTGCCAGTCAGGACATGTTATTTTATTTATGTAGATTATATGGTTTTACTATGATAATAGAGAAGTTGTTACTTTTCTACCAGGAATTTTTCTCTGATTTTCAATTTTAGAACTTTTTCTGAAAGGAAGTCTGACTGGGGTGGTACTGTAAGAAGGACATTTTTTGAATTTATGCATAACTTTTCCCGATAAATTGAAAAATCCGGAAAATAATGGAGGAAAAATGGGAAAATAGATGAAATATTAAACAAATATTATTAAAAAAAAAATATGTAATGTATCTACATGTCATTATTTTACCATAATATGACATATGTATTGTTGACAAAGCAACACTGTTCACTGAATTCTGCTCAGAATCGTTTTTTGTTAGCAATAGTTAATCGTTGCATATGGATGTACATTAAACTTTCTCTTTTACCTTCCCAACTTTTCACCAGCTCCAGTGGCCTAAGTGGTAAATTTTCCCGTTTTCTTACGGTTTATCCTGGGTTTCCCAAATATTTTGAAAACCGGTTGGAAAATTAAAAAATTACCTTTCAGAAAAAGGACCACATCTATAAACCAAAGCAAGTTTTTTGCTAAACATTTTAAACATTTTTGTCACAGTATAAAAAATATTAACTTTATTATAAAACCAATACGTTCTTCACTACACTCAGAATCTAAAACGTAGGTTATAAGGGAAAGTTTACGGCCTTATTGGTTTTATTATTTTGGATTTCAGCTCTTCACCTCCATTATTCAACCGGCCATCAAGATGGACAACTTAACCTAGGGCGTCATTTGGGGCAGGAAGTGCCATATTTAAAAAACAAAACTACAAACTTATGTAAGGTATATGGATTAGAGGAAAACATTTAAAAATGGTTTCAAATAAAGCTTGACCGATTCCACAATAATAAAAAAACAGAAATCAAATTCATTCAAAATCTTTCGAAGAAATGGCTGGTTCATGATAACAAAAATCACTTTATTTGCCTTTATCTTTTTTCTGATATATTTGGACACTTTTAGTGACTCCTTCTGGATAAAAAAAAACTCAAATTTGAGAATCAGATTTTTATATTTTTACAGGCGGATCGGAGTGATAATACATGAACTTGAATTCATATATTAATTTTACCATGTTGTTTTGGGGGAAGTGTGTTTTTTGGTTTTATATGCCTCTATACAGAGCCCCTCAAATTTAGAGGGATGCAATTTTGTATATGCATGGTGTAAGTATTAAGGACGTACCTTTTTGTGATTTAAACTTTGAACCTCCTCCCTAATCATTTTTATCTTTAGATTTCAGGTTTTCACAAGAAATATCGGGTTTTTTACCGCCCTTACAGACTCATGAAAATAAGAAACTTGATTAAAACGTACACATATTAATTTAATTTTTGTCGAAGATGATGCGCATTTAAAAGGTTTGAACTCTCGACCCCTGATGACCCCATTTGTTTGTATTTAATCAAAAATATTACGAACTACTTAACCTATTTTAACAAAATTTGTTATATTTTATTTCATTACATAAAAAAAAAAAAAACACAAAATATTGTAACAATAGTCATCTGGGAGAAAATTCCACTCTAGTGATGGAGCTCTGCTACTCGTTATATAATTGCCTATTTATTATATAATGGCACCACGCCTTTTAAATAATTTTTGCTGTCCGTCTAAAAATGTTTTTCGAAAAAAAAAAAACAAATAGAAAAATCTAAAATGTAGTGGTCAACATAACCTATTAAATCGTCGTCGTCAATATGTATACTAATATATCGTGTTACGCCATTAGACGGGGAAGGGATGTCGTATAGTTTACACTTAGGTACAGTGTTTTCCTTGAGAAAAAATAAATCTGTTACAGTTCCAGTTTGGTGCGTTCACCTATTATCGCACATCAGTGAAAACCGCCGACGGCGCTTTCGATCGACGTGCGTTGGCCGAGCCGCACGGTGTCTATGGTGAAAAACTGTTTTTTTTTTTTTGTCGTCAGTTCACGTTGGAATGTTCCTGGTGGCGAACGGAAAACGGTTCTTTACGCAAAACGGCGAGTCGATATTATACATTTCAGTGATCGGTCAGACTATATATACGCCGCACGGGTAATAAATAATAGAAATAATTTATCTATTATATTTTTTTAATAATGTAAAATATGTAGAATATAATATCGAATTTACAGCACCGCGAGTTTTCGGCAAATGTTCACGACTATTGGGGATTTCGTCCAAATCTCGTATTGCCGTCTCATCGGGTGCGCACGTGAACACGGAGCACGGATTTCGTTTCACGTCTCTACACATTATCCGTTCTGTTAAAAGCCTTATAATATAATAATATTACTAATTATTATTATTATTGTTATAATGTCCTTGCTAGAGTCGCAGGTAATTATATTTTAAAAGTATTAAAAGTGGTAACTTTACATTAGCTATGCATATTTCGTTGTTTTTAACGTGTACACCTTTGATAAGGAACACACTGCTCACGCCGTCAAATGTGTCGACACAGGTCGAATCTATATAATGGAATAATATCTATGTAAAAAAGTGTACACATTTACTGTTTAAATGATCGAAATTTCAGTAAAATAATATTACTCTTGCCTCGTTTCAATATATGAAAACTGTGACACACTTCTTGACGTTAATATTATTGCGTATGGACGGCGGCGTGTGGAACCGAGACAAACAGCATTAATAATTCAAATATTACTGCGGCTCAATGGTCAATTATTTTTTATGTATAAAACATTTGTTGATTATTTATTGCACAGTGAGGTGGGGGGATTTTTGTATATTATGCAGGATCTTTCACTGTGTGGACAAGAAAAAAAACTCGTTGTTCTTTACGACAAAATCAAAACAAGTTAAAAACATTTGTGTTTTGTTTCCAATAAATTGTTGGAGAGTTTTATGGAACGCGGGTTAGTACCGCATCGTTTATAGAGAACGTTTAAAAATCACTGAACATTTGAATCGAGAGTGGGTAAAAACAAAATACAGAAACGGCAATTTTAAAACAAACTTGGTATGGACGGAAGAAAAAGGATCAGAAACAAACCGAGTATCCGAATCGAATTGCGTCCCCTAATAATAAGATCGTTATCCGTACTATGTTGTCTATAGCAAGCTTATACCAATAATAATTATGACGGTTATATAATATTTCTTTTTCTTTTTTTATATTGGATTCAAACAGCGTGTGCCATAATACAGACAATATTATTCGTCTTAATTGTTTCACACATAATAACATAACAATGCAGTTGTTTTGTGTACGATTTAAAATTAAGATTCCGAACGGAACGGGGAGGAAGATATAACAATTAAAACGATATGTGTTTTTTTTTTATCTGTAAATATTATTTCTTGGCATGTTACAGCTGACTGCAGTTTAATATACATTATATTAAGTTACACCGGATATCTCTAACTATCGGGTCTTTAATAAAACCAACTCTCGTGTAACGATTTTCTCGGTTATAGGTTGGGTGCTTCGTATATACCTATTCGAGACCGACAATTTTTAGTGGTTTATCGCAGTAAATGTTGTACGTGCACAAAAATAAAATTATAGTGTGTACTGTGTAATATATTGTGTGTAGAAAATCCATTCCCGTTGCACGAATAATTTCACGGATAAAAGTTTCGGTGTGAAAGAATTGAAGACACTTTTTTTTTTTTTTTTGCTTTTAGGTTTCCTAACCCTGTAATTGATTCTACGATTTTTAACCTTTGAACTTAACCCCCGTCATCATAATCTATAAATTACACGCGTATCTAAATTATAAAATAATAACGCTGTAAATATTTTATAAACTCTTAGCATAGCGAGGAATGAATTGATTTTACTTTGATAATTGTTTTTTAAACTTTTTTTTTGTCCTGCCTGTATACAACTTTTATAAAAAAATCTTGCTCCAATTGAAAAATGACAAGAGATCTTTTTTGTTACATATTTTGACGAAAATGTATGATGTAAAAATTATGGTATTTCTAATCATGTGTAACTGGATTTCACTCGATTCGTATTTCGTTGTTTTTAGGTATAAATTAAACAACTTTATGTATCTTGCCTTCCCAACTTTCCACTACTAGCTTACCTATGAACAGTATCAGTTATTTTTTATTTACTTGCTTGGTTTTCATTAAGATGACGCTACACCGGTAAGAGACTACCTCGGGTAACTTTAACGGATACTAATATGTCGAAATTAGAATTGAAACGCGAATAACAAAATTTTAAGAGTTGCTTATTTCCGAGGGTTGTACATAAGTTTTTTCACACAAAAATGTATAGCCACGTTAGTTCTTGTTTTCATTTGTTTTAATACAGCAAAACGCCACAGTTTTTATTCTAAGTATTAATTACGTACGTTATTTTGTTATTTTACTCGTTAGTTAGACGGAGACAGTAGACGCGGGCGTGACGTCCACTTAAACATTAATGAGAAGACTATTATTGATCGGACGAATTCTATAATAATATTATATAATGCAATTAATAGATTTAGGTCTATATAATATCAATGTAGTTTATATTCCATAAAACTCAGACATTCGGAACCCCGCGCATTGTTCGGTCTGTTATAATGGTCGTATTGCTAGGTAATTTACCGTGAACTTTATTTAGAATATTGAGGCCTTGATCTAATGTAATACATATGTATTTATAAAGAACACGAAAAGTATAATATTATATTTATAAACGCCTTTCTAATATTTTTTAAAGAAAGTAAAAGTACTAATACCAATGAATATCATAATATTACTAGTGTGTGTGTGTGTGCTATAGCTACAGGTTATAGTTTTTGAATTAAACGTTTATCAATATAGGCGACGCGATTACATTTCTCACTTTACAATCATAATTTTTCCTGTAAAAAGATTATCTAATTAACTAGGTGCATAAATACCTGTGTATAGTTTGTTTAAGCGTGTGATAAAATACAATATAAATAAATACGGATTGAATTTATATCCGTTTTTTTTACTATGTGACACAGTTTATACCTAAATTGAATATTTTACGGTCCAGCCGACAATATTGTTATTGTCGTCGTGGTGGTGTAGAAGGAAATGAGGCGTATACGTGTACGATAATATGTCTGACGAAAAGTATATTTTATTTAGACACACTACACACAGCTTATATATATACATATTATATTTTGTTCCGAAATGACTAACAGTATTACTACAGCAGACATTGAGAACAAATTAATAATAATAATAATGAAAAAATAAATGTTATTAAACATGAAATAAAAATGTTATAATCATATCATTATGACGGCGTTGGGCATTTGTCTGCGGTAATCTATCTCACTTTCGAACACGCTTTCATCGGTATACGTACACAGAAAAACGCAGATAAAACATTTATATTTTTAAAGGGTTTCGAACATCTATGGCAGATTCAAAACTGATCAATAATTAGTAGAAAAAATAAAAGTTGCTATTTTTTTTTTCAACAATTTTTAACTATAACTAATTTTAAATAATAGAATGCCGAATGGTAATTTAGTTAATTATTTTCTTTTAATACATAATTTGACCGAAAATCGGTAACACATTTTGTTAAAATGAAAGTAATTTGTGAATATATTGTGTAAAATATTGTGTTCATATGCGTTTTTATATTTATATTTTGATAAAAATTACGTACGTGATGTATATCGTTATCATGTATCGAAACGGGTACAAGGTCTATGAGATGCACACTCGAGTCTCGTATCGTAAGTTTTCATTTGATAAGTACAAAATACGTTTATGAGTGCAATCTCAAAAAAAAAATATCCTGAAAATTCGTAACTTTACTAATTTACTCAAATTAATTTATATTTTAAAATTAACTCTAACTAAGATTAGTTTTTATTATTATTTTTTTTTTTTTGGATAAATTAAATTAAACTGATTAAAAACAAATATTTACCTGTCCAATTTTTAATAAATTTAATAAACTATTTAAATTATAGTATTATTATTCGTCACGTATTTTTACCCTGTTCTCTCTTATTATCAATGTTCAGATTGGTTTGCTACAATACATCTGTTTCAACCGTTTGCTTTTATTTCAGTGCTTCAGTATAGCGGCAGCACAAGGAGCAAACTGAAATAGTACCTATTCGTACTATAATTTCCTACATAGGTTTTTACTAAAATTAAGAGAACTGAGTTCCAATACGCCAGCGTTATTAACACATTAATATTGCACTCGTTTACAAAAAGCTGCGTATATACTTACTTTCCCAACATTAGTTGATTAAGATGGCATACGTTGTTTAGTATAACTTTTTAATCTTATTCCCGTGCTATTAGCCTATTTATGGCCTGGTCCATATCAATCTTATTATGATCTTCACAGGGACAATAACATCATATTGTATTCCAATCTGAATTTTACTAGCTACGTTTTTAAAAAGACGTTCTAGGATAATGGAGACGGGTGCAGCCGTTGTTATAGGTAATTTAATGTATATCTGTAAGCAACGATAAACCATTGCTAACGAAAAAATGATTCTGAGCACATTTCAGTTGATAATGATGCTTTTTCAACAATATATAACATGTCATTTGATGGTAAAATAATTAAATAGGCATTATTTATTTTCTTTAGTAATATTTGTTTAAAATTGCATCCATTTTCTCGTTTTTATCATGTTTTACCCGGATTATTACATTTGCTAAGAAAACTCTTGGAAAAATCGAAAAATGACCTCCCTAAAGAATCTCTCTAGTCAGATTTACTTTCAAAAAACGTGCTATCATAGTAAATCGGAGCGAAATTGCTCGTCGAAAATACGAATCGCATCTTTGGTACTTTAAAGGATTTATATATGTATCTGTTTACATAATAATCTAGACAACACGATTCTTACATTCAATCCTGCGCTCTAAAATCAATTTCAACAGATAGGTACCTTCGTGTATGACGTTTCTTTAAACTGTATGTCTGTATGATATTTATTTGACATCAGACATCATTTAAAAATTAAACGTTTATCGTCTGTAACAAATAATAATAATTTTTTTGCATTTCTAGACGTATATTTTTGACGTCGACATGAACTGTAATGGCTGTTCAAAGGGTATCGAACGAGTTTTGGAGCCATTAAAAGGTACATACATGTATTTATGGTCTATACACACGTTTGTTATTTAGAATAATAAAATGTATACAAAATATTGCATATTAAGATAGTTAATTTTTAGAAATTACAACAAAATAATAATTTAATTGTTGTTATTGTTTTTTTTTTTTTTTAAATATATGTTAGATCTCGATTTTCAACTATCTTTCATCCAACATTTATAATAATAATAATTAAAAAGCCATATCTTGCTGAATGACGAACGAACCCGATGATTTGTACCACCTATTAAATGTTTAATTTAAAACAATTACATCCAAACATAACTCCGTGAAGAGGGGGGGGGGAATTCAAATCCCGGTTTCCGATCAATATTATTATTAGCTAACTAATGGATATTATTGATAACCACTGATTTCCGAAATTTTTAACCACTTCGAATTCCCAATGCAATGAACACTATATTTATCGATTTGCAACATTGATGTTTTCAGTTGTAGTAATTATTTTGGTGACGTATAATTAAGTGGATATTAAAAGGTCTAAGTTTTGTTTTGTTTTCAATTTTAGGCCATGGCGTAGAGAAGTACGAAGTTTCGTTCGATAAAAAGTTAGTACGAGTAACGTGCTCGTCGCCTATGTCTGCGGAAGAAGTTTTAACTGCTATACAAAAAACTGGCAAAGTGGCAACATTAGTCAATATAGAACCTATGTTATCGAAGTAATTAAAATATATACATGTATATTTTTTTAAATTTTTTAATAATTATATTAGTTTTATTTATGGTTAAAATGATATAACATTGGTTTAGATTTGGAGGTTAAGACATAAATTAGGGAGAGGGGTAAAATCTTTATAAACGCGCAAATTACTTTTTGACTCATTTACTTTGAGTTAAATTTGCCATAAAAAAAAAAAAGAAGCTATTTAGGCCCCCCCCCCATTATTTGCACTGGGTCTATGAATGGGTTCACTCGTATTTTAATTATTTGTTTTTATTCGAATCTTTTGTAGGTACGTATATTTTAAAGGTATAATTTAAAATGTTAAAGTTAAAAAATTTGACTGCAATTACCTATATATTAATTTTAGAATTCTAGAAACCGACATTCCATGCCGTGTTGAAATAATCCTCGTTTTAATTATTATTATAGGTAAGAACGTGATTATTTTCATTATAATCCAACGGGAAGTGCGATGACCGGCCCATTACGATTTCCTGCCCGGGACAAACTAATTTTTTTTTTTTTTTTTTGTATTACACAGAGACTATTACATGAATATTAAATATTAAGAGAGCACGCGTACTTTTTAATGGGAAAATGTTGCTGTTGCTATATTGTGTGCGTAACGTGACCGAAATCAGGAAGAAGATATCTACCTTTATTTTATATATATATATTTGTGTATACGCGATTTTTTGAAAATATCTAAACACAATTATTGTAACAACGTTTATTTATAAAAATTCGTAGGTAGGTTTTTTTTTTTTATTTTATCAATCTGATCGCTTGTTACAATCGATAAGTACCTACACATCGTAAATGTATCTAGATATAGAGCATGCAATTGAATATCACATGTTTATATTAAATGAATGATTTATTTAACGGTCCTCCGCTCTGCTCTATATCCATAATGACTTCCTTTAGTTCCTCATAGGATTTATTTTGTATACATCCGACATAAGTAATTTATTTCGTCAATATGCCCTGATGATCTTTCTCCTACACGGTTTCCTTTAAATCTTTCCTTCTATAATCGCAGTTATATACATGCACGGTTCCTCATAATATATCCTTACCGTTTTTTTATTGTCTTTCACGATTGTTTACTTTCGTTCATCCTTTGGTCCATGTTTTCATCATTTAACTGATCTATGGATTGAAAAACTAAAAAAAAAAATGTATACGATGTATTTATCATTCGTTATAATATTCATACTATAAACTATAGGTAAATATTTAAATCCAATATCTAATAGAATTCCAATTTGTCTATGAAGACTGAAATAAAGTATTTATTATTCAAATGTTTATTTCTTTAAAAACCTACCCAATTTAAAATTACTATTTTTGTGGCATAAAAAACTACTGGAATGCAAACAAAATCGTACAATATTTAACTATTTTATTGTGTTGTAATACTAAACGTATTGTTTTTTTTTTATATTATAAGCATAGCGAGGAATATATGGTTTCACTATGATGGATATGATGTGTGTTTTTTTCATATATATGTAAACAAGTTTTCTATCAGAAATCATGCTCCGATCATCAATATCAAGGATAGACAATTTTACCTAGAAGCACTGAGGAGTTCATTTTTTAAATTTTTTTAACACTTTTCTCATGAATGGGGAAAAACTGTGTAAAAACGGAAATAATTATGAAGTATTGGTTTCTCTTTATTTTCGAATTTGTGTGTTTCTGATATAATTCACTAAAAAAAAATCTTAGAAATTTGAAACTTTTATCGAATACGAGTACATTAGCAGTTTCTAGACGTTATATAATTTTTCAAATATTCTGGTGATTTTTTTTTTAGCTAACTATAATATATCCTTGAAATTTGACATTTTATTGGTGTATTTTCATTTTTTTAGTTTTATGCGGATTAAATTGCTTTAGTCGAGTAGAAATTGTCGACAATTTTACACAGGGATCATTATAATATTTATTCGGAAAAAAAAGTTTAGCGTAATGCAATAGTTTTTTGATATTCATTTAAAATTAACATTTTGATTTTGACAAAAATCGTAAAAAGTACATCATTTCAAAACATATACAACCGAACTTCGCTCATAATCGAATTTCGTCACTTATGATTTTTCGTTACATACACAGATATAAATTAAATAATTCTAATGTACCCTACCTTATTATCTTATTGCCTGCACACCCACGGTGCGATGTGTATGTTATCATATTTTTTTTAAATACTTACCTTCTCAAACGTGTTTTATAATAAAAAAAATATTTTAATATTAATATACTTGTATCTTATTATATATTTTAATGTCATAGACTTTCACAATATACATTATCAGAAATATTAAAAGGCAAAACAAAAATAAAATTAATATTAATTATAATATGTAGGTACACTTAAACCTATAATGAAATGCAAATAATTCAAAAAAATTATTAGTATATTTTAGATTTAATGGTTTCCACGCATAGAAAAAAAATGCCGTTTAGCATTGAAATCTAGTTATAATAGAGTATTAGAGTATTATCCATACTTATTTTATGACAGTAAAAAAATGAATGAGTTTTTATAATGCAGCTTAACTGTTTACGGATCGTTTTTATAATTTATTTAGAGAAAACGATTGGAAACGGTTTTCCAAATTTACTCCAATTTTTGAAAAATTGAAAAATAATATTTTATCTTTTAATTACCATCTTTTAATAATACGACTTTTTCACAAATTTATCACCCGATACCCATTTTAGGGGAATTGGTGCGACCGTTAAAACGGTCAAACGTGACGTTTTAGACCAAAAAGCTGGAGTAAAACTCACTCAGTACCGCTGACCCAATTTTTTTTTTTTTTTGAAAACATATTTAAGTTTTATGATATTTTCTTGTTAGTGTTTTGTAGGAAACATTTTTTCGGTATTTTTATTTAAGTATTAATTTGGTTTAAGCTTATCATGAGTTTATCTTTATTTTTTAAATTAAACTCGTACAAAACATAAAAAAAAGTATTCTAAGTCAAATCATTTTTCAAAGCAGAAATGGGAATACTGGAGACATGCTTATTTTACTCTAGCTCATTGGTCTAAATGTACGGAAAGGTAGTCAACCGTCTAAGATGATGTTACACCTGAATCTCCCGTCTTTGCAGTCTATCTAACGTGCATCATAGCAAAATTGCGTTCACGTAAAACAAACGAGAAAACTTTTAAAATCGGTTTTAAAGATAAAACACTTACCTAGGTAATTACCTGGTAATTTACAAATTTTACGTTTTATCTCCAAAACCAATTTTAAAAAAGCGTTTTTTCCCTAGACAAAATTTGTTCTCACTAACAAATTGTTCGTTTAGAAATACAGGGGGTTGGCCCCTTAAATAGGTAGGTAGATGTGATAATTAATTTGATTTTACATATTTTTATACTCGTATAATACAAATTGCATATTTATACAATAAACTGAATGCTGGTGATGAAAAGTGAAGTTTCAATCCATCATTTAATACGAGACTTATTTATCCCACTTTTATATTATGATCATTATAAATCTAATACTAATTACTATTAGTATAATAGATTTATGATTATGATAACTCTTACTTCTTTATTAACAATTATGGTCTTAGCCACTGCGATAAAAATGGTTAAAAACAGATTCAATCGTTATATTACAATATACAAATATATGATAAGGCCACGGACCTCGAATGGAATGGCTGAAATATAATCAAATTGCCCATTGATATGATATGACCATATGGACCATATAGTTAACAATCTAGTTTATTCATTATTGTATACATCTGTGTACTATGTATAAAAAGATGCGTTTTTCTTGTTCTATATGATCAGTGACGCAATCTGTTTTCGGGATAGTGAGTTATGAATTTCAAACAAATTTCTGGACACGCTTTCAGAATAAAAAATTACTAAATATACGACGCACACGACATAGGTGGTACGCGTATTTGAAATTAAAGTATTATATATTTGTGAAATCATTTGGGAACATAGACATGTGCACGGGTGGTGCATGGTGTACAATTGCACCCCCAGCGAGTTCAGTTATAATTTTTTTTTTTTTTGTTAACATTATAGAATATAATCTATTTAGTCCCTTTGCTGCCAATATCAAACTCTTCCACTCCTTTCTATTATATGCATGGTTAAGGTCCCCATGGGTCTCTTTTGACTACATCTAACCACCGTTGCTTTGGTCTACCGCGTGGTCTTTAAATCTTTTCCTGTTCAAGTTGTTCACAAGTACCGTCTTGACAATACTTGTCCAATTGAATTGTAGCTTTTTAAAATTTGTAAATAAATATACGAATAGTAAATATACGTATATATTGTACATGTATGGGGTTTTTTTTTTTATTATTATAAGCTGAATAAAATAAATTTAAATATTAAAAGACAATTGGGTAATAATATTAAACAGTTAATGGTTTTTTTTTTTTTTTTTTAGTAGCTTAGTAGTTATTACTTATTAGGTATTAATAGGACGTAGTTTGATGGTTTACACCCCCAGTGTAAATGTTCTACACACGACCGTCTTTAGGAGAGAGGTTTAGAATCGGTTATAATATGATAAGATAACAGTAACATAACAATATTGTAACGAAACGGACAATGTATTAAAATACATATAGGATGACTAATGAAAAATAAAATAAAACATTTTTTCAAGTAGATACATTTTGTGGTTAGTATGGCGTGTATACCTATACCACCTATATAGCTACACGCGCGTCCGAGTGAAAATATGTCACGTTAATTAGTATGTTACTATTGGAGTTCCTGCGGATGTGTCTCGTCGTCGTCACAGTATTACGTATATATAATTATTATATATATATAAAAGAAAACGTTTTTTTTTTTTTTACCATTCGTTAAATATATACACAGTAAAAATAATACATAATGACTCAATCGCACTTAGACGGCGGGTTGAATGCCAGGTGATATATAGGTATATAATATACGGCGACGATTTAGGAAACCCCAGATTTCAATCGGCGGGCACGTGATTTGAATTTTAAAATTTTATACGTGTGCGTATATTAAACCGGTGGCGGCGTCATCACGACCGTCGTGGCGTAATGAAAAAAATAAATTAAAAAAAAAATTAAAAAAAATCATACATAATATTATAATAATATATACAAGCATGTAATTTACACTATACGTACTCTTTGATAAAACGAAAACGATAACGTATAATGTGTAATATTATAGTATAATTGGTTTTTTTCTTAAAAAAAAAAAAAAAAAAAACATTATACAATATAATACAGTACGCCGGTAGTGTAATAAAATTGTTTTGTTGTCGTGACGTACAATGCACCTATAATAACGTAATTTACGCGCACTGTTGCGCATCATGATGCGGCTGCACCGCAGACCCCGGTGCAGTTGTCCGTTTGAAAACAATAAATATAATAATATAATTATCGTGTTATTTACGACCGTCCGTCGGTAATATTGCAAATATATACGAGAAAAATGCATATTATTAGATAACAAATTATGAGTAAAAAAAAATATGTGTGTGTGCCTGTCAAAATCTTGAACTATAAAACTTTGAACCGGAAAAATCTTAAACGACGAAATCTTGAAGGACAAAATCTCGAATGGAAAAATCTTGAATCGAAAATATCGGCCAGATCTATTATTTTGAATTGATATTAATTGTGATTATTTTTTCAATATTTTGTCATTCAAATGTTTGACACTGAAGGTTTTGCCGGTCAAATGTTTGCTAATCAAGATTTTAACGTCCAAAGTGTTGCCGTAGACCCCCGAAAAAATGCCATCGTCGGCGGTCGCGTAATTCTTTTTCGCGCGCGAACGTTTTGAAACGGTATTTGCAGTGTGCGCACGCTTCCGAACAATCCCAACGGAATATTGTACGATAGGTAGGTAAACCTTTATTATTAAGTTACGTATTATTAAATTGTGTACACCACAGTCTGGTATTATTATTATTCGTTTAAACTGGATGCCGTACGCGTTATTCAATCGTGTCGCCATTCATGTTGTGCGGACGATTAACGTATGCGTGACCTAATGATAGAGCGTCATTATTATTTTCGCGGTAAACCGGGAAAATGCCGAACGTATACAAACTACACGGCGAAGGCGGTACTTAACAAAGGTTTCGGGATGAACATATTTAAATACATGCGCATCTCGCTTTTTCGCAAATTTTTAGGGACACGGGAAACGATTTCGGTAGACCGTACGTCCGCGATCCGTGCGGCTCGCTTGCAGCTACTGCAGTCACTATATTGTCTACCGGCCGACCGGTTTTTTTTCTCTATTATCCGGGAAAAGCGAGTGTATCCCGCGACAAAATCCGAACGTTATTAGTTATTATACATAGTATCCCGCATGAGTATTTTTACGGAACCGCCATGATAAGGAATCGCTAAAAAAGCGTTAGTATGGTATCCAAAATGGATCGAATAAAAGTACACTACTTTATTAGAGTCGCTACGTTTATACTCGTCCACATCACAAACAAAAGTTCAGGGGAGTCCCCTTCTTGAACCTGTGTACCCAGTGGTATACAAGCACTAAGGGGCGGCTTGGGGTGGCCCGGCCACCCAAAATATTTACAGGTCACCCAATGACTACATCATAATACTGTCGAAATACTCAAGGCTCAAATAATTGAATACCTATATTATAATTTTTACCTATAATATGTTAAAAAGAGAAAGACTTAGGTACCTAAAAAAAGCATATAGATGTTTCATCATAATCTCAAATTTGAATGGAAAAATAGCATCATCGCTCAACCCAGAATCTAAAATTATATTATAAATAAACACTTAAAAAATCAAATTAGTGCCTAGTGATGAGAGGGAAAGTATATTTTGGCCACCCAAAAAATATGCTGGCGATACTTAGGTCACCCAAATTGTGTAATTCTAGTTACGTGCCTGGTAGTATAAACCTAGTTATATGTTACATAAATACCGTTCGGAATAGGAAAAATGAGTAAGATTCATAAAAGGTTTAGTTACAGCAAAAGTTTAAGATTTTAAATATCACGGAAATCTACGTAAATAAAAGTAGGAACTGTTTATAATATTTGCATTTTATGAAATTAAACCTCGTTTGAAAGCTGACAATAAACATTACTTTGCTATATCATAAAGTGGCGTATCTACGAATGAAGATTAATAGAGTATTTATTTTCAGTATCTATATAACTTATTTGACTACCTATTTTTAAATTCAAATTTGTTTACTACTTAGTTAAAGGAATCAACAAATTAATATATATTTATTTTCACCTACTGCCTACCTACAGTTACAAAATCGAAAAAAACCAGAACGTATGCATTTTCTTATTTGAAACGAAACTTACAATTTTCAAACCACTATTATACTATAGGTTAGATTAGTACCTTAATATTAAATAAGTTAATAATAATGATGGATAACAGACAGTTATAGACTATAGTGAAAAATCATATCATTAAAATGTAAAAAAGAATTTCAAATTGTGCACAATTTTTGAAGTTAACTTAGAAAATCGACAATCATAAAGGGTGACTAGATATGGTTAAAGAGGCCCATCCGAATTGGTATGGAGACCTAAAACTATGCGCATAACTGAGAATAGTTGCACAAATTGGTTTTGGCGGAGAAAAAGGCTAAATTGTATACAATGTTAATAAAAACTCTGATCCGAATTACGGTTAAACGGGCATATTCAGGAAATTGTTTTTGGACCACGGGGGGGGGGAGGTGAGAAGTTACATATCACATTACAAAATAACAAAAATTTAAAAAAAAAATAATAATTTAAGATTTCCCGAGGGGGGTTTAGCACCCTCAACCACTGGATATAACTCTGTCTTTATCCGTAAATATCGTCCCGTGGCCGCGAGTTTAGGACGGACGGGAAAAAACCACGGTCCCCACTGCCGCCTTCGGACATACCAATATTATATTATTATATACCATTGTATAATTGTATACAAAGTAGCAGCCCGGAAGCGGTCGCCGCCGGCCCGGGCCGTGCGCTGCAGGACGAAAAGGACGTTGTCCGGCAGTCCTGCCCGTGGTACCATGCGCGCCGCATTCGGTATACTCGTTTGTTGTGCCGCCGGTTGTTGCGTGTGGCGGAAGGCCTCGTGCGTGTCGTCCGAGTCCACGCCGCTGTACCTGCGCAGCGCATACCCACTATGGGATCCCAAATTCACGCCATCCCATTCGGCCGCCGACCCGTTGCTGCTCACGCCGTATCTGCGCAACGGCCAGATACTCCGGGCCAAGCAGCTGTCTAAAGTGGTGGACGTGTTTCAGCCGAACCGGGTGCTCAGCTATTCTGGTTACTTTACCGTCAATGAAGAACACAACTCCAACCTGTTTTTCTGGTTCTTTCCCGCCCCGGTAACTATACAAACATAATATTATATGCCACGAGGGTGGCGCAAACCCTCCTAGGCCATTTACCGACAATTTTTATGGCATTGAATATCGAAAATATTTGATTTAAACTAACTACAAATTTCGTCTGGTTTAGGGAATAGCGTATTTACGATTTTACTAAGGAGGAAGATATCTATTTAATTTTAAAATTGCGCCACATCGTAAAATTTGTATCAAGAGTTAAAAAAAATAAGAAATCGATTTTTCATAGTTGATATATTTTTGTAAGTAATCTGACTAAAACGTAAAAAAATTTGAATTTAAAAATAGGTGGTCGTATAAGTAATATACACCAAAAAAATGATCGACAGGTGGGCTATATCTTCCTAGTTTTCCTCCCGCACTCTCCAAAATAAATACGCCCTTGGTATAGGTACACTTTTATTTATCACAAATTCGCAAATTAGGTACCTATAATAGTGTTTATTACTAAATAAACGTTCAATCTGATTTTAACTTATAAATATTAGACGTTGTATTTTGTCATCAGTGTTAAATATTTCGTGTTTTTATATAAAATCCTTAACTTTAGATAAATTCGTATCAATTTATTGTTTACCTACGTCTTACATATAAATTATATTTGTCCATAAAATACATTAGTAACAAAATACTTAACTATTTATTAATTTTTTTCTCAGCTATTATTTGTTAGGTATACTAAATTAATAACATGAGAAAACGATTCTCAAAATCGTTCATAAAATAAAACGATAATTATTCACAAATTACTACACCGTAGCACCATATGTACAACACAGTCTACACCATTATAGTAGATTCATCGCCATTGATAAGCCGTTATCATATTATTAATTTATGACGTTCTGGCATACGTACTTTCGTCAAACTTTATTCGACGTTGGAATTGTAATAAAAATACTCCAATAAATGCTAAACGAGAACGTAATCAATATTGCAATATCAATGCGAACTGCGAGATATCATCGTATCAGTTAACATTTTTAAAAGCAGGAAAACCACGAAAAAACAAAAATACCAATAATAAAAGCAACATTTTATTTATCTACCTTATTGACAGAAACCGCTTACGTTTCATTAATTTATAAAAAAAATATTTAAGAACTTTCCTGAAATGTTGAGGGGGGTTGAACCCCTATCTCACCTTATAAGCGCGTATATCCATTAATATTGTTAACCTGCAGATTCTGCACCGTTTTGATCATGACAGGTTCACTTGGACAGTTGACATATTACCATATATTCTATACAATACATTTTAATTCAATGTTTGCTGATTAAAAACAAACAAATAAATGAAATGAATAACAGATAAATGTTATACGCGAGTTAATACGACCGTATATGAACAAAACTATATTCTCAATAATGATAATTATGAGTTTATGATGCCCAGGGTTCGTGATTTGTTACTGGAAAAAAAAAAATTGTTATAAGCGCAATAAAAACATGCATATATATGATAATACTATATATTAATACACAATAAACATATTGAAGTATGCAATAAAAAATTATTGAACTCGAAAAAACAAATGAATAATTATTAATTTAAATTCATGCCAAAATGAATGGTTCTTCCCTCAGTTAAAATGTCATTGAAAAATTGCTTTTTATTCACCCTTATGCTTATTGTTCTACATATAAACACATTGTATAATACTCTTAATAATAATTTCAATAAACAATTTTATTTGAAATAACAATTAAATCATGAAACAACACACTCACATCATCGCATTTCAAATGTGGTGATGCAAATCTATTTGTTTTCACACCGGATAATTCTGAAAATTTCTATAGGTACCTACCTATAATTTCTATTTTCAAATTGAAAGTGTTTGTTTTGTAGGTAAATAAATTGTAATTCTTATTATGATATAATTTAATGATGGAATAGTTTGTGGTTATTATTATGTTTGTGGACTATTATATAACAGTGTGACACATACGAATAGGTACATCAAGCTGAATTATGTGAATATAATGGCCACTGCTATGCTTACAAATTAAATAATATAATATTTAATAACTAATACAATTTTAACTGTTCAAATTTACTGTTATTAGTTTAAATTAAATATTTCACTGTACTACCAAAAGTTGGACTAATTTATTTACGCCACTATAGCTTACTAAGGTTTTTCTAGGACCTATAAAAAAAAGTTAAACGCTACGATTTATGACTGTACTTAAGGACTTATAACCTTAAAAAACATAGATAGCTATAAATATAAATGTAAATATACTTTTAAAATATTACCAAATATACTCTAAAACAGTTCGACTTTTATTGAAAATGTTTTGATAACGATAATGTTTTGAAAAAAATATTTTTTTATACGTTTTGAAAATTTCTAACGTTCAAATTCATTGCTTACCTATTGTAGGCCTAAAACACAAAACGGAACAGTGAGTTTACAATAAATTTAGCTTTCACTAATTGTCAACGTTAAAAAATACACTGCACGATGAGATAATATTTTATGTTTTCACATATACTGACAAATATATTCGATATGAGTATATTATTATGACTTTTTATAGCACTTAATATAACTACATTCTGTTAAACTGTGCTCTAAAAAGCAATATAATTATAAAATATGATCTAACAAGCAAAACATGTAAAATTTACCAATAGAAATCCCTAACCCTATAGTTATGACAATAAATGATCATAAAAAAAATATACTGATATAAAGTGAATTGTGGTGGACATTGACATTAGATTAATTTACCAATGATAAAAAAATAACATATTACTATATGTTCATAAGCGATTATAATTTAATTGGTTGTCCCATATAAAACGCAATACTTAAAACCATTTATAATCGATAAGATATTACGTCAATCAAAACAAATAAAAATTTGCTTTTATTTACAATTTTCATATAAATTTAAGTTTAAAAAGCGTAAAAAAAAGAGCTGATCCTATTGCAGTGTGGACGCTATTGTAGGTGAGAAATTGGAAAGTTAGGATAAAATTAGAGTTATTTCATTTATATAATATGTAATCAACGAAAAACAATTCTGAACGTAATTTTTACAATTTTCGTAGAAATTTGTACTTAAGACACTTATAAAAAAAAAAAATATTAGATTACACTCAAATATATATTTTTTTTTACCACTTTAATATACAACCTATGTACTAAACCTCGTGTTAAATGTTCAATCATTACTGGTTTTTCAATACAATAAATACAATAATATGTAACAAATATTTAAAATAAATATTATCAAAAATATCAAATGTCCCATCAAAAATAGCAAAAATGTTTTAAACATCTAGTTTGTCATTTTGTTACCACATCTAAAAAAGCCAAATATAAGTATTCTATAAAAATATCGGGTCTAGTTAGTACTAGATCCTCTTGTCGTTTCTTGAACAAAGTATACATTTGTATAGTCTTCATGTTCTTACATCGTAATAGTATATCGAATAAAAGCTTTATAGGACGTAACACAAAAATAAAGTACTGTCCTATGAGTATGTAATACACCTGTACAGTATCCGGGGATTTAAGAGGACTTCAGCTCTCCCACCTCCCCCTCTCCCTCAATTGAGTTGGCTAAAAACAAATAACATAAACTGTTAAGCACTGAAAACTTATTACTTAATAGTTTATAACTAATTATTACTTAATAAGGAGCCTGAATACGCAGGATCCTCTCCTGACCTAAAAATATGGGTGACGAGATGCTCCAAGGCTCTCACGTTTTACGTCAGGCCATCTGGCACCCACACTACCAGCTACAAAGTGGCACTATGAAGGGGACCCCAGACCGACGAGTTCTAACCGAATCATAAAAAGGAAGGGCTCACCTAGGCCCACCTAGGCTAAGCTTCTCAAGAGATGTTAATGGACGATAGTCCCATATCTTTTTAAAGTTGAATTATATAACTTAGTCTTTTCCCAAAAGGAAGGGTTCAATTATACATACGATAAGTTAATTCATAAATTATTTAATAAACTATGGTAACATTGAATGAAGTATTTTGCGAAACAGCGACCACTTACTGCTGTCAATTATAATTTGAAAAAAAAGTACAAATAATTTTTACTCTATACCTACATACTTATATATTTTGCAAAACATTTGTTTTTTTAGTGTAGTTCCTATCATTGAAAAATCCTAGGTACGCGATTGCATCTATCGATCGTCATAATGTATTATTAAGTTTGATTTCAATGATTTTAGACTACACATGACTGTTAATCTAGAAATAAAAGTTTGCAGATAAAAAATTAAATTGAATAAGATAATGTTAAAATCGTATAAAACTGTTGCAAAGCTGCTGACACGATATAAATATGGGCTATGAAATAAAATAAGCATTAGGAGGTATCAGAATATTAATGTGGTTGTGTGATGTGACTATAGGGCTTCAATAAAATTAATAATAATATAATATACACGATTGTAAATATTTTTTTAAATTCTGAGTAGAGCGAAGAATGTATAGATTTTAATTTTTAATTTTTTTTTTTCTGTGGACAACTTTTCTACCAACAATTTTGCTCCGATTGACTATGATCGCATTTTTTCTGAAAGGAAATCTGACTGGGGAAGTACATTAAGCAGGTCATTTTTTAATTTTTCCAATAAATGCGAAAATCTGAAAAAAAAATGAGTAATCCGGGAAAACGGGAAATAGGTGCAATATTAAACAAACATTTGTATTACAGAAAATTACCCTAATATGACATATTTACTGTTGATAGAGCACTACTATCAACCAAACTGCGCTTAGAATCGCTTAGCAATATACTATGCTCTACTCTATGTATATACCGATAATAAAGTTAATCGTTACTTACAATTATTTACATTAAATTTCCGTCTATGTCCTACTTTTCTAACTTTTCACTTACATTAGTCGTTACACCCGTCCCCATTATCCTAGAACAGTTTTTTTTTAGTTCTTTTAGCCCCGGCGATACCCGATTGAGCACAATCGTTATCGGCCGACTTTTTCGACGATCCAATTGAGTACAAGAAAAAACATAAATATTGTGTACAACGTTGTCAGATTTTCATTAGTACGTATGCTGTGTAATTTGCTAATAGATGAATAATAATGCAGCTGAAAGTTTTCGCAAAACATACAATTCCCAATTTTACAAGACACATCCACATATTATACACTCGATTATTATAGTTTTACAAGAAATGGGCTGAAACGATCGCACAAATTCAATCTATAGCAAATAATAATTATAAAAAATTTAGTGTTATCGAAAATCAAAATTAACTTCACTATAAATGCTTATCAGGAGTTCTATGAATTCAAAAATGCTAACAACCTACTTAAATACTTATTAAAAGTTGGAAATAAGTATTTAGGGAAAGAAATTTAAATTTTTACTTTTTTCATGTATGACTGATACTTTTCAACTATTTTTACATAAATTCAGTATTTAGGGGAACAAATTTAAATTGCAATATACACTAAACTAACTGATCCAGCAAATGCTATCTTAATATGTAATAATATATAATAATACTAGTTGTCCCGCGCCCGGCATTTACCGTGCCAATTTGTATTATTATTATTATACCCATATTCATTTTTGGTTTTGGCCGTGTTAGAATTGCATGAAAACAAATAGGTGGTAAGTGGGTAGTACACCTGCGGCGGCCTAAATGTGTTCTATTGTGATATTTGAATAGTGTAAATAATAGTGATAATAACAATTATAATAGTTTTATTTTATAATGTGTCGGCGACTTTTTGTTTTTTAATTTCATCTGTATCACCAAGGTAACCCATAAATCAACAAAAAAAAAAAAATCTCTATACTAAAAATATAAATTACTCTGTGTCAGCTACCCTTGAAATGCCACCTATCGGGTCCAATTGTAAATCTAAACCATCCAGGGACTCATTCAAGCACACATAAAAAATTTCGTCAAAATCAGTCCAGCCGTTTAAGAGGAGTTCAGTGACATACACTCGTACAGTAGAATTATTTATATAAAGATGTGATTAAAAACTAATAAAAGATTTATATTTATAAATATTGATATTCAAATGTATTTTAATTTTTAATAATTCTACGGTACAAAGTGACAATGTCGCACTTATTTTCGTGCTCAATCGTGTTATTTATTGGGTTCCTATTGTTTGATTGCAACCGTACTCAATCGAGTTGTGAAAAAGGTTAATCGTGCCTAAATGGGTTCCAGCCTTTAGTCCAAATATAATTGATTTACAAATGTTTTAAGAACACAAATATAAATAGTCAAATTGTATGTTATATGCGTATAATAATACGTGGTTTGAATTACTTCCGCATTGACTTCATATAATATCTATTACTAACATTATGATAACATTATAATATAATATATTACAGTCGATGTTCTACATTTTTATTTTTTATCACGTGTCTTGTATATCCCATACTACCCAGTTTAACCATAAAAAATTAACATTAAACGCAGGTACGTTAGTTTGTTATATTGTTATAAATTATTCACTAACCTATATTATAAATTATAATTTATTTGGTTATTCAATTTTATTCCATATCTTTTATTATTACTTGTTACACACAGTGTATTGTCTATTTAACAATAAAATACAATTCAGAATTACGAGTATACGTAAATTAATATTTACATTTTACTATTATCTAAAAAAATACGCTCAGAATCGAAAAAAGTAACACAAGACAGACACATCGATCGTTCAATCGATCATTAAATTGCGTTTAAATTGAATACAAAATTTCAAAAAAAAAATTGTATACGTTTTGTATACATTTAATATATGCATCCCTAAAAAAAAATATCACCAAAAAAAATAAAAAATACATTAATGTTTAATTTTTATTCTGTACTTACAATTATAGTGTCTTTACCACGCAAAAAAGGCTCCGTTAATTTTGTGGTTGGAAGGCGGTCCTGGTGCCAGTATGGCGTTTAGCGTGTTCAAAGAAATCGGTCCATTCAATTGTACGTTTGACGGAGAAAACTACTTGGTCGACGAAAACCCACTATCGTTGCACAATAATAATTCGTTATTGTTCATTGACAGCCCGATCGGGACAGGTAAAAAACGATTTAGAGTACATTATGATTTATTTAAAATAGACAAATATACCGTCTCGGTCTAACTTATAATGGGCGAAAAATGACCGAATAGGTGGAAATGACAATGAGTTTAAACACAAATAACAAAATTTAAAGAGAAGAATTCTCGCATGGATAGTAAAGAAATAGACGGGCCTATGTCTCAAACACAGAACGTTCTGTTTGGTGACTAGCTTGAGTTTTCATCTTTGGAGGGGAGCGTTTAATTCACACACATACGCACACATAGTAACACCTATAAATATCAATAAATACCTTGGCTGTACCTGAAAGATCAGAGATATGGAGATTCCCTATCTCTATGAATTTAATTCAAAAATTGAAACATGTTAGCAAAATACTAACATAATTTAACAAGCAATAAAGTTTTTTTAAGCAATTAGTATTTACGTTATATCATTATAAAGGAACTATTCGTAGGTAGGTCACAGTTTCAGGTGGAAAGTTAGAAAGGCATAGAATTATTTATAATTTAGTAATTTAGTTTATTACTGTATGTAACGATAGGTCATAGCAAAACAAATCTGAAAGTTCAGCTGATCTTCTTTTAAAAAATAGTAATTATTAATTATTTAGAATTTTATGATAAATTTGAATTTAAAACGCTTATGAAAAAATAACTAACTTAGTCTCACTTTACATTACTAAGTAAAACTTTTAACGAACCTTGTATCAAATATTCGATCTTTTTTTGAGAAGTCAAAAAATCGTATCTACAAATTTTAAAATAAATACCCAAAAACTTCAAATACTTATAAATAACTTAAGATATTTTTATATTGTATCACGTCCAAAGAGCAATAATGTAAATCACCGAATGAAATTTGAGGCCACTAATTTTTACTGAATAATATAAAAAACAGAAACCATTGTTCTGTAAATATTCCTATTTTTCTTTTTCCGGTTATTATTCAGTATTAAAAAAAAAGTCAGATTAAAAAAAGAACTAGTCTAATGCATCACTAGATACAATTTTTTATCAAAAACCCCCATTAGTGTTGATAATTGGAGTAAGTTGGTGTTTAAAAAATTGTTAAAATTAAATTATTGTTAATATTTTTATTTATTTATTTTTTTTATTAATTTATCTTCGTTAAATAAAATCTGCCACTTGTGTGACGGAAGAGAATGTTAGATACCACAGTGGTTATAGTAGCACTAAGACTAGAGTTGTTGGCGCAAAAAAAAGAGCTGATACTACTAATGGGTGCGTCACAATTGTAGTTGGAAAGGTAGACTACATAAAGTTATTTGATTTATGTCTGTAAGCAACGATAAGCCATTGCTAACGAAAATGATTCTGAGCAAAGTTCGTTATCTATATATAATTAGCAAGGTTGTATATTTAGGATTTCCTTCAAAATTTGATATTAAAACAATTATAAAAAAAATTGATACATTACACTTTTTTTAAACACTAAGGTCAACTTAAAATGAACATCCTGTAAAATTTTCAATTTCTGTTAAGTCAAAAAAAGATATTCACATACTAGGTACATACCTATCAAATAAATACTACGTAAAAAACACATAAACATAAAATGCCATTAAGTAGATCAACAATTAGTCAAATGTAATTAATATTTTACTACATCTAAAAAAAAGACAAATATAAGTTTTTTGTCAAAACGTCAAGTCTCTATAAATATGTTTAGCTGAGTTACAGCATAAAAAGTAAATTGAAAATAACGAAACTATTATTTCCGTAAACTTTCTTGTTCTCTTTACGTTTTTTTTCCGGTTTTACTCAATTATTAAGAAAACTACACGAGAAATCAGAACACGACTTTTATACTCACTAAAAAAATTCAAATCGAAACAAGAAATGTATCTTTTCATTTTTCGGTTAGACCAAGGTTTCTGTTCTAAAAGTTATTTACAGACGAGAAAAAAAACACATAATTTTATAAAAAAAAAAATAAATAGATCCTCGATACACTCGGAACGTTTTTATTTCTATATGATAAACATAATAAAAATTCTTCTATCATTAATTATTCGAAAATATCGATGATCAAAATTTCATTATTGAACAAGATTTATCAAAACAAATTTTTATCGAAAAAAATTGTTTAATGGCCGTATTAGTTTTTGTTTTTAGCTGTAAATTTTTCGTGCGGCAATCGTTAGGAAAAAAGCTACGTATTTGCAGGCCTCGGGAATATTCTACTTTTTAAAAGTTATTGTTTGAGTTTAAACGTAAACGCCATAATTTACTGTCTAATAAGTAACGCAGCTTTGCCGTGTTATCCATTGGTTAGATTGAAACAGCGTACTCCTTATTTATTGTAGACACTTATTACATATTTTCAAATATAACACGAATGTCAATACGAACGATTTTTTGATATTACGGTCGCTTTGTGAATATGTTTTCTTTTTTTTTTTAGGATTTAGTTTCACCGAACACAACGACGGATACGCGACGAATTCGTCGACGGTCGGTGAACAACTTTTCGAAGCGTTAACGCAGTTTTACACGATGTTTCCCGAACAACGACCCAATCCATTTTACATCATGTCCGAATCATACGGCGGTACATACACAAAACGATCAAATTAATATTGAACAATAATTAGATGGAAAAAAAAAATAAAAGATTTTTTTTTTAAATTTCAAATTGTTAAATTACAGGAAAATTCGCTCTTTCTCTGGCGTCGTTGATTCACAACGATAAACGATTGGCCGACGTCAAAATGGAAGGCATCGCGATCGGCAACGGATTTCTGGACCCCGAGACGATGCTGTGCTACGGGGATTTTTTGTACCAGGTGGGTTTAGTGGACAACAATACCAAACAAGAAATCGTGAAACTAGAATCGCAAGGGAGGAAAGCGATCCAAGACAAACATTTCGTCGACGCGTTTTACGTAAGTGCCATTACCGTCGACTTACCGTGGACATTTCGTTTTGAATAATCAAACATTCGAACACGACACCGTCTCGTTCACATTTTTTCGCCCGGCGTGAATTCATTATTTTCGAGTGAACGCGTGTATTATAATGTACGGTCGTGATATTTCCCAAGAATAGCGTATACATTAGAGTTGAATTGATAAAATCTTCGCGCTTCGGTGTTTATACATATTTTTATCGTGTATAACAAATCTCATCCCGTGTTATTATTATTCACGCGTTTTGTATTCAATGTGTTGTTTTTTTTTTTTTTTACGCGTACGCGTTAATTTAAATATTTTTTTTCTTTCGTTTATATTCGAACGACACAATATGACAGCCGACAATAATATAAATAATATATTATAGTCTATTCCGTTTCGCCAGTTCAAAGACAAATATGTCTGCGGAACAATAACACTGATAACGCATAATATTATTATTATTATGGTACACGCACGGTAAACGTATATTATATAAAAATTATAAAATCAATATATTATACAATCGTCTGTAAATATCAAAACTCCACATAATATTCGCAGATAATATCGTGTCGCTAAATGTCCAATAAATTTATGTTTTTTTTTTTAGTTTTTTTATTCCCAATAAACAGTGAATAGAAACTAGAAATTAGAAGTAAAAATAGAAGCGAGGTATTCGTTTTTTTTTTTTTTTTTTTATAAGTTTGTTTTTTCTTCTCCCGGAAAACAATTTTTCGTATATCAAAAATGTTCCGTGCTGCGCCTTTAAAAAATTCCAGATTTTTTTTTTACTGGATAGTACTTTACTCGAGAAAAATGTCCAGATTCACAACAAATCAAAAACTAATTATAGACAATTAGAAGGGGTATGGGGTATTTTAGAAAAGAAGACGAACTCCGGTCCAAATATTACTTTTGTTTCAAACATTTTTTCTATAAAATGTAACAAACTAACGAAAAATGTCGACACATCGGTTTTATTTTCGTTGAGCCCCGTGTTACCTCGGCTGCGTGGGCCAAACACGACTAAACGAAAATATTACTAATACTAATCTACTCAGGATCGTTTTTTTTCAGAATTATTGCAATGATTTATATCTATTTTTTTCGGCGTGTAAATCAAATTATCCTATAATCCTATTGTATAGGACGGTACCTTTCAAATTTCCCGTCCACTACAGTGGCCTTCCCGCCATAACGCGCAAAGTACGTCCGGCTTTCTTTTTTTCTTTTTATAACATATTTATTGGTTTTAAATACGACGAAACAGTATTGTTGACCAACCGTCTCGTCCGAAAATGCGAATAAACTATAATTAATAATGTTTGAAATATAATATTGTATTATTTATTATATTTTAACTATTAGAAAACTGCATAATTTATTAAATGAATTCGTATAACTCGTTAATATTCTCCTCTGTAACCTACAAAATAAACCCGAAATCAGAAACCGCCATCGTCGCGACGAGCTGTATTATTAACGCGGACTTTTTTATTTGTTACAGGCTTGGAGCGGTATTATGAGTATGCTAATAGAACAAACTCGATTCTCGAGCTTGTACAATATCATCGACGGCGATACAGTTCCCTGGAACTCGACGAGTACCGTCGGCGGGGACCTGAGCTATATCAGTCTGTTGCAGACGAACAAAAGTCGGAGGGCGCTACACATTGGCGATATAGAGTTCACCAGCTTGGGCGTGATATACTACAAAATGATACCGGACTTTATGACCTCGGTGAAAGAAAATCTGGAACATCTGCTGACCAAATATCCCATATTGGTTTACAACGGTCAAATGGACTTGGTGGTGGCGTATCCGTTGTCTGTAAATCTATATTCTAACCTGAAAAACCCGTACGGCACGGATTACGTGAAAGCGACTAGAAACCCGTGGTACGTGAACAACAAGTTGGCCGGTTACATAAAATCGGCCGGCAATCTCACGGAGGTGTTGGTAAGAAACGCCGGCCATTTGGTGTCCAGCGACAAACCGGAACTCCTGTACGATCTCATACACAAATTTGTTACAAAACAACTAAATTAACATAAAATAATATTTCGCACTTATTATATAAAAAAAAAGTAAAATGTATACCTAGTTTAAAATTACTTAAGTAAAGGTACTTAAATAATGTTAATATTTATTTATTAAAACAATATTCGACTGTTCAATTATTTATAATATTAATATAAATTTAATCTTTCTACAAGGTTGTTGAAAACAATTAAAAACTAAGTCACAAATGCATTACAGTTTAACCGATACGTAGTTCGAATTTCAAAATGTCAAGAACATTATGAAAATATGACAAATCAGCATTAATATTTTTTAACTACAATTTCCTGTACTACGCTATTTATATTTTTGTATTTTTTGATATCACCCAATGAATTAATTAATGTAAATAAACACAAAAATAACAGAAATATTATGACTTATTAAATTATAAAACTGCTATAGGAAACACGAATTTTATAAAATGCATTCGTATATTACATATTATCTTACTAAAATGTATGATATATTTACATTATAATGTATAAGTGGTTTTTATTAGGTATATACCCTATTATATTATCATGTATCGAAATCTGTGTTTAGATCTGCACTTGATATGATTTTATGATTGAAAAACCACTTGATGTTATTAATTTAAATTAAAGAATACCTATTAATGTACTTCATTTTAGATTATTATATATTATGTTACTTGTATGCGAAAAAATATATTGTTACTATTAATTTTGATCTGTGTTGAGAACTGCGATATAATAATATATTATTATATTGTTAAAATATATATATATACGGGATTTAATGATTTATAGAATTGTTTAACATTTCAACGTTTGCGTGTTTTTGAATCTCCAGTCAATATATTATCACCTGCGGCGGTCACCTTTATTATAATATCATAATAATAGGGGCCGATTTCACCAAAAAAACACACTAATATCGCTATTAAAGTAATCGGGGTTAAAAGTTAATTGTGATTTATCAAAATTTGGATTTCACCACACGATTTCGTTAAACACGATTACGGTAACCACGATTAACCTTACTAATCGCGATTTATGTCATTAACAAGACATCTGTGGTATATGATAGGGTGATAACGATTGAATAGTTTAATATATTTTGATATTCATGAATTTACGTGTATAATGTTCTACGTTTTTTTGGTTATTATTATTTGTCAATTGTTAATTACTGAAGAGTGGAAAACGTGTTAAAATAAAAGCGAGAACGCATTTTTGAGTTCTCCGAGAAATAAATTCACTTGGCTACTTGGCTCTTGTTACTGAGCACTTCGGTGTTATTGACAGTGTGAGCATAAAATTAAAAAAAGCTGAGTGGTTGAAAATTACTGAAAAGTTCAAAGCAGCATTGTCTTTACATGCATGAGACGGTCACACCTTGAAAACGCTGTTGGAAAAAAATAAAAAAAGAAGGCAAAGTCGAATTCGTCATCATCGTCGTCTTCAAAACACATTTCATGGGCTCGTTGAATTTTATAATATTAATTAAAGAAAAACACTAGAATAAACTTCAAAATTCACAAAAAATTAAAAAAAATATACTTTGTACCTTGTTAATAACATTAACATCATTTAACAATGTCAATCGGTTAAATGTTGATGGTTAAAACTAAATTGTGTTTGCACAGTGGTTATGCTTAACCGAATTTGGTGAAATTCAAAATCTCCGATTAACTGTGTTAATTGTGATAAAGGTCTGTTCACAGTGATTAACATTAGTTGGTGAAATCGGCCCTTTAAACTGTTATACTTCTACATAAATCATCAAAAATATACATGATCAATAATAATATATTATGTTAAAATATCTGAAAAAATCATATTTTTCTCTCTTTCGAAACCAGTACCTATATTGTAAGGAATCCACTATATTATAATTTAATATTAATATTTTATAAAGAAATGATGGTTTTTTTTGTTTGTAAAAAAATGACATATTTTTAAATACCGTTTAGGTAGATACCAACGCGTACTTTTTGTCGAATTTCCCTCAAAAATAGAGATAATTTACACTATATAATGTATTGTGAATTTGAAGAACTGTAAGAAAAAAACTATCATATAGTCAATATTCGTAAAATTTTCATGCTGATCATTTTTTCCCCCGTACGATAAGGAATTAAACAACAAAACAGGTAAAGTAGTTCTCGAGATTTTTGCCAACCTACAAACAAATGATGGGAGCAGAAGTTGGAAAGGTTTCCCTTGAAACCTTTAACAACTATTAAATATTTAACTTTTAATGTATTTAAATTGTTTATTCAATGTTAAAAACTACAAAATCTTTATTGAGATAGTACCTAGCGCGTCATATACTGTATAGTATTGTATCATTATAGTATTTAATTATTTATTATTTTACAAAGATTATTTCTATGTAAAAAAAAAAAAGGTTGCGGCTATAGTGACAGGGTGACTCTGCTACTTATTGGTGTTTTTTTTTTTTTTTTGTTTTTCGGTAGAAAAAAATTGCACATTTACCTAATAATAAATTTCTGCGTTAATGTCACGGGACGGGGGGCACTTCTTACATTAATTCGAAGGTGAATTTTCATTGATAAAAATGTATTTAATGGTTTTGTCCAAAAAATGCCATTGAAATTGCTTACACGCGACGAAATACCTATACCTAATAATAATTATAATACCTAATACCTAATAATTACTATTATGTTATTAACAATAACATAGAATTTACTTTATTTTGAAAATACTAATTAGCTGTGCAGTAGTGAACAGTTGGAAACCAGCTAGCTGCTGGCGACTGTTGACACCCAAAAATTGTTTTCAAATCGTTCTGTATTGCTCATCTTATCTGTGTATTATAAAACGGATTGCAATAAGTACGAAGAAACGTAGTCATTTTAATTAATAAAAAGAAGAAAAAAGATTAAACATGTATGTATTACGTTTTAAATATATACCAATTTGTACTATAGTTGGACAGCTGTGATGCAGATGTTTAGACTACAGTCATTTCGTTTTGCTGACTACGGGGCACTTTATCGGATTGTTATGTGCGATTTTATTCGACGGAGTATAATGCTGTAAAATTTACTTTTAGATGACAACTTGCGAAAATGCAACGGTACTGCGAGTAATATTTCATATTTTCAGGAAAATAAAAATAGTTTAGAAATCACATTCTAAAAAAAAATTGCCTACAGGTCCGAAGAAAAGTATAGATATATAATTAGCTGCTTAACTTTGGCCTACACTCGCTATGCCATGTTGTCTGGAGATAAGATAATAAGGCTTTTAAAATAGAAATAAAAACCTATATCAGCTGCGTATAAATTATAATACCAATATTCCGGTTTAGAAAACACACAGTGCCACGTTATTTAGTCATAATTCACAAAAATATAATATTACTTATTCATTTTTAAAACGAAACATTAAACGTTAAGAGCGCATTATGGTAAAAACACACAACTTCACAACCACGAATTCAACTTCAGCAATGGTACTTAGATTTCGTAATGACGATATACATATTTACATAATTTATTTTATAACCTCTATTTATACTTTAAATTTTTGTTCCGGTATATAAATTCAATAACAAATAAAAATAATATTTTGTTCTCAGAGACACGCATTCCAGAGAGATAGAATAAGTATTTGCTTAATTTCGAATGAATATCGAGTGGAATTCTTAATCGTTCTTCCGTTCTTCTTCGGTCGATTTTTAGACACGTTATTACAATAAAAAATATAACTAACCTCGATTTGTTATCTATACAAATTCAATGATGGTTTTAGCCTTTATCCATAGATAACTATAACCTGTCTAATAGTATCTAATGGCTAGTAAGTAGATAACCTTTATTTTTTTTCTGTCTTCAATTCGAAAACACCAGTGTACCTATAATATAATCGGTACCATCCAATACGCCAGCAGAGTGTATGAAGTAGGTAGTAATAATCTAAATAATATAATATAGACAATGAAGGGTCTATTGTATTTTGAATTATTAAAAAGTCACTAATACCAGTGTCTTAGTAAATATCTAATAAAAAAAACTGAACAATCCTTAAAATATTCTATGCTTAATCTGAAGTGTTTGTTTGAATCCACGCGGCTAAATAGGTATACAAGGCAATCGAATTTTGATTATCAACTATGATTATAAAATACATAATTACATCATTAGTATATATATATTCTTAGTTAAATTTCAAATAATAGGTAGTAGATACTATAATCCACTCGAATCTTGAGTTATATTACCTAACACTATAATAATATGTTCGTAATGATTATGGTAAATATTATATTTCTACCACGCGTGCGTGGTTGCATATTAAAGTTTCTTTGGGTGGTATTTTAAGGAGGTAATTTGTTGATTTCCAAAGCGGTTTTCATAATAATTGGGAAAACCCGGAAAAAACGTAGAAAAAAAGAAAAATTTACGAAATGTATTATTTTCAATTTTGTATTTTATTGTGATTCAATTAAAAATATTCGTAGGAACTTGACATTTACACGGAAAACTTATATTTGTGTTTTCTAGATTTAGTAAAATATTAAAAACATTTTGGCTATTTTTAAGCCATTTACAAACATTTCAATTTTGCGAGATTTTACGTAATTTTTATTCAATAGGTACTTTATGGATATAATTATTGGATCAAACAGAAATGCTTGAAAATTTAACAGGAGGTTTAATTGTAAGTTATACTTTGTGGTCAAAAAAAATTGACTGAAATGTAGAATTACTTTTTATAAGAATTTTAGTATTAAATTTTGACGACGAAAATCGTAAATATTACGGCCTTTCAAAAATACGTATGACCAAACTCCGCTCAGAATCGTTTTTCATTAGCAATGATTAATCGCTACGTACAAATTTTTATTAAATTTCCCTCTATATCCTACTTTCTCAACTTCTCACCCACAACAGTGGCCCATCAATCGTGCAAAGTATGACCTTATAGTTTTAGATTTTGAGTGTACCGAAGAAGTTATTATAGTTATATTGAAATGTGTTTTGTTTCTCGGAAAACACTTTTTCAGTTAGTAAAAAAACCTTTCCAAATTATTCCTTTAAAAAAGCGGATTGGTGGCAGATTTTTCTTACGTCTCCACTTTATATAAAGACATATGCTAAATTTAATTTAAATATAATTTTTTTATACAAATTTATAAAACCGACAACAAAAATGACGAAAAATCGGGTTTTTGTTGATTTCTGGGTTATCATATTGCAGGCTACGGTATTTCGGTAAATAAACCACTATAGTCCAATAATTAAAATACATACATTTGAGGCCTATAAACTATGGTCAAATCAATAGAAAAGCGTTTTCGATTAAAAACGATAAAAATTAGAGAACAAGTAATTATTTAAACATTGTACGAGTTATAAACGGTATGATATTATTATTGTGGTTACAATGCTAAAGTGTGACCATCAAA